CTGTGAGATGGTGATGACTTAGGAAGGCCTTCATCCAGCAGTGGCTTGGTCATGGTTGATGATGATGATGATGGTAATTCCAAAGCCTCTGCAGGGATTTGTCAAGGCAGCTGCTTCGTGAATCCATCTCCGTGCAACCCCGCCCCCCCTCGTGGCTGCAGCAAGATGTATTTATTTACGAATAAAAACATCTTGCTGCAGCCAATCTCAATCCGCCAATGGATGAAGGTTCGCCCCACGTCGTCTCTGTCAACGGCTGTGTTTACCATACTTCACCATACTGGTCAGTGCGGATTGGTGAAGTGGTGGTGATGGGGGGGGAGTCAGGAGTAACCAGGCCCAGTCGTCAGATATCACCTGCACCACTGATGTTAGCCGTCGCCGAAAAAACACAAAGCCGGCTCACGGGGCTCACAGCGCAGTGCGCACATCACTGCATCCCGCAGTCCACCCCAGGTGGGTTGGGGTGGGGGGAGGCACATTTGCGTCGACTTTAAAGTGTTGTGAAAAACGTCTACGGTGGCGCGATGCCATTAGCTGCGCAAACCAGTGCTGTCGGCCAACGTCATATCCTGAGCCAAGTCGCCAGTTCGATAATTATCTAATCATCGACTCGGCCAATTGTAATTGGCTCGGCAACAGTTTCGGGGGGCGTGCGATGTTGACCGAGCGGAGTAATTTGTCACACGCCGCGAGATTCGAGTCTCTCTCTAGGGCCCCCCCCCTGCCCCCCCCCTGCCCCCCTCGTGTCGTGATGCCGTCCTGGGAACGTGTGTGCGAAATGCAAGCGCACCACCGGTGGAATTTTGGCTTCCGAAATTGACGCCGGTGGTGGTGGGTCGGGGGGGGGGGCAAGAAGGAACGTCGAGTTCCCGTAGATCGGCCTCGACCCACCGGTGGCTGAAGGACTCGTTCGTCGCGCTCGAACACACGGAGGGAATAAGCAAACTCACCGACGCCACCGACACTGCATAAGCAACTCTGAATGACACCGGCTCGCGCCAACACACGCAGGTTGCTCTTGGCTGCTGCGGGGCTACGTTGCGTCCCAGCAGAGAGCAGCGCAGCAGGATCCATTGTTGTACTGTACTATTAGCCACACACACACACATCTATGCTCCCCGCCGAAACAACCCGCATTGGCCGTCGTGGTGGCGCAGTACGGTATGGGGAGGCCACCGTCCAGTCTAGGATCGACGTGTGTTACGTCACTATTACCGCGTTGTTATAGTTACGCGGTGCCGTAGGTCGTTCGGTTTTTTTTACATTTCCTGCTGAAGATTTTGCAGTGAATTTGTGGACGCTGCTGGATATTCCTTGTTGATTTACTGTGACGGCGCGTCAATCTCCAACATTGTTTCCCTCCACCCCCCCCCCCCCCGGTTGACCTCGGGCTTATCACCCTTCTCACGGTGGCTCGCACAAGGATGGAGAACATTCGAGTTCCGCGCTTCCCGCGAAGAGCCGGTCCCATCCGATGGTACAATGACCTCCCGATTTGGGGGGCGCCCTAATTGCTACATCGTAGATGACTCCCCACGCTACGCATCGTCCAGAGCTGTTTGGTGGCCATGACGCAAATCCGGTTTGCACGTCCAAAAGACCATTGCCGAAGTGAGGCTCTTTTTAAATCATCGCGATCAACCGCCATGGTCCATCCACTGCTGGATGAAGCCCCCCCCCCCCGCCCCCCCGCCCAGCACACCCTCCCCCTGCCAAGCCGCTGCCATCGCCCGCAATCACACAGTGTTTTGCGACAATCACCCCCCCCCCCCCCAAGCAGCGCCTGCGCGTGAGCTGATCTTCACCAACGCTCCATCTCCCCGTTGGACGTCCTGTGGGGGTGCCACCCAGTTGTTATCCATCACCATCGTCTGTCCTCTCTGCCAGGCCACGACGTGCCCTGCCCAAGCTCGCTCTGACAGCTTGCATGTCGTCATTAACCTTCGTTGACGTTTGCTGATCCCTGCGCTCGTCTTTCTGTCTTTCATTGTAATCCCAAACCCGGCATCCTCTCTGTGCTGCTCTGGGTACTTTGTATGGTTATATAATATTTAATAACCGTCAATGAGGATTCTTAAGGGAAGGCATTCTCTTTTCTGTTCATGGGGTCGTGCTTTTGAATGTGATAACAAATCGACAACTATGGAGCAGAGGATAATTCCACGCTTTCCTGCCCTCACGTTTAGGTGTCAGTCTTAATTCGGCCAGGATTTTTCCAAAGTCCGAGAGAAATGTGATGCGAATTTGCTCCAAAATGAGAAACTGTTGAGTTATTTCATGGCTCACAAGTCAAGGTAAAAATTCAACTGAGCATGATTCTTGATATCCTGAGTTACCGTTCTGTGTGTCTCCGCCAGCGCTGTTCAAACACATTGCCCTCGTCTGTCTCATTTGATCAGACAATATCACCGAACGACATTTGAAAGAATGCAATTTTGCTCGGGTTGAAAGGTGGAGAGGTGGCGTAGCGCGGCTAATTCCACCGCACTATGCAGCTGCTGACCTGATTCCCGGCCACGGCTGACATCAGTGACCAGTGGCATCCAGACCACCCCTCCCCCTTCAACAACGAGCACGCACACACAGACCAGCGCGGTGAAGTATGGTCAAACAACCCAGTGGCTGACACAGCTTGTGAGGGGGCCTGCAATGGATTGACCATTACTAATAATGGCCATGACCAAGGTCATTACATTTATAAATCAATGTACCCATTTTGTGGACACTTCCATTAAGATAAGACCTCTATGTTCTGAAATGGTAATAGTGTGTCCGTACAATTATTATTTTTTTGGATGACTTTTTTGCTGCGACACTTTGTCCTTGGCGCTGTTGCCAGATTAATATTCTTGTCACTGCGCCTAGGCTTGCGTTGCGTAACGTAGCACTTTCACACGCTTATTCGGAAGCGGCTTACATCGCACGCGTCTTTTGCTTTCATGCTCCGTGCCCATTCCCCTACACGATTTCCACCAGCCTTGAGTGGCGGTGCATCGGGTTACATTACGCCACATCGCTGCTGTGGTGGAATGGTTCGCGTCGCTAGAGTCCGCCGGTTCGACCCCCGTCTCCTGGCATGGCAGTTGAAAAAACTCCCCCCCCCCCCCCCAAACTCTGTCCGCCCAGCGGTGTACAAATGGGTTCACGACCACGGCGACTCCTCGATCGGCAGGTCGCGAGTGGCGTGCTAAAGCGTGGATTCTCACACCTCTTCTGAAACGTCAACGTGGCGGAGAAGGCTAAATACTGAACCCTCTCGTGCTCCCCTCTACCAGCGAAGTCGCAGTTGACGTGAGCGAGTAATTTGCGGGGGCTGCACCTCGTACGTTGAACTAATTTCGCACCGCACGAGGCCAACCGTGCGAATCGGAGGTTGCGGTCTGAAGGACAACAAACGAAAGGCAAAAAGCAGTTGAAGAGAAACGTGAAATGCACCTTTGTCATGCTGCACACCCTTTTAGCTCAAGCGGCGACGGCGTGGCTAAATGGGTCAGGCGTAAGCGAAACGCGCGCCCATCATGGACTCACACTCAGCGGCAGGCAGGTCCTTCATCCGGGATTATTTAGCGCGTGGGCTAAAATCACCTGCACTAACGAGCGGTCTTGCAGTGCCTTTGGACTCGCCGTCCAAGTCACTCAACGTCAACGCTTTAATGGTGATCCTCTCTTCGCAAGGCGGGGTGCGTGGGGGGGGGGCGGTGGGTCTACGGTAAACCTTTAACGGGGGGGGGCGGGGGGCGGGGGAGGATCTCCTTCAGATGTTGTTATGCCCGGACAGAATTTTCCGAAGAGAGACGTTGGACCGTATTCACTGCGGCGGCGCTCGCCTCTGGCGACGGGGCTGCCGCCGACGGTAACTTGGGCACTGCGGCCCAGGCTGCTCGGGAGAATCCCGACGGAGACGGTCGTCATTCCCGAGCACATTCCGGCACACCCGAGTTCGATTCACCGCTCGAGGTCAACGCCGCTGGCGATTATCTGAACCCGTCCTGGGCCCTCCCCCGAGGTCGACTCAGCCTCAAATAAGCATCCGGTGCGGTGTGCGAACATCGTCACCGGGGAGACAAAGGCGGCCGGGCGTGGCGTTGGCCACCTACCCCCTCGTGTGCCGTGCTGGGGGATCTTTGTTTTTGTAATATTTTTTGGGGAGGAGGGGTGGCGTAGTGGTTGGCGCACTGCACTGCGCTTTAAACCCGGCGAACCGAGGTGCGATTCCAGGCCGTGGCTGAACCCCCCCGACCCCGCCACCACCCCATTCCGACTCGCGTGAAGTATGCCCGTCGCATCGGTGCTCATCGTTTGCGTATAGTCAACATTAACCATGAACGCTGCCATCGATTCCCACGTGCACGGTTCCACGTGCGTGTCGCGAACGTAAGAACCAACGTTGTTCGCGGGTGAGCTACAGGAAAGGATGCGTTTATTAAATGCCTCTTGTCAAGAGTGCGCATGTTAATGCCTATAACAGTCTGCGGTTGAACAAACACAGTACAGTAGAAGCTTGGGAGCAAGTCCAGCTGTCCTTATATCAGAAGTAGCGTTCTTGTATCAGGAGATTCCCCGTGCCTTTCCCTCACCAGTCTAATGTAAAGGCTCTTGGCCTATATCAGCACTGTGCTTATATAGGGTGTGCTCATATCCGGCTTTTTGCTGTCTTGGGTTTTGCTGCGTCTGAATTTTTTTTTTCTCAGAGCTCATGCTTAACAGTCTGCGGTTGTGCATCCACAATACAGTAGAAGCTTGGGAGCAAGTGCAGCTGTGCTTATATCAGAAGGAGCGTGCTTGTGTCAGGCGTTTCCCCTTGCCTTTGCCTCACCAATGTAATGCCAGGTCACGTGGCTTATATCAGCACTGTGCTTATGCAGGGTGTGCTCATATCCGGCTTTTTGCTGCCTTGGGTTTCGCTGAGTCTTCTCTTTCACTCGGCGCTTGTGTGTAACCCACGCGTCCGTCCGTGTGTGTGTGTGTGTGTCCCCGCTGCGCTTCCTGGCGGTCAGAGCTCCGTGCAGGACTGGGGTCAAGAGGTCGAGGAGGGCGCCGTCTACAGCGTGGCCATGAAGAAGATCCAGATCAAGGAGGCCTCGCACAAGGGACACAGGTGGCTCGGGGTGAGTCAGCCCGCACAGCTGCAGCAGCAGGAGCAGCATCAACACCGAATGGAAAAGAGCAGCGTGCAGGGGAGATGCAGTTGAGGTGACCGAGTGGTTCAGAGGGTCAGGAGATAGCTGAGCAAAGCGCTGCAGAGATTCGGGGCGTCAAACAAACGGAGGTTTCAGCCGACCTGGCGATTCAAACCGGGTTCTCGAGTGCAGTATTGGAATCGGAATATTTATTTATACCGGAGAAATCCGATTTGCTATAAACCTCTTTTTCACAGATGTCCAGTCGGGGGCACGGGGTCAGAACGTTACGACAACAAACAACACAAAAACACGATAGGAGTGCAAAGTATAAGAAAGGTAAACAAATCACTTGAAAAAAACCCACACATTTTCTAAACTATTTTTTTTTATCTTACCAGGTAAAGCCCATTGAGCTGTTAGCTTATTTTTCAGAAGCGACCTCACCACAAATGATTGCTCAACGAAGCGGCTTATCACCATGTGGAAATTTATAGCGGCAAAATAATATACTTAATCTTAACGAGTTGATGGTCTCAGCCCCGGTCACCAACGATTGCACAAATGCAAGAAAAACCCCACCGTGTTAAGTTTGGCTTTGCACTGAATTTGACTAAATTCCAGCTCTGAGAATTATAATTGTCGGTTTCACTGTAATGCACGAAACATAATCTCATAGCAGAGTGTACTGAGAAAGGGTACCCCATACTGTCACGTTCGGCCTGTGTCAAAAAACGGAATGCAAGAGAAAGGCCACTTTTAAAAGACGTTTCTAAAGTGTCCTGCGAAAGAATTCCGTTCCACGTCCGTTCCCTGACAACACGGCGGTGCACCGCTCTGCGAGATCGCAGAATGGATTCTTCATCTCTGGATATCGCTGCGAAAATCGGAACAGATTGTTTGGGGGGGGGGTGTGATACCGACGTTATTTTAACAAGAAGGGAAAGAGAAACATCACGGCGGAGTGTTTTGTTTATTTTTTGTTAAATCCCGTGACTTTATATGGTGCATGTGAACACACTGCATCGTGTGTCTGTGGCCAGTGTTTACACTGTGATAGCGTGCTTTATTTGGGAATCGCACCTTGTTTAACAGCTTCCTTCCATATCCAGCCCATACATCCCGTGTGCGTACATGTTTGTTTTTCTTTAATATTTGACGGAATGCGAGTAATTTTTTTCATTGCGATGATATTTCCACGATCCCAGCCATCGCATCCTGACGCCCCGTGTCAGTTAGCAGCAGCAGCAGCAGCATTCCTCGCCCCGTTTGCGTTTGGTAAAGATTTTACTGGTGGGAGAATTTGGGCCAACGAACCCGCCCACCCCTAAATATCCATCATTTTTATTTTCTTATCTTGCAGCGCCGTGATTAAACGGGGCGTTTGACATGTCATATCCTTGCAAACGTATGCAAGGGAAAGAATGTTATTTACCGGCGTCGGGCACTTTCCTCCACCACCCTCAATATTTGATGAAACATTCTCGAGGGCGAACGTTTGTCGCATTTAGTCCGTGTTCCAAAAACAATGATCGTGGCAAGTAAAGAATGAAAGCTGCAATTTATTGAAGAGGAACTGCATCTTGACCCCGAACAGGAAAAGTCCGGTTCAACACGAGCAAGAGGCCTTTGCTCATCCCCACCGATGGTTATGAACCATCGGGTGGAAATTCTACATTGCTATGACAAGCGCCAGTTATCTGCAAGGGCCAGTTTATAGGTACTCCGATTTCTTCCCACACGAAGCTAAACAAATTCAAAATAGAATTTACCATATGTCGCAATGCTGCAGGACTCTCCTGACCCTCCTGACATATAGTTATGAGTACATATGTCATTTTTATAGCATCCATAAATACATTATTTGTACATGTGCACATGTTTAGGCGTGACTCCGTGAGGCTTTCCTGCGTTAAAAAAAGGGGAGCAAACACAATGCCGCCCAGCAGTTTCTCATAAAGTCGGGGTTAGCTGGCGGCTTCCATGAAGGTCACTACTGATCAGCGTTAGTATTACCAATGATGTTCGTGGCGAAAACGTTCGTCAGCAGTGTGCTATGATTTATTTACATTTTAAGTCAGCGCCGAGTGGACTAAAATGATCAAGCGTGACAATGACTACGACTGTCCTCTGGCGAGCCGAGCGTAATTCGTCTGGTTGAAGAAGGAGACTAAGATCATTGAGTGATGTTTGTCAGGGACAGGAGTGCACTGAGGATGATCAAAAATGTTAATTGGCTCCATGAGCTCACAACGTTATTTACCCAGTTCACTCATTGCCTGACCTGAAAATATTGGTTTGGGAAAGAATTTCAGGCCCCTCACACCAACATTTGATAACCAAGAGTGTTGGTCTGAACGTTTGAGCTCTTCAGTCGACTAGACCAAGAGGGTGACCCAAATAAAATCCACGGACTTGACTGCCCGTCGGCTCGACGGAAAGACGGCGGCTAGAATAAAGCCAAACGACGCACAAACCCACCGACTATGCATCAACTCCCTCTACCGACGGCCGCGTCTGATGCGTCGACCTGGGCCCCCACCCCGCTCCCCTCTGCCCCAGGTGGAGAGCGACCCGCGGGCGCCGGGCCACGGCGGGGTCGACCGCTACGAGACGTGCCGCGTGCGGAGCATCCGCGCCGGGACTCTCGCCAAGCTGGTGGAGAACCTCCTGCTCTCGTTCGGGGACAACGACTCCATCTACATCAGCGTCTTCCTGGCCACCTTCCGGGCATTCACCACCACCGGGGACGTCCTGCGCCTCCTCATCGACGAGTAATGGAGCCCCCCCTTTCCTGCCGCCGCGCCGTGCGCTCGCTGCTCGCGCCATCACGAGACAACAACAACAACAACAACGCCAAATGGGTGGCGGTTGCGCAATGGTTTTTGTTCTTGTCGCAGTGCTGAAGGTTAAAAAGGTGGCTCGCCTCGCGCCACTGCTGGCGTGGAGTATGTACAAGTGTGTACGTTGAACTTCTTTCGCACAGTGCTGCAGGCCCGCCGTGCAGGAGGGCCTTCCGCTGGAGGGAGCGCTCGAATGCCCGTCTGCTATGGCGGGACGGTTTTAATTTCCGCTGTTTGATAGTGGGACGATTTTAATTTCTTTCCACTCATTCGTCACTTTTTGGTGGTTGTTGTTGTTGTTGTTCTACTTTGTTCTTTGTCGCATTGTTGCCTGGCCGTAAATTCCCGTTTGATGAATGTGGAAAAGTGATTGTGATTTTGTTGTAGTCGCATTTGCCGTTATTATTTTAATACCCGTTATTATTCTCTTAATTCCATACTCGTCCGAACGCCTATTACTTCTGAGCTACACGATCACATTTGTAAAGGGAATGAAGGGTTTCTTCATACGGAAACGGCAGATATGAAAACGCCCGTATATAACGGCACTGTTTTCCCCGCAGGCACGGCGAAAGGAAGAATGGAGATTGCGGTGATGGCCACGACCCAGTAAAGTCTGCGGACCAGACGTTCGTCAGGAAGTGAGTTCACGTTTCCTGCCACAGCGGTACAAGATACCCTGTATGCTTTTGACAACGCACAAGAAGGACTGTTTGGTCTCATCCACGCCGCACTGCGCGAGTCACAACGCTTCTCTTTCTGCTCCTTCCCCTCGCACTGCTCCATTTTGCAATTCCCTCCTCCCACCGTCTCTCTTCTCTCTCTCGTTCCCCCCAAGTTCATGTAACAAAAATAATTATAACAATAATACTCACGTTGCTTGTTCATTCAAGAAACTCTCTTCAACTCGTAGCAATTGCACCGTCAGTAGATGCTGTTTGTTGCTGGCTGCTTGGGCTTTTGGGCTCTGTGCTCGGCATTTGTGGTGAAACATAGAAGAAGAGCTCACAGAATAAACTAAACTAATCGATATTAATAAAATATATATATTGTTTTATATATATACTTTATTATTTTATTGTTTCCCTTCAACGTGACTTTACCGAAAGATCTAAGAATATGAATTACTGCAGTCACGAAAGCTTTAAATCAAAATAAACTAATCGATGTTTTATTTTACCAGGTAAGGCCAACGCTTCTCTTTCTGCTCCTTCCCCTCGCACTGCTCCATTTTGCAATTCCCTCCTCCCACCGTCTCTCTTCTCTCTCTCGTTCCCCCCAAGTTCATGTAACAAAAATAATTATAACAATAATACTCACGTTGCTTGTTCATTCAAGAAACTCTCTTCAACTCGTAGCAATTGCACCGTCAGTAGATGCTGTTTGTTGCTGGCTGCTTGGGCTTTTGGGCTCTGTGCTCGGCATTTGTGGTGAAACATAGAAGAAGAGCTCACAGAATAAACTAAACTAATCGATATTAATAAAATATATATATTGTTTTATATATATACTTTATTATTTTATTGTTTCCCTTCAACGTGACTTTACCGAAAGATCTAAGAATATGAATTACTGCAGTCACGAAAGCTTTAAATCAAAATAAACTAATCGATGTTTTATTTTACCAGGTAAGGCCAACTGAGCTATATAGATAGCGCTGTTTCAGAAGCGACCTTTTCAACAAATGATAGCTCAACAAAGTGGCTTAGCACGTGGAAATTTATAGCAGGCAAATGCTCGAAACGTATGACATTGATTCTAAATTAATCTCGAGCGAGCAGAAATGACAGCGAGGGCAGAACGGGAGAGAAAACGTGAGGTTGCATTTTTACTGAGTTTTGCGGTGTGTGGGATGTCTTCTACCACAATGTTAAAAACGCGCTTGTTATCAATGCCCTGTCCAATAAACGCAACGACGTATACGTATATAATTCACTATTTATGGTGAAGGAAAGCTGGCTGCACAGGATAATAAAAGTGTCGGCCTGTAGGGAACAGTACAGTAAAAACATCCAGGTCCTAAATTCCAATAAGCCGTGTTTTATTGCATCGTAAACCTAAAATCCTTGGCTTAAAAATAGAAATAACAAAACCAGCCTAAACCTGTAAAAACCAACTGCCTCAAAACAGCGCTTTCATGCCTTTCTTAAATTTCCTCGCTCCCATTTGACCACAGTCGCCAAAGCACAGGCCCAAACGGCTCACAACAACAAGCGCTCGGCAACAAGCGGCACCATCGAAGGCGAAAGGGAGGAACGTTGACGCATTTCAAATTCTTTTTTTAAAAATAAGTTGAAGAGAGAATGAGATAGAGAGGAGAGAGAGAGGGAGAGACAACGGCGGGGTTTTCCAAAGGCGAGCTGCGTGAGGAGAGAAGCGGAAGGAGAAGCGTTCCTGTCTGCAGTCGAAAACTCATTTTTGATCCCTGTTAATTTTCACAACGGCCCGACCTTGCCAGACAGGCTGCGCTTTGCCGTACGCGCGTAGGCTGAGCCGACAAAAACTTGACCAGGCCGAGGACATGGAAACCTCCCCCCACTGTGGTGTTTCTGATAAAGAGCATCGGTAGTAACCTCCGTGTCCTGGCTAGGATCTCATTACGACTTAATAGAAACTGTTGGCCGGGCCAAAATGTCTTGTGTCTGACTAATCTTTCCCACGAATGTATGTTAGAGAAAAACAAAAGATAAATCATGTTGTTTCAACACATTTACAAGAAAGACTTCCGTTCAGAAACGAACACGTCACCGATTTTACGCTGCTCAGTATCGTCAATAACAAAAATTATTGATTATTTTTTTCGGGGGGTTGTAGCATGGGATGTTTGTGCAGCTTTAATAATTCTTTACAACTCGGGTTGAATGCGTTTGTGCATTATCTACGGCCCGTCCTGACGGGGGTAAAACGAATCATCGATTGGAACGAACTTCTTGCGTTAATTTACGTCTCTACGGGGCACTTGGCCTGTTGGAAACTGGCCAAATTAATCAAACGGTTGCCCACAACTTGTAGATACAATATAGACCAGAAAGACGACTACGGTATTTGCAAATATTCAACTGTATTTTTCACCTGAAAACTATTCAAACTTTTAGTTATTTTAACAGGTAAGGCCCACTGAGCTATAGCGTTCTTTTTTTCAGAAGCGATCTGGCTATCACAAATGATAGCTCAACTAAGTGGTTTTATCGTGTGGAAATGTATAGCAGCCAAATACTCGCACGTTTTTAAATGTGGAGGGAAAAACCGGAGGACCCGGAGAAAAATCCACGCGACCGTGGGGAGACGTCGAAGCTCCGAATATACAGCAGCAGCAGGCGTCGAGGTCGGGATCCAACCCACGACCTCCTGTATACCAGGCGAGGTAGTTACCATCTCCTAGCCACCGTGGCTCCCCCTTCCTACCCGTCCATCTCCCGCCGTCACCGTTGATCAAATACCTACGCGTGTTGGATACCGTCGACGTCAAACAAACAAAAACAATCGTTCGCACGCCGCGGGTGCGTGATCTTCTCCAGAGCCATCGCCTTCATCCTCCGAGTGTGGATGGACCAGTACCCCGAGGACTTCCACGCCGACGCCGCGTCGCTGGCGCTCGTGCTGTCCTACGCGTCGCGCGTCCTGCCCCACTCCGAGCTGCAGCGGCGGGCCCTGAGCCTGCGCTCGCCGCGCCCCGAGACCCCCCCCGGGCCGCCCGCGTCCTCGCCCGCGCCAGGTGCGGCATCGTCCACCGTCCAACAAGGCGTCGTCGTCATCGTCGTCGTTCTTTCTTTCTTTCGTCGTTTGTTTCCGCGACGTTCCCCTAGCACCGCGGGTCGCGCTTCTTGTACCTTCCCCACCCCCTTCCCCCCCCCCCCCCGCCGCCGCATTGCTGTACCTTCCCCCGCGCCTCCGATTAGCGCGGTCGGGTACGTACAGCGCTGAAAGAAGTTCAACATACGTACACGACTCTCAGGACAGGCCAGAGAGGGGAGCAGCCCAAATTGCGACTGAGGCCACCACTCCAAGTTAGACGATCGGCCCCACGTACTAAACTCGTGCCCCCGAGAGATCCATTCCCGGTGGCACCGAGACCGTTCACCCGTTCACTCTGGCTCACTTCCAGCCGTTGAATGGATCGCCAGTCTCAAAGTCAAACTATAATTGCTTCCCCAGCCATATGCACAAGACTCTCAGCCAAGTGCATTTCGTACGAAGGTCGCGGGAGCCACTCGCCGTTGCGGTTAGGCCGCAACGCCGAGCACTTCTTCTCTGAAGCTCTCGCCACGCACTGGTGCGGGCATCTTTGGGAGTCGAGGGCAACTCCACGGGGAGCTGAAGGCGACGTTAACTCATGAAGGTGCCCGCAGCAAGCAGTGCACGGCAAAAGGTTGCCTTCCAACCGCTGCGGATGCTCGCGGTAGCGCATGGCAAAGAGCTTGAAGGGAGAAACTCTCAACACCCAGCCTCGTGTGGCCAGACGACCACCCTGGAAAGTGCAATTTGTGCTCAACGTAATTGCAGGCAGCAGTCCATTAAAACACGTTGGTGCTGACCTGGCTACCCCGGCTGTCCCTCGGCTTCATCGTTGTTGTTGTTATTGTTATCATCGTCGTCGTTATTGTTGCTTTTGTATTTATTGTCGTTGTTGTTATTGTCGTTTTGGTTATTGTTTTTGGTGCTGGAACCCGGGTTGATTTGTCCCTGGCTGTGCCACGGTGTTGCATGTATGTAGGTTGAACTACTTTCGCACCGTACGTAGCCAGCCGTGCTAATTAGTGGATCCATTTGTTTGTGTTTCGCGTCTCTAGCTGCGATTGTATTTAGCCGCTATATATATATACATTGCAGTGGTTGTTGTTGTTGTTAATATTGTAGATTTAATTCAAGCTACTATGGCGTAGTTTACGCGTCTAACTCTAACTCGCGGTTCATTTGCTTCGTCATCTGTTCGTTCACAAGAGCCCAAATCCATCACTCATTGATCTCCTGTAGGGCAACAGTCACAGCAGGGAATTTGCACTGCAGGCTCAGTGAGTAACAGCCCTGGGTGGACAACAGTAATGGAATTGGGTCACGTGCCCCAGCGGTTAATTGGCGTTGCCACTAACCGACGCATGCCAATTAACCACCGAGCACGCTGATTATCTACTGGGCAGTTCCACAAAAAGTAGGTATCCTCCCGAATATAATAAATAAACGTAATGATAAACATGGGTGTGTCGTGTTTCGGAGTAAATTTGTGTACTTTTAGAAAAAAATACGGCTTGTTTATTAAATACATCAATCGTCCGATTTACGCATTTAATAAATATGTACCATCACCACCACAGGGTAGATGGAAACGTCAGATCTCCTGAGTAGTTGTGCCATTGTGGTCGTCTATGAGCAGATCTTCCTTATCAAGAAAAGTGAATCTTTTATATCTGACATGCAACACTGAGCAGATGACATACTGCACCCCAGTGAAAATCTTACCAGTCCAGACGTCGCTCGCCACCAACTTTATTCACGGCCAGGAATAAAACTCAGTTGGCTTGATTCGCGTGCCAATCACTGCGCCAACGCTCCACTACAAATATCACCACCCCTACCACTACCCCTACCACTAACCCTATCACTCCCACTACCCCTATCACTACGCCAACATCTGTACCGTGTGCGAAGCGAATGTCCGATATCGCGGCGTCGTCCCCCGCCCCCTTCCCCGCACGGCATCTCGGTTAATCGACGCTTCCTGGTCGCAGGCCCAGCGGCGGCGCGGCAGAAGCAATCGGGGCACGCTCCCTTCAGCCTCGGGGAGGACGAGGCGGACCCGCCAAGTGACGCGCGAGCGGACGCGACGGAGGAGAGGCCCGACCTGCTCTCGTTCCCGGCTCCAACCGTGGCCCGGCAGCTCACCTTGCGTGACGCCGTGAGTCGTGCGCCTACGCTGGCGGCTGCCATGTTTGTAGGCGTTAGGATGCGTCGCTTGTGTGATGCGCACCGTCGAAACGATCTGCCCTCGTCATTTAGAATTTGTCAATTCCACCGCTTGGTGAGGGACACACTGCACCACCATGCTGGCATGTATGTATGTTACTGGACATCTGTGAAAATGAGCTTCATAGCTCAGCGGATTCCCGCGAATGTAAATGAATATTATGATTCTGAAATTCATTCGCACCGTACGTAGCCAACCGTGCTAATCGGCGGTGCGGGGGAAGGTCAGCAAACTAAACACAAAAAGCAGTTCTAAAGAAGTAGTTTGGGTTGGTGAAGGGAGGCACCGTGGACATGGGAACATATAAACAAGTACATTCCAACCGTGGATTTTGTTACACTGGCCATACTTTTAGGGCCATGGTTAATGGTGAAATAGAAGAGGAAGGGATTAATGTGTCCAATGTGTCTTGATGCCACCAAATTTGTAAAGAACACATCTGAATTTGTGCAGACATATGTCCGGCATGGGTAATTATTTTTAAAAATAAATTTAATCACCTAATTTTCTGTCATTTTGCTAAATCATGACGCTGAAAATGGCCCATTCTAAGTGACCACCGATGATGGATATTTCGCATCCACATGACGCATCATCTGTTCTGCACGTCAATTATTCATTTCCTCCTATGCTTATTTATATCTGTGGGTTGGAGTGGTGGCAGGGTGTGAGTTTGATTTTTGGCCACGGTTAACGTCAGCAGCGAGCGACATCTGAGCCAATCCTGGTGTCCTCCATTCACCGACCCCGCACGAACCAGCGCGGTCAAGTACGGTCAAAGGACCCCTTTCATCCAACAGTCGATTGACGAAAAAACTCATCGTCGTTATTTAATTCTTACAACAACAACAACAACAACAACAAAAATACCCTAACCGCGATTGACCACGTGTCGCGCAGGAGCTCTTCAAAAAGGTGGCGCCTCACCACTGCCTGGGCTGCGTGTGGTCGCGCCGCGACCGCAAGGGCAACCGCCACCTGGCGCCCTCGGTGCGCGCCACCATCGCGCAGTTCAACGCCGTGGCGGCGTGCGTCGCGTGCACCGTGCTGCGCTGCTTGAGCGGCCAGGCGGCTGCGGGGCACGGCGCTCCGGGTACCGGCGCGCGCCACGCAGCGGCGCAGCGAGCCCGCGTCGTCGAGCACTGGATCGCCGTCGCTCAGGTGAAGAAGCTCGCCGAGCCCCGCCCCCACTCGGCCTGGACAGTTCTACTGCTGCGACCGTTGCGCCAGAGCTGGGAAGCTGGGTCCTAGCGCCCTCCACCCCCCCATCTCGACCCCAGTCGCTCGCAGCAGCAGCAGCAGCAGTCTGTGCCTCCCGAAGTGGAGTTGTGACGTAGCCGGATGTGATGAGGCCGGCCAGCTGGACGCTTCCAATCGCCACTGGGTTTCATTCCGCACCTTGACTTGACACGCGGCCATGCGGTTGCCTCTGACGGTCAAGTCTCGATTCCTCTCCTCTTGTTTTAGCAACTCATGAGTTCACGTCCGGGTTTGGTTGCCAGAGCACAGCCTCGTAGAGGGGGAGCTCAGTGGACGTCTCGCTGAGTTTGACCGAGGCTTGCAATGGTTGGCAATGTGGTCCACTACTACGGTCTGGTTAAGGAATCCAACCGTTTGCGTGCCACGGGCCTCCTCTGCCACGGGTGCTGCGCGGTTATTCGGTTCGTTGTTGCATGCCATTGTTTGTTTGGGGCAGGTTTGATACGTGGTGGTGGAGGGAAGGGGTTCAGTGTCAACCCTTGAATACCTGGGGCGATGGGGAGGGAGGGGGCAAGCCTTGATCAAAGGAAAGCACGGATAATGCGAAGCAGATGTCAACGGAATTATAAAACGCACACGTATTGTTTACCGACGGAGAAGGGAGCGAGGAGGCAGCTGTGTGGAGTGCGTTTTTATTGCTTCTTAAAGTAATCGGTTTAACCTCCTGATGTGAATGCGGTCTTTCTGGTCACCGAGTTATTGCTGACCCTGAACGAGTTAGCATCGGCAAATAATTAAATCGGCACGTGTGTCAGGATTTTTATTCTCAGTAAGCGCGGTTAATGCGCAATGTCAGATGATCCGCTCGCAGGTAGCTGCGAGGGTCACAGGCATTCAGAAGGCCTCTTGTGCACTCCTCTGTTGTAGCCACGCCCGCGATTTCCTGGAATTTTCTGCCGCAGAACTCTGCGGGTTGCGTGATGGAGCAAAATCTGGGGTTTGTGAGTGCCGACTGTCCCGAAGTGGTGCTTCGTATGCATCCCCCAAGGGCTCTGTGACGTGGGCTAAGCATTTGCCTACGCACTGCCTACCAGTTGTGCCGGGGCTCCCTGTCTATGTCAAGGGGGGGGGGGGGGTCATACCCATCACATTCTTGTCGGCGGACGTGGGCTATTATTTGAAATAAATCGTGAACATGCCACTTTTTTTCATCAGTGTCTAAGAAAGGCTAGCTGACAATCGTGAGTAAGGTAATGGCGGTTTCTTATTTAGCAAGACTATCGAGAAGGTGCCGCGCTCGACAGACACAGCCTGCAGGAGTATCACAGTAAGGGGGCAAATATTTTCTACGTGGCTTTACCCAAATAGGTAATCGAGTGATTTTTTTTTTATGTGGTCATTTGGACCCTGACGCAGGCAAACGTGGCCCAACTATTTTTCGAATAATGTCACGCAATCTCTAACGTCCACTGTTGAAAGCAGACTTCACTTTTTTGTTGTTCTTGTCGTTGTTAATATGGCCTCAGTGTTAACCAGGGTGGCTGCTGGGCTCGAACTGTGAACCTCTGACGCAAGCGACAAATGCGATCCACTTGGCCTCACTTCTCGCTGAAAACACTGAGCTACTGTGCTCGGGACATGGAGCCATCGTGAAAGTTATCATTATCATCATCGTCATCACCGCCACCATCACCACTGTGGTAATTTCCGTCACTCGTTGTGCCGGCATCCAAGAGACTCGTTTGTTTTGAACAATTGCCTCTGACGCCGTTCAATTTCTTTCTCGCAGGAGTGCCGGATGCTGAAGAATTTCTCTTCCCTCCGAGCCATTCTCTCTGCACTTCAGACGAACCCAATTCACCGGCTAAAGAAGACTTGGTGCTGCGTGTCAAGGTTTGGAAACAACCCATCTGAGTTCAAGCACCCATAGCAGTCACGTCGGCGTACTCTGTAGTTGTGCAACGATTTGCCCTCCCCAGAGGTTTCATGAATTGGCATGATTCAGGCGTCATGATGACTTGATTACACAACGTATTCCTTTTTGTGCTATATACGTACCGTGTTTCTCGTGTCGCGTCCCATTTTTTTATTTTGTCTCGTATTCATGCGGCGGTTTCTTTTTTTTGCTTGATTGGTCTAAACGTTAAAAAAGAAAATTCACACAAAATTTACATTCATTGTATATGGCATCTATTTTTACACACCGAAGCTAAAATCCGAGTGCAGGTAGAAGGACTGAGGCTGGCTTAGATTCACGACCAAATGTTTTGTTTTTCTTGGCGTGAGGCGTTTGCAGCGGTGCTGACGGCTTTCTTTAAAGTGTCGTTTTAAACAACACTTGCATGCTTACATTTGCAGAGAGAAGATTGTGGCATTTGCGGAGCTGTCGGAGATATTCTCTGATGAGAACAACCACTTCACGAGCCGAGAGCTGCTCATGAAGGTAAGCGAAACATCCCAGATAATGATTAATGAAACGTTCCCTCTCAAACGTAAACACCTCAACTGCTATATGTTCTTGGTTCTTTCGGTGAAGTCACGTAGAACCAAGAATATGAATCCCTGCAGTCACGAAAGCTTTAAATCAAAATCTCAACTGCTAATTTAACAATGTGCTCCATATGTTCACTTAACATATTGTTTTGTTTGTGTAAAAAAAAACTACGCTTTATTTATCCAGTTTTGTTTCTTCCAAAGTCCATTATAATTTTTCGTTAAAAAAATGTCTCTCTCTCGGTAATTCAACCAGAATGATATCACCGAAAAAAAAATTCCCTTGACGACATTCGGTATATTATCCTTACTTTCTCCCCTTATTGCGTGCTCCACCTTTCTCAAATAAACCAGGAGGGTACGTCTAAGTTCGCGAGCCTGGATTCCAACGGCAAAGAAAGCCAGAAGCGGACGTTCAAGCGATTTCAGACGGCGAAGGAGCCGGTGAGAGAGGAATCTGCCCGGGGGATGCCCCCCCCCCCCCCCCCCCACGATTGCCCCATGAAGTGTCACGGGGCCCTGCACTGATCGCACGATCGCCGTTCTTTTGACTGCCATTTGACCGAGCGGTCGCGTGCAGTTGTCAAAAAAAAACCGGAGTATCCTGGCTGAACTGCGGTGTCAGCAGCAACGTTCGCAATGGCCCGGTATCCCGAGCATGGCCTGCCCGCCTTGTCGGTGACGTGGCCGAGCGGTAGTGCCTTTTTTGCCGATTGTCGCGGTTCGAGCCGAGCAGCCACGCTGGTTAAGACCTGCGGCTCCGGTAACAACAAATACGAAATGCGCGCACCGTCTGCTTCCTAGTGGTTGCCAAAGATCCCTTGACTTTATTCGAGCCGGGGTCATGGCAGATTACTAGAGAATTATCGAATTGGTATATGCCACAATGTGGCATCACCCCATTGCTTTGAAACGATGTGCAGACTGCAATCGTCTGTGAAACATAGCGCCTTCGTGATAGCCTTTGGCTGCATGGATGGCACGAATGCCAAACACAGTCGTGATTTGATTTGATTTGGTTTTATTGTCTTTGCTGCAGGGCCTCATGCAGGGAACCATTCCATACTTGGGAACGTTTCTGACGGACCTCACCATGTTGGACACTGCCTTGCCAGACTACGTGGAGGTACAAAACAGACTTCATCTCTTCTGGCACAGAAAAAAAAAAAACTCGTGTCTCAGCTTACAAGCATACTGTACAGTATGTGTGCCACGGATAGTAAAGCTTAATATTTTTTTACATTTAACGATCGTTCTGTTCTTTTATTTTTCTAACAGGGTGGCCTGATTAACTTTGAGAAGAGGAGAAAGGTGAGCATTTTAAATCACAAAACGATCAATGTTCCTGTTTATGAGTGGTCTTTAATTCGACCTTGTAATTGCAATCACCCAGAATGAGCCCAGTCACATCAGGTCTCAAAAGGTAAGCGGGTTTGAGCCTCGATGATGATTGGATGGGTGGCCACATTGCACAACGCATTGTGCATGGGCTACTGCATTGTGGGCAGCAGAGGACGGTGCAGCAAACTCCACTGATGTCGTGTACCTCTATGCTTCCACGTCCAAGCTCCAGGCCTTTTTTCCGCATTGACCAGCGTGGTGCAGGATGGCCAAATAGCCGATATGACCCGCACGGCATGGGGAGGCTCTAATCCAGCAGTGGAATAGCAGAGGCCTGGCTGTACACGGACAAAGAATTTCCATTTACGCGCTTTAAATGTGAGCGTGTTCGGAACGCATCAAACGAAGGATCTGCTCTCACGTTTACCGACCGACCAGACTTTAATGTAATTTTTGTTGTGCTTTATTACAGGAGTTTGAAGTTATTGCACAGATCCAGTTGCTGCAGCTGGCTTGTAACAACTACTCTTTGAGCCCCGAAGGGAAATTTTTGGACTGGTTTAACCGGCAAGAAAAACTGAGCGAGGAAGAAAGGTGCGTGTGTGTATGTGCGCGCGTAGCGAGCGTTACGTTTATTGATTTAGACTTTTATCTCGCTCTGTTTTTTGCGGTTATTATTTCGTAGCTCTGTCAAGCTGTATTTCTACGCTTCATTCGCGAGGTGGCCTTGTATTTTGTGTGCAGGAATTATCGGCCGATTATTTCATTGTGGTTCATTTTTTACCCTTCGCCACGGCGGCGCACAACTGCCCGGAATATCGCTGGGGCCTTGAAACGTTCATAAGCAGGCTGACAATCAGCCGATTCTTAATGGTATCTCTAAATGATGAGAAAACCCATCAGATAAGGAAGGCTCCCTGCACACTTACCCTTTCTGCTCTGCTCTAATGCGTTTCTCATCGTTTGCAAAAAGTGTCAGGATTGGTTTCATGTTTGTGTATGTGCGTTGAACTTTTTCGCCAACCGTGCTCATCGGAGGCACGTGGGAAGGAAAACAATGTAAACACAAAAAGCAGGTCTAAAGAAATTCGTTTTAAAACTAGATATTAAATCTAGATGTAATATCACCGTCAGGCAGAGCCAGACGATCCTCACAGTAATCAGTGCCCATTGATTGCTTGTCCAGATAAAGGCCCTTCGAGAGACAATACAGCGGTCACTCATTGTGCTGGTGCTGCTTAAAATAACATGGCTGTAATTTGTTTTATCTTGTTGTCTACAACACCATTGCATCGAGCATCGGTATAGGCGGCATGGCGACGGCGTGTGCCATGCAAGGCACACCATACAGACTTGGCGTATGGCCACAGTGGTACCAATTGTTGTGTAGTAGAAGTCACTTTGTGAACTATTACTCTCAAGCTGACGTGGTGCTCTTGCCATCAGCCCCCCCAGCCGCCCCCACCACTGAAATGCACTTACTGATCAGGCCTAGACAGGGCCTTCGCGTAACACGTGAGTTGGTGTTTTTTAAAGACCACCAGGCCACCCAACTGGCCCGGCAAATTACTTTTTCTTGAATTTAATTGCGTTTCGAGGGTTGGGGCGTATTAATTAGTTCGGGATGGCCTCATTTTACATTCATTTTTTTCAACTTACGGCCTCATTACCCATGGCTTGCATGCAAATGCCAGGGGCAAAGCGGTGCCTTTGGGCGTGAGCCACCACAAGTGGCGGCTGCGCTGGCAAGTTGAAGGACGGGGCGTGAGTGAGGGCGGTGGGGCTGACGCTGCCGGCAGGGTGGCGTCGGTGCCGCGCCTCGTCTTTATCTCCGCGCAAAGCCCTAAATCGTGTGCGCACATGGTCTTTCCCACCCTTCGGGTAATGCCTGCAACTTTTGTACAAAATGTAATGCTGTGGGCGTGTGCTTTAAATCTTCTGTTTGTTGTTGTTGTTGTCGTCGCTGCTGCTGCTGCTGTTGCTCCCCAGCTATGCACTCTCATGCGAAATTGAACCTCCCACGGAAGTCAGCCCCACGTCGCCCAGGCAAAGAAAGAGCGTCGTCAAGCGGCTCAGCCTGTGAGTGTCACGGTCCGCGTGGATTTGTGAACGCTTCTCCCGGAGCTGATCGGCGGCTGCAGTGCGATCTTGTGTGTGTGCCTTTTTTGGCACGCACGTCGTTTCAAGTTCTGTGGGGCAGTCCGTTTCTGCATAACATTTGCCACATACAAATAACATTCTAATTTATGGCATCACTGAATGAATCACGTTTATAAAACCCTGTCGTTTGTTAAGTGAGACAAACCGCACTAACATTACCCGAGTTATTTATTACCCTCATCAGGGTTTTCCTCTTTTTTTTTTGCCGATTTAGTTGTTTCATGCCAGGTTTGTACTTTGTCATGTCCCCCGTGACAATTCATTTGAGATTGTAACTTATTAATACGATGAAATGATGATGACGTGAACAAGAAATTTCCAATACAGCATTGTACTTTCAATTGAATCCAATTATATTTCACGCCACCCTTTTCATATCACAAAAAAACAATTGTTAAAAACGCGCAGCTAAATTTATACGCACGTGCAGGTTGGTATGTTCATCCTTCTTTCGCATGGTACGCAGCCAACCGCACTAATCGGAGGCGCGGGGGAAGGACAACAAACTAAAACACAAAAAAATCAGTTGTAAAGAAGTTCGTTTTCAATCTAGATTTAAAATCAACAGCAGCGACGATGTTCATCAACCGAAAACGATGCTCCCATTGCAATCAATCGACGGATCGATCCTTGTCCCACACACGCAGCCTCTTCATCGGGGTTGACGTGACGCCAGGCAGCCCCCAAGCCCGGACGCCCAACGGCGAAGTGGCCGCACTGGAAGAGTCTCCCGAGGGTGGCGCTGCGGGCGCCGCGGGCGGCGAGGGCTGCGGCCCGGGAGATGTAGCGCCGGCCTCCGGTGGTGGCGGCGGTGCCGGCGTTGGCGGCGAGCGAGCCGACTGCCTGAGCGTGGCGTCGAGCGCCTCGGAGCACGACGCCGTGGGCACGCCCGCCGATGCACCCGACGGCTGCCCCAAAGAGGTGTGGGCACCGCCGCTAATACCGCCGTTAATACCACCCCCTCCGCCACCACCTCCGCCACCACTACCACGCCACCACCCGCCAGTACCGACTAACAGTTACCACCACCACCACCACCGCCATCATGACCGCCACCACTACTGCCGACACGACCGCCACCACTGCCACTACTACAATCCATCATCATCATCATCACCACCACCACCGACACACGATTCACCAGTGTCCGGTTACATGAGACAAATGAGGTGAATGTGTGCCATCATTTTCGTTGTCATCATCAGCTAAGATCAGCGGCAACAGCGAGATGAAGGCCTGCCTGTGTCGCCGCCATGGTCCTGCGATGCGACAATTTCATCGCACGCTTCCTGTGCAATGTGTCATTACTGTACTTGATCGGTTAAATAAATACGTGTTTCTACTTGTGTTTCATGTAACTTGACGACGTGAAGAATGTGGTAGGCAGCTTATGGATGAATTACAGCGTGATTGGCCATAGCTCTTCAGTTCTGGTTAATCCTGATGTGGACGCAGGACGAGTGGAGGTAATCAGGGATGAGGATCACCACGGGTCTCGTTGCCTTTCCGACGCAAAACCCGAGAAGTGTGGGAACGAGCTGTGGCACTCGAGCGACAGGTGACAATTGATTCACGGTTATTACTACTTCTTACTACGGCGCAAAAAAAACAAAAAACATTTCAACAACGAATGGCTGCATGCATGGGCAGACTACCTTGCGGGCGACACACCCATTGTGCTGTCATGCCGAGGCAAGTACACCTCTTGATGCGCCGCCAGGCGGGCCATTGCGCGGGCGGGCGGGCGGGCGAGGGCGTCGAGCTCTTGCGTTGTTCCCACGCTTGGGGTTCGACGTAAACAAAAGCGCGCGCTTGTTTGCGATATCCGCAGCTGTCGACGAGCTCCTCGCTCGCCTCGCTCCACTCGGCCGACGTCTCCTCGGGCGTCTTCGCTGGGTCGGGCGTCTCCTGCTCGTCCTCGTCCTCCTCGTCCTCGTCATCGGCGTCCTCACCCAGGTCCTCGTTCAGGCTGCACGGTCAACGGTGAGGACGCTCCCTCGGCGTGATGCAATGACAAAGCGTTGGAGGCTTACCGACTCGTAGAGCTGGGAAAAAAATCCTCTTAAATTACCCCCGCCATTGTCCACCCGGCCGACAAAAATGGGTTACGCCGTGGTTAGTCAATCGTCGGTTCAGGTGTGGTGGGGGAAAAAAAGTGTGGGGTGTACCCCCACCTCTTCCAAGACATCTTGCCAACGTGGAAGAGAAATGCTCTCTAAGAACCCCCTCAGGTGGAGGCCCTTACACCAGCAAGGGCCACATAATGAACCCTTTCCCATTGCGCTGACGTACATGTACGTCATCATCATGGGACCTCCGTTGTCAGTATCAGAGACTAGGTTCTAAAGAAAGCTGTCTCTGGTGTGGACCAACTCAGTTTCAAAGACAATGCATATACTACCAGAGCATGTTTTTGTTTGTTCGCATGTTCGCCACAAGTATGTGTGGTTAATGCAGACATGATTCCTTGCGAAAGGTTTCTGTTTTTGGCCTTTTAACATCTTAACACAACTGTTTTATTGCCAGAAAGGGTAAAACATTCTTATATTGTGTACGTCATCATTCTTATTCAGCATCGATTGCTTTATCGATCCTGAGGCTCCCACAAGGCCACGCGTTTGGCACAGTTTGGCGCCAACTATCATAGAGTGGCGGTCGTGTTGCTACAGTTCTCTGCGGTGACTACAATCTCCTAAACACAAACGGCTCCACACCTCTCTAAATAAAGTTTACGCCGAGCCGCTTCCATTTTCCAAGATTCAGCAGTGAACGAGACACCCACCCTGCAACTTGCAGACGTCTCGATTCTGAACCCTCCACCTCCCGCACTGACACATCTTCATCATCCCCAAAACTCACGCACGTCGAGGAGGCAGTCCGATTAGCATGGTTGGCTACGTACGGTGTGAAAGAAGTACAACATACATACATACATACCCCACCTGTACACCTCGCTTCCCCGTGAGCCATATACACACACAATGTGACGAGCTGTACCACACCCCCCCACACCGTCCCCCACCCACCACCGTCCTGCAGGAGCGTGTTCAACAAGACGCACCAGCGCTCGGTCTCCTGCTGCTCGGCGGTCACCCGCCCCGTCTACAACCGCCAGTCGGACGACTCGTGCATCATCCGCGTGGTGCTGCAGTCGCCCAGCGACGGGAACCTCTACAAGAGCGTGCTGGTGGGTGCACAGCAAAGCCGCACGGAGGCCTTTTTGGTAAAGGGGAAGGAAAGGAGATCGGTTGGTGGAATGACGTGAGCGGGTCGACGGGACTCTCAATGTGAGAAGCTGACGATGTGCAAACAGATGGAAAAACATCTGTCAGTGACATCAGCCCAGAGTTATGATGATCCGTATGATGATACAAGATATGGTTAGCTAACTCATACGGTGGCTTTGGTGCACGCCTGTAGTGCGGCATTGTGCAGGCCAGGATTGGTGGTTCACACACAAGCGCTAACTTTACATATGCAGCACTGACAACTGTTTTTTTGTATCTAATCACGTTGCACTCTATGCAGAATCAATCAAATTCTAGATATAACCTCCTAACGATATTTCGCCTTCCAAACCCCAACCCCACTCTGCTTGCTCAGCTCACCAGCCAGGACAAGACGTCCAGCGTGATAGGGAAGGCGATGGTCAAGTACAATCTGGAGATGGAGCGAGCCGAGGATTACCAGCTTGTGCAAGTCATCTCGAACGAGAGAGGTGAGCCCCGTGCCAACTCGCGGTCGTCCGTAGAAAGCATCGATTTAGCCAGGAAATGTGCTCTCCGAATCAATAACTTACGCCGTTAATGTTTGTTCTCTACGAATGGGTTTGTTCGATATGTTTTTGGCAGTGGAGTGATGGTCGGGGCGAATGGACGGATAAATGGGCTGTTAACTCAAAATTCGTTCCCGTGTCCCGTTTTGCGCCGCATCGCGTTTTTCGTTGTTGTCGCTGCACCCGCAGAGCTCGTGATGCCTGACCGTGCCAACGTCTTCTACGCCATGAGCACCTCCGCCAACTTTGACTTTGTGCTGCGCAAGAAGGGCTCTCCGAGGCCAGCCGGTCCGGCGGCGGCACCGCCGCCACCGCCGTCTCGCAGCCAGTCCAGCTCGTCACTGCCCAACCTCAAATCAAAGGGGGGCTCCCTCACCCAGCGGCTCAACAGGGCCGCCCTGTAACGCAGCAGCAAAATCAGGAGATGCTCCAACACGCCTGGGCCGCCGTTGTTCGCCGCTGTCGCCTCTGTTCCGTTGTGTCGGAATGTCACCGCGCGACAATGCCCTCAGGCCCAGGATGGATGTTAGTTTTGTTTGGGGGACGTCGTGGAATCCCGTCGTCAAGAAAACAGCGTGATATCGCTTTGAGAACGGCGATGCTGACCATGCCTTTGTTGGAAATGAGTTCGTTGAAGCCGATGCCGTACGTAATGTGTAGATGAAAGTGAGAGGATGTGGACCTGCGTAATGCCGTGGTGTTTTGTGGGGAAGAGAAAGGGGGGAAAGAAAACAACTGGATGGGTGAGGGTTGTTGAAAGTGCTGGTTTGCGTGTCGAGTGGAGACATGGTGGTATCTTGGTCTGAATATGACCCCTTTGCACTTGCTTTTTTTTCGAATTTCGAATAGGTTTGTTTACACTAAATGTAAGCAAACGTAAGATATTTTTTTGAAAATGATTGAGTTATCAACTAACATTTTTGACAGAAATAAATGAGTAGAACTCAGCTGTGTTTTGAGAGGTTCCAAGACTTACATTTGTCGTACGGGCTTAGTGGCTAAGTCTATTTAATTTCAACATTATCTTTAAATTATATACATTGAAATGTATTTTGCATGTACTGTTGAAAAATATAATTTCTGTACTGTAATAGCTTTTCATGTCACTTAATATTTCGCAGTGATAATACAATTACAACACTGCCCTCTGGTGAAATATAGTGAGTATAAAAAAGCATCTGAATTCAATGGCTGTCAAAAAACTTGGTGACGTCGGCAATGATTGATTTCGGTTTGTTTTGTAACAGAGCCACAGTTGCTCGTGATAGTTTAACAATCGTGTGTTTTAAAATTCCGCACGAGTTTGCAGATGTCCCTCTCCCTCAGCTGCAGTCGTGGCTGTCGTGGAATCGTTTAAGGATCGAGGTTTCCACCTTGTCCACAGACCAAATTTCGGACGCATTTCTCAGTCGGCCTCAAGTCTATAAAACCTGCTGCAGTATACAGTGATTAAGTTCGACACGACAACGCCTACGCCATGTCCACTTAATTTACATTGTAACAATTATACAACAGAGTGTAGCAATTTCGATTTAAAGCTTTCGTGACTGCAAGGATTCATCTTCTTTGGTTCTTTCGGTAAAGTCACGTAGAATGAGAATAAAATAATAAAATAACACAAAAATTCTCACGACGTTTCGGCCACAACACAAGTGGCCTTCTTCAGGTGAAAGGAACAAACCTGTCGGGACGACAGAGCTTCATCGTCGTCCCGACAGGTTTATTTTATTTTTTATTATTTTATTCTCATTCTACGTGACTTTACCGAAAGAACCAAAGAAGAAGAGTGTAGCATTTTTATTATTACTATCAGGTTTTGTAAAATGTAACTAATACCTGAGCAAACATGTGGAGCACACTTTGGGTTTAAGACTTCGCACTCTAAAGTATAATCAAGAGGAGAGCCATTAACAGGCTTTCTTTCAAATGGTTTATCTCTGCCCGTTGGAAGCAATTTACTTGTTAAAAAACTATTTTTGCTCATTTGTATCGTTGCTGGAAAGCAGCATCCTAAAGCCAACGTAACATATTGCAAGTACTTAACGAAGTCCAACCAAAATTTTACGGAGACATTTACATGCCTGCGATTCCGGTGATGGTTTTATTTAAGTTAAACGTCTTTACCGTCATCTCAAATGTTTTACACTTTTGAAGCTTAATTTGCCAAATTTAATAGCTGTGTGCAGTATTATGCGTGTCATTATGTAATGCACTCAAGATTGTCTCTTGCCTGTTTCACTTTTTCATTTAAGATTACCGTGTCTTTTTGTTTTGTCTTCAAGCTATTACGAACATACTGTATTTGCTAGATTTGTATCATTCAAAACTCTTAATGTCGTTTACAAAATCTGTGCAACAGAACCATATGTTGAATCTCCTGCTTTTGGACAGGAAATGAGTAATGTCACGCCAGGCAGTCCTGCCTTGTGGCATCCTTCGGAGCGTTACACTTTTGATAAGCATTCTATTCCAATAATTGGAAATCTTAAGGAATAATCTTAATTTTGTTGAAATGATGTCCTTATCCAACATGGATGACTGCACAAATCGGTTGGATTAGGTGGTTATGTGTGTGTAAATTCTCACGATGTATATATCTCTCTATATACATATCTTTTAAAGTTATATTTGTTTTGTCTTTGTACAGAACTGCCATTTTTTGAATGCGGTCTGTAATGCACTAATGCAAAATGTTTAATTTCCCCTTAAATATATTTCTTTCGTTCTTGCAAATATAGCCAACAATGTATTTGATGTGTTAAACTGTTTCAAACGATACCAAAAAATGGCTTAGCGGTGTGCTTGCTTTACGAATTATTACTCTACTTCGAAATGACAAATTTCAACGCAGTCCTTTATAGGTGACTTAAGCTTGACAAACTGCCTGAGTACATGGTCAGGTTTTGGTCAGGTTTTGGGGCGTGTGTGTGTGTGTGTGTATAAGCATCACAATGTTTACTCTTGTGTGTACCTGCTTGGCACAACTGGCATGGCCCATTTGGTTTTTGAAACCACGGTCGGATACAGAATGAGAAGCCAGCCAGGCAGACACTTACCTTTGGTCTAGCGTCAACCCCCTGGTGGCCAAGGTGTGCTGCGGTCATGGTGCACGTTAATAAAGACGTGTAAATGTAAATACGGTCAAGTTGGCCGAAAGAGAGGGAGAGTACTGTAATCGAGGTTTTATTGGGTTAGATCGCGTAAATGTAAATGTGTCGTAAAGATTCAATTGCCACGCTGGTTGTCGCCTGATGAGGCTGGTTGTTATTGCCGGAAAAAAAAAAACTTCTTGTAAATGTGTGCTGAACTATTAACGAATTGGCATGGTTTGTTTACGTGACAAACCTTACTAATTGGCTGTTTCGGGGTGGTGGTGGTGGGTTTAACGTCACATTTATATTTACACGGTTGAACGCAAAAAAAAAACACGTATAGTCACAGAAACCTACGTGTTAAACTGAGAGTACTGTAGTTCAGAATTGTTTATTCAATGAAGTGCTCACGCCATTTACAAACGCTCGTGGATTGGGGGCCGTCCATAAATGACGTCACGCACCTAGGGGTGGGGGGGGGGGTCAGACATTTGTGACGATGCGTGACGAGGGGGGGGGGTGAGAAATGTGACGTCACATCAAAATGCGCAACTTTAAATAAATAAAGACAACACGTTCTACTTAATTAAATATACTTTTTAATAAATGTTTTCTCCTACAACATCAGAGTGCAGCGCCACATTAAATACGCACTGCAATGACAATAGTTTAAAGCGATTTGAAGCATTGTTTATGTATATATTTTTTTTTGGGGGGGGGGGGGCAGAGCTTTGTGACGTCACATTTGAGAGGGGTCTGACTTTTTTGTGAGGCCGCGTGACGTCAATTATGGACGGCCCCTTGGCCCATAACACCTCGATACGTATAGGCCCACAGAGCTTGAGCAATCATTGGCACCAGCTCATCGGGCAGCTGCCTCCCAGCTGTCTGTGGTTCCTCGCGTCTCGCGTCGTTCTCCCTCAATGAGAGTGAGTGAATAGTGTTGCGCGTTACGAGCCACATACCCACACATATATTCACTGTACTTTCTCTACGGTTGATTACGTGACAACAGAGGGCGATCCATTTATAGATATCCCACTAAAATAACAGGGATATGTTACGAGAGAAAACGAACATCAACGTCTCCCACCAAAACACGCATTAAAATCACTTGAAACGTTCCGCTGCAAGATATTAAGCCACCGTATTAAACAAGATTCAATCACCTGCTCTGAAGAGGAGCATTGTAAATCAGTGGGGTATCTATAAATGGCCACGATTTTTAAGAAAACCAAATGCCATTTTACTTCGTTTTATTATGCCATAAGAATGGGCTACGTTTTTTTGATGGTAGCAATAACTGTAATACTCGTACAAAAATCCGTTGCGATTTTGTTTGTATGGAAATCGAATACCATGTGATGGTTTTTGCTTTGTACCTAAAACAAAGGTTTACACTCATTGTCCGAGTATAATTGGTTTTTTTAATCAGTAAAGCTACAACTGCAATCATTTAAAACTGTAATGTGTGAGGATGGCTCACCCTGGCACTTTCTATAATTCAGTATTACAAGCCTTACTGCTGTATATTTCCCTTCTAATGCTTGGTAATGTATGCACCCCAAATGTAAATTGCTCACAAATTCCACACTACTACTTTTTAATGGGTGATCATTTTCGCTTTTGTCGATGTGTACATTTTCAGTATAGCATATTTTTCAAGAATTGCAATTTAAATTGTATTGAAACTTGTTACGTGATATTTCCTGACAATCCCTATTTCATTTTGTCGCTGCCGTTGCATTTCAGTGGAAATTTGGCAGGTGTTTCTTGAAAGAATTCGTGTAATAAATCTGTACACCATATTGAAATGTCTTCGTGTTTTTTTTTTAAATACCTCCTAAACGTACTGGGTTGCATTTTAAAAGGTGACTTTTTGAACGCAATGTGAGATCATAACCTTAAGCTTGTATTCCCCCCTCCATCATTTGTGAGTGTTTAATTCTTGATGAGGTTTACAATCATTAGTATTAAAGGTTAAGGATGTAGCTGTTGTGAAATGGTTAGCACACTGGACTTGTAATCCAGAGGTCACCGATTCAGTCTTTGGTAGAACGGACACGTTTCTTCAGCCATTCTGTCTCTGCAATATAAATTGCCGACCATAAGTGGATTGGAAGGTCAAAGGTCAACGTATGGATACTCCCACCCATGGCCAGCATGGACGAGCAGGCCAACATACCCTCCAGAGCTCCCTCGAGTGGGGGCCTCTATAACCAGCACGACATTTCAGGGCTGCGCCTTTACCTTATTAAAATACCTACCTGTCAACCCATTATCAGTGCCCACTTTATTATAGACTAGCTGTACTACCCGGCTTCGCCCGGGACTTGGATCCACCACGCCCGGCCGCCTTTGTCTCCCCAGTGGCGATGTTCACACACCACAGCAGTTAGTCGTTTGAGGCTGAGTCGACCTAGGGGAGGCCCAGGACAGGTTAAAATAATCGTCACTGGTGGTGGCCGTGAGCGGGAATCGAACTCGGGTCGCCGGGTTCGGAGTGGGGCGTGCTAATCGCTACACTACAATGCGTTACGCTTCCACATGCGCGGGTCACGTGACAGATTTGACGTCACAGCTCACTTGCCGTGCAAAAAATAAATGCATTATTGAGCTCCCCCCCCAAAAAAAAAACAAAAGTGTATTTTTATAATGTTGCATGGTGTACAGTCTGGAAAGTACCCACATGGCAAATTTCCAGTTTGTTGCATGTCGGGAAGTACGCTAAACATTTTGAACAGACACACATATTCACAACTTTGCCTTTTAAATATATGGAGATGAATTCAGAGCTTATTATAAGAATAGGTTTGACCCTTTCTGGCAATAAAACAGGTGTTAAGGTGTTAAAACACCAAACTGAATATTTTGAGGGGGTGGGTGGCCAGCATCACGCACGGCCGCCTTTGTATACACATTGCACCAGGTACTCATTTGAGGCTGAATCGACCTAGGGAAGTCCCAGAACCGGTTCGAAGATTCGTTGCTGTTATTGGCTTCCTTGAAACCCATGCGGGTTTACTGCTAAATCCATAATCTAGGTTTTATGGGGTTAGATCGTGTGAATATAAATGTGTCGTTAAACCCGCCACCACCCGACACGGCCAATTAGTAAAGTTGTCAAGTAAACAGAACATGTCAATTCATTACGAGTACAGCACCAGTGTGTTGGGGAGAAAATTTCACAATATTTACAATCTGAGTACGACATTAAGGCAGTAATCACAACTAGCATCATCAGGTGGACAGGCAGATTTGTGGAGAAATCCTCCTGTTGCGTTTTTTTTTAAATAGAGGGATAGATGTGATTACATCACTTGTGAGCCCTTCACACGCGAAGGGGTGGGGAGGGGGATTCTTTAATGCACTTAAATTGCAATGGGTATCCATTGCTGGTACATTGTCCATGCACATTATGCAAGCACATTGTTCTTGTATCCCTGTCATTTGCGTCATTGTCTGCGTCCAGGTAATCCCCATTGACGAATGGTGACCTGTAAGGGCATGCATTTAAAACAATGTATTATTTTATGATTCGCTTCCAAGCAGCACTAAGCCTGTAGCTATCTGAACGGTTAAAAAAAAGTATCTCTACTACGATAGATTCTATAATTAGTCTTGGCCAGTGGTAACTAGTTCTGCACAGAACTTCAACATTATCAAAATCAATTGAGTGTCCTTGTTGGCACGCGTGTTCTGCCACTGCCGACAGTTGTGTTTGGGAGTATTTTATATTCCGTTGGTGTTCTTTTAGTCTCATGCTGATCATTCGTCCTGTCTGCCCAACATAGCATTTGCCACAAGTGCAGTTAATCCGGTACACACCTTCTGTTGATAGCTTCGGTAATACATCTTAAGAACCAGATATTAATTTCTGTATTTTATGTCCCGTGCCAAATCTGACACGGATGTTTTGTTTTTTTACAAAAATATGGCTAGTTTATCAGTTACTCCCGCAATGTAGGGTATTTTAATAGGTTTAACTACTTGGTCAGTTTCAACTCTCGTGTTATTCGACTTGGTTTTGGCATTCAGTGCCCTGTTGATTCGTGCATCGTTGTAACCGTGCAATTGCAGCGCTGCTTTAACATGTTTAATTTCACTTCTCAAACTATCACCATCTGACACTTTCTTAGCCCGATGTATGAGCGTCTTGATGAGAGAGGATTTCTGTGCGGGGTGATGGTGTAACTCTGCATTCAGATAGGCTTCAATGTGTGTTTTCTTTCGGTAAAAGCTGTGTGTTATTTTACCATTTCGGCCGCTAGAGCAGAATATCCAGAAATGGGAGAGTTCGGTCAACTTCCATGGTGAACTGTATGGACGGGTTTTGCGAGTTGAGATGATTTGGAATTTCGTTAATTGTATTTGCCGTATGGCCAGGCCACCAATGTTTCATCCACATATCTATACCAAGCAGAGAGTTTTAGTGTGCTTGAAGCGATTGCTTTTGCTGAAAAATCTTCCATGTACAAATTCGCAATCACAGGAGACAAGGGAGAGTCAATTGCTTCTCCTCGTTTTGTTTATAGAAATCACCTTTCCACAATAGGTGAATCTTTGTTGATAGCCAGTTGCTAGCCAGTCGTTCACGAAGCCATCCATATATACAGACAGAAACAATTTGAACCGAGACGATGGTTTTAAACTCAGCAATCATTGGAAAGATGTCATCAACCACTTTGGGTCATGACTTGATTTGTGTTTTCTTGTCAATCTCCACCATCAGCAGTGTGGATGTGTGTAGCCAGGTGCAATGCCCCCCCCCCCCCCCATCTCTACCCCCCCTCTCTCTATCCCCCCCTCTCTCTCCCCCCTATCTCTACCCTATTCCTCCCCCCATTGTCTAACACACTTGGACTGCGCCCTCGCCTTCAGCTCCACCTTTATCTCTACCCCCTCCCTCCCCCTATCTCTACCCCCCCCCCCCCGCTCTCTGTCCCCCTATCTCTACCCCCTTCCTTCCCCCCATTGTCTCCCCGCCCATGCTGTGTACGCACAGTCCTCCTCCCAACTCCCCCATTGTCTACTCTACCCCCACTCTCTCCCCCTATCTCTACCCCCCCTCTCTCCCTATCCCTACCCCCTTCTTCCCCCCCCCCATTGTCTGACTGGCTGCCCCGCCCATGTTGTGGACGCTGCACAAGCTCTCCTGCCCCAACTCTCGTCCCCTGCCCACTTACTTTGGAAACCATTATGAGCAGTTGCATTTGGAGGCTTGCCCTCTTTTCTCTCCGCCTGATGAAGACCGCTTGTGTTGCGATCGAAACGTCGTGGGTTTTTTGCTTTTATTTTTATTTAAATTTTATTTGATTATTTTATTTTCTAACTACGTAACTTTACCGAAAGAACCAAGAATATGAATTCCTGCAGTCACGAAAATTTTAAGTCAAAATTTAACTACCTTGATTACCATATGAATAACCCAACCGGCAATGGATACATATTGTAATTTCTATGCATTCATTAAACCCCCTCCCTTTGCGTGAAAATGGCTCACAAGTAATGGCATCACATCCCTCTATTTAAGGAACAAAACAGGAGGATTCTCCACAAATCTGGCTATCCGCAACATGAAGCTAGTTTTAATTGCTGGCGAAATGTCGTACTTGGATTGTAAACGTCGATTTGTTCTCCAACACACCGGTGTGCTGTACTAGCGTAGTGCCGTGAATTCACTCGGACGGCAACCGCCTTTCCTCCACCGTCACTTTTATTTCCATCGTTCCGCACACACACACACACTATATAGTTTCACACACACACACTATATAGTTTCACACACACACAGTATAGTTTCACACACACACACGGTAATTCTCCTCTTCGCCCTCCGCCAACTCGGACACTCCGATTCCCCTCAGCACCGTCCGCTCATACTCCTCCCACACACAGTGGTTCTCTCTCTATCTCCTCACACACAGTGTTTCGTCTATCTCTTCACACGCAGTGACTTATCTATCTCCTCACACACAGTGTTTCGTCTATCTCTTCACACGCAGTGACTTTATCTATCTCCGCACGCACAGTGACTTCTCTGTCTATTCACACACAGTGACCCTATCTATCTCCGCACAATCAGTGACTCTATCTATAATTTTCCCTGTACCTATCTCCCCCGTAACTACCTCTCTGCTAACGCTAACTCTCCCTATCGCTATTTACTGTCCTTTGGGTTCGGCTCTCAATCTATTCTTCCCTAACATTTGCCGGCTCTCCTCTTCGCATCTCTCCACCTCTCGCCAACAACTTTCCTAACAACAACTCAACTCCCCGTCCAAATCACCTAGCGTTTTATCCAATTTCCAATCAACATTAATTAATTGCCACGTGGCTCGCTGGCATTTTCCTGCCAGCTCGCACCTGTCCAACGGTCCAGACTTCGCGACGCCACCACTTAACGCTAACAGCCTCTCGACCAATCACAGCCCTCGTGCCATGACTCCTTTAATTACTTCGGTTTGTTTACGCCACCCGTGACTCCACCACCTGCTTGTATGTCTGTATGTACTGTATGTGGCCAATTTACCCATGCGTATCTTTTACCCCACTACACTAGTAAGGAATCAATTAAGACCCGAAATGGTTTATCAAATCCTTCCAATTATTGCTAAGCCAGAATCCATCTTCTCGGTTGAAATTGTCTCTGTGTTTGTATATGTGGATAGCCTCATGAACGAATCTCTCATGGTAGCCAGATGTCTTGCAAAGAACCTCTGTCTTGGAGAAGTCAATGTCATGTGAGCCTACTGAATTATAACAGTGATCTGCCACGGCCGAGGTGTTGGTCCTACCGTTTTAGGTCTGTTTTGTGTTCACGAATGCGGTCTGAGACATGTCGTTTGGTTCTCCAATGTAACTACTAAGGATTTGATAAACCATTTCGGGTCTTAATTGATTGATCACGCTTAAGGTGGCTTTCAGACCGCATCCATTATTTTTGTCTCCCCCCCTCCTCTTTTCCGAACATAGATGGACTCGTCCATCTGAACAAACTGTCAAATCGCTCTCCGTGGTGCTAACCTTAAAAAAACGCCACTTTTTTCAAATGTTTATGCTGTGGTTTTCACACCTGATGATGATTGCTTGTATTGCAGTCGAAACGTCGTGAGAATTTTATTGTTTTATATTTTTATTATTTTATTGTTTCCTTTCTACGTGACTTTACCGAAAGAACCAAGAATATGAATCCCTGCAGTCACGAAAGCTTTAAATCTAAATGTTCTACTTAATTAGACTTTTAATAAATGTTTTCTCCTACAACATCAGAGTGCAACGCCACATTAAATACGCATTACAATGACAATAGTTTAAAGCGATTTGAAGCATGTTTTTTTTGTTTTTTATGGGGGGGGGGGGGGGGCAGAGCTTTGTGACGTCATATTTAAGGTGGAGTCTGACTTTTTGTGACGCCGTGTGACGAAGGGGGGGGGGGTAAAAAATCGACCAAAATCGCGTGACGTCATTTATGGACGGCCCCTAACACGAAATAAACAGCAACACTTTGCAGAGGATTGCTGAATATAAGCACATTAACATAACAAGTGAGCAGACAAATTCGCCTTAAATTATGTTAGTTATATTATGTTAGTTCTATTATGTTATATTCTTGGTTCTTTCGGTAAAGTCACGTAGAAGGGAAATAATACAATTATTTCCTTTCTACGTGACTTTACCAAGAATATGAATCCCTGCAGTCACGAAAGCTTTAAATCGAAATTCATATTATGTTAGTTAGCTCATGATCGGTTCGTACATTGCCTTCACAATACTAAAGTTCCATCAGCTTCTAGAAGAGTTCTTCCGGAAGACGTAGGACTTTAGGAAGTAATCTTCCAGTTATAGGAATAAATATTCCAGTTTAGGAAGCCTTCTTCCAGCGTTGGAAGAAATCTTCCAGTTCAGGAAGATCTCTTCCGGATAAGGCTCGTTCCATCGGCTCGCGGACATCTTTCCACTTCCGGCAGAGAGCTCTGGGGTTCCCCCCCCCCCCTTTTTAATTATTATTATCTGCAAATAAAAACAAATTTTAATTACGCGCTCGTTTTAAATAGTTTTATTTTAAATCAGGACACGACGTGAGTTGAAACACTTAATTACAAGTAGAGAAAAAAAAACCTTTTTAAGACAAGACGTCCTTCCCGATGACGTCAGCGCGAGCGACATAAACAGCTGAGCCGCCGAGAGGACGCAGCCTCAGGGTGGCGGATTGCAGGTAAACTCTACCGCGCAAACATTATCATCGCTCTTCTTGTCCTAACTCATTTAAAAATAAATCGTGTTTGTTTGTTTGCTTGCCTGCCTGCCTGCCTATTTACCGGGGCTGTCCGCCGGAGGTCGTGAGAACCACCGTTGATGTTTGATGCGCGAAGTTTTGATCTACGTGGAGGTTCCGTGTTGGACAACGTGGGGGGGAGTGGTGGTGGGGTCGAGGCGGTGAGAGCGGCCGTGGTTGGCGGTGTCACGGAGTTGACATTGGTGGCTTTTATCAGCCCCTTGACCGGGCCTTTATTTAACCACGTGACCGGGCCTTTATTTAACCATCTGACAGGACCTTTATTTAACCACCTGACAGGGCCTTTATTTAACCACCTGACAGGGCCTGTATTTAACCACCTGACAAGGCCTTTATTTAACCACCTGACAGGGCCTTTATTTAACCACCTGACAAGGCCTTTATTTAACCACCTGACAAGGCCTTTATTTAACCACCTGACAGGGCCTTTATTTAACCACCTGACAGGGCCTTTATTTAACCACCTGACAAGGCCTTTATTTAACCACCTGACAGGGCCTTTATTTAACCACCTGACCAGGCCTTTATTTAACCACCTGACAAGGCCTTTATTTAACCACCTGACAGGGCCTTTATTTAACCACCTGACAGGACCTTTATTTAACTACCTGACAAGGCCTTTATTTAACCACCTGACAAGGCCTTTATTTAACCACCTGACAAGGCCCTTTATTTAACCACCTGACAAGGCCTTTATTTAACCACCTGACAAGGCCTTTATTTAGCCACCTGACAAGGCCTTTATTTAACCACCTGACAGGGCCTTTATTTAACCACCTGACAACCTTTATTTAACCACCTGACAGGGCCTTTATTTAACCACCTGACAGGGCCTTTATTTAACCACCTGACAGGGCCTTTATTTAACCACCTGACAAGGCCTTTATTTAACCACCTGACAAGGCCTTTATTTAATCACTTTACAGGGCCTTGGGGAATGAACTTCCACAAGGAAGATCTGTGAGCTACAGGGAAAGTGTGCTATTGTGTGGTCAAATCATATATTGTTGGTATTTAATCACTTGACAGGGCGTTGGGGATCACGTGTTATACCGGAGGGGAGTCAGCCGATTATCTGTGTGATCAAGGAGCTATCGGGTAACTGGTCCTGTGAGATGTGGGCATTCCCACTTTACCATAAACATCCTTAAGATGCCCTGCACTGACTGTTGTCTTTGATCATTGACACTGAACCCTTGAAGGTTCGTTAGTTTGCATTTGTGAGCCGTGGGCGTTTGCATTTATTTAAAACTTTCGTGACTGCAGGAATTCATAATCTTTGGTTCTTTCGGTAAAGTCACTTAGATAGAAAAAGAATAACAAATAAATTGAATAAGAAATCTGTTCGTGTCTTTTATTATTTTATTTTTATTCCTTGATTTTTATGATTATTTTTCTATCTACGTGACTTTACAGAAAGAACCAGAGACTATTTGCATTAATGCATAACAATACTAAAGTTACATTATTCAAGAACTGTGTGTGTAACATTTTCTGCAAATTAAAGTGTAATTTATAGTGTAATATGTATTCCAAACGTTGGGATGTTCGTGAAATATAACATCTCACTGGTGGACTTTCTGTTGATTTTCATGGAGGGGTATTGCAAAAGCATTTAGATCATTTCCAACAAGTGAGATATTTGAGCTAAAATTGCCCAGTCCAGTGCCTGTGGAGTTAAGGTGTTGACATTAATTAAGTTTTTAAACATTATTAGGTCATTGAGAATGTTTAATTCCAGTGAGTTGAAATCTGTGAAAATATAGTTGTTTGGCTACAGGTCAAGTAGCTATAATCGTTTAACTTTATTCAACCACGTAGCATAGCATTGGGATGAATAATTAATAATCCTCAAAGGGATATATGTGAGGTCAGAAGGCCCAGCTTGTCCTTGACCGATTAGCTATTTGCTGTACAGCATCATACAGCATGTTAAGCTTCTTCCTCAGGCCACGCAATGCACTGATGGGAGTCAAGGAACTGACAAATACATCCTTTAACCATTTTACAGGGTATTGGTGTTTATAATTTACAACAGCAGAGATCCCAGAGGGGACTCATGTGAGTAGTTGTTGTGGTGTGAAAACAGTTACTCGAAAATGCCCTTTATTTGACCAGTTGGCATGCATTGTGTACTTATTTTTTTAAAAAGAGGAAGATGTATAAGCCCAGAGGGCTCAATTTGTATCTAACCCAATGGCTGCTTGCTGTACTGCCTCCTACAAGCACAATGAGCTTCTTCTCCTGCAGTCTTCAGCTAGGTTCGGTAGCTAATCTTGAGCCTGAATCTACTTGCTGTACTTCCTCCTGCAGATCATTGCATTTCATTATCTGCAGAAAGTTAGCCGTGGAGTCTAGGATCCGGTACTATTTTGTCCTTTATTTAATCATAGGTTCACGATGTCTTATAAGGGAGATCTGTGAGGCCACTAAGTCTGACTGGTTGGATGTGTGTCAGGGCTTTAGCGTTCATCGATTTCCCTCATTTCAGCAGGTGGCAAGCACGTTGAAATCGGCTGTTGGCTGCGAAGGAGACCCTGTGAATGTCCCAGTAGTTTGGTCATGGGATGAAGTAGCTGATGAATACTTCGTTTAACCAGGTAAGGAATGCTGAAAAGATTCTGCAATGAAATTGAGTAATACGTTCTAGAACAAATACTGAATTTATTGTCCATCCAGGTTAAATTGGTCGATGCTAGACATCTTGTCTCTAAACATTAGAAACTCGTGGCAGTGCACACCCACCATTATGCAGATTGTATGCATTTTTTGCTAGCTTGCTCATAGTTAATGAAAATTTATTGATACATTAAATAATAATTTAATTCACTAGTTCTATAGTTATTCAATGGGTCATAGTTCTAACTCTACAGATGACAGCCAACCATACGCCTTGGAAGGGTTTATAATTTTAACCACTTTGTAAGGGATCGATTTAGCTGGGACAAACTGTTGAATTGTCACATGCTTTCTTGGCATCCTGTTTTCTTTTTTAAATGTACAGTAATTACACATTGGTAAACACTTCAGTGCCCACGTGACAATCGATATTTGCTTCTTTCCAATGGCTGCGTTGTGTGTACTTGCCATTGCTTTGGTACTCCCAGTTGAACTTGGTTTTGGTCAGATAAATAATTGTTTGCTTGACATAAGGCAGATAGTAAAGTTTAAGCATCTTTCAACAGAAATAGAAAGGCATTTCAAAAGCAAGTAAAAGTCACACTGGAATGTGGAATTTGTCATATCACAGGCAGCTGCAGCATCTGGCAGGACTGAAGACATGTTTGCTGAAAAGATTACTGATTAATATATATGCATGATGCGTTTGAACTTTTCTTGTCATCAATGCCTTTTGCTTTTCGAAGGCAGGCTTTCATGTGAGAGAAATCTAACAAGTGGGCAATTTTATTAATTTTCTGTGATGGGTGGAGGAGGGTTTACTATATGCGTTTCACTTGCACTTGTACGATCTAACCCAAAAATCAATGTCGAACCGTAATATTGGTTGCAAAAGGTTAATTATTGAAATTTAGCGGCAATTTTGTTTACTTTGCAGTTTATGGGTGACAAAAGAAGACGATCACATAATCAGGCTGCTCCAGCTATGCCTGGAGAGATGGCGGTACAGCTGCTGCCCAGCAGACCCATGGTAAGTAATCTTCAGCAGCAGTATACAATCATTGGTTATTTAATGCCCTGCTTTTGTTTACGTAGAAATTGGCCACGAGTCGTAATACGAATCACCGTGAATCAATCTCAACATTAAGTGGACTATTAGGAAGTTGTTGGTGAACAAAAGTCAGCCGTCGTCTTTCTGATTATTTGCAGGCAAAATAGCCTGCTAAAAGCGCTTTATATTTACAGGGATGTGTGTTGGACATTAATGCTCAAGACATGAAGGTGCCAAACAAGCTGCCGGTAAATAATTGGGTGTTATTCGCCGTTGCAGAAAAATGAATGTGCACTCTAATTTATTAACCTTGTGGAAAATAAACCATTGGCTTTTGTCTACTAACTAATCACCTCTTCCACGATGTCTGGCCTGAGTGGTAGAGAGGCTCGAGCTTTCTTTAGTGGAGGCCCTTCTGCCAGCAGTGGCGTGAGCAAGCACTTTCGGGGCTGCACCGTTACCTTGCTGTTTGACTTAACTTACTGAGTTTGATTGCTTAATGCATGTTGTGCGTGCCACCGCAGTTACTCTTTAATCTTTGTAGGTGGCCAAAGACGTTGAAGCGCATGTAACAATGTTTGCATGCCGCAGGTGGTTGATGCAGGGGATAGCAGCGAGCTAACCAACAAGATTGACACATCAGAGAGATTGACTCAGAGTCAGGAAAGCGGCACTTGTCCCTCACAAGCCATCCAGGTCTGTTAGAATTACGATAAATATACGTATTAAGAAATGTCTCTTGAAATACTCGAATTCTTGCAGGCTTATTAACACGGCTCTTAAAACACTGCATGACACATTTTGCTTGACTAATATTTTTAATTATTAGGTGTGGCCAACGTGTTTTCCTTATTGTACAACCACACTTATACATCCTTCAGATCTGTGCTTAGACTTGTCGTGTTGAAGTCAACATCTTCGTGCAACATTATACAATGATTCGTGTTTTTTAAACTTTTATTTTGCGTGTGTGTGTGTGTAGCCTTTGAGTTGCATTCAGAATGGACTGAATGGCGAGAAGAATGGATATCCTCCAAACTCTTTTGACCTCGAAGTATGGCTTGCACATTGTTTGATGTAACACTCAGAAATACTTGTGATTGTAAATGGTTGTGAATTGCTCTGCGACACACCAGTAGTGCTGAAGCAGTAATAATTTTACACAGTTCACGTCACAACTTCATTGAATTAGGGTTTGCAATACACATTTTACTTACTTCATCTAACCTAAATATCAATTAGGAATCATAACTAACTTTGGTAGAAAGCTTGGTGTTAATTATACTTACAATTGTTATTTATTTTACGTGACATTGCTGATAAAAAATAATGTTCATGTCTCGACTTAAAGCTTTCGTGGCTGCAGGAATTCATAAGGGTTCTTCCTGATGACGAACGCTTGTGTTGCGATCGAAACGTCGTCGTTTTTTTGTTTGTTATTTTTTGTTACTTTCTTTGAACCTATCTACGTGACTTTACCGAAAGACCCAAAGAATATAAAAAAAATTTTTACGTGTGCGGTTGATTAATAACCAGGTGAAAATCCATGAGCTGACAGCTGCTCTGGAGGCCAGTGGCAATGCAAACACACAGCTGATGTCACAGATACAAAACTTGGTAAGTGCTCTCTATTTACAAGGGTACTTGAGTTGCTTTTTTTTTTCTTAGGTCCAATGTAATATTGTATCGGCTACTGTAACCGGGAGTGTTGCATGCTATTTTAACTAACAGTTACATATCTCCGGAATAAATATTTCCTTGTGTTGATTGATGCTCATTCCGGCTCCACACGAGGTGACTATTTTCAAGGCGACTGCAAAGGGGTATACTGTATTGAGTTCAGGAAAGTTTCTAAAACGGGAGTTGTCCCCATCCCCCCCCCCCCCCCCCGTCAGAGTTATGATATAGCCCAACAGCTGGTAGCACTTCAAACTCCAATGCGCTGCATTTAGAGTTGCTATTTTTCGATGCGAACGATCCTGCCCGTTTCCTGTGTGAGTTGGCAAATGAAGAGTGAGGCAACTAAGACGCGTTTCTTTGCTTTTCCACACATGTTCATTCATGTCTTTGGCCTGTATTTCCATAACTCTGGCATCCAGTTGGTATGCTGAGGATGCAGCCACAAACAAGGATTCTAATTGGACTGCAAACCCACGGCTTTTTTTCCCTGTGTTTTTAAAACGTGGATTCTTCTTCGGGTAAAACCAATGAATGCAAGTGCACCTTTTTCTGTTTATTCTTGTGTACGTTTAGGAACATAAAGCACAAGTTCTGTCGGAGACGATGCGAAAGGTATTATATCATTTTAATACTTTTCGGTTGGACGTGCGATTTGAAATCACTTTGGAAAATGTTTGCCCCCGCATTTAGTTGTGTATATATGTGACCATTTATTATTAATTTGTCAATGCAGAACGACAAAGAGAAAACACAAAAAGAGGAAGCGTACCGGAAGGAGTATGCCCAATTACAAGAACAACTTGCGGTAGAGAACATAGTGTTGCATTTTATTCACGTATTTGATTTGCCTGCAGAATTTGCAATATTTTTAATACAATCATATTCGTCATTGACAATTAACTTGGTTATATATTTTTTTTTTCAGGCATATGTTGCACAAAACACTGAACTGTGGGATAAACTCGCTTATGCACAACGTTTGGCCCAAGACAAAGCTAGTAAGTCACTGCACAGCGTGAACCTTGTTATGGCTTTGGAGGTATTTTTGGTATAAATTTTGGGACGTTCATATAACACGGCATGCCATTTGCAGTAGTACAGGGGTCGGCAACATGCGTCTCCCGAGCCGCATGCGGCTCGTTTGAGGACTGCTTCGTGACAGTTATTTATTAAGGACCCACCGCCTTGTATTCACATTGCATTGTGGCTCTTGAAATATTGAGGTTGTTAAAAAAAATATATATATACCGAATTAGAAAAAGATGGCTCCTCCTTGTTATTTTGGTTGCAGGCCCCGGCAATAGAAGCTGGATGTAAGCACACCCCGTGTGAAAAAGACCGTGTGTTATTTTTTTCTGAAGTGTACTTGTGTCAGAGGTTTCCCTTCCCCTTCCTCCCACCACTGCAATATAATCATGTTTCTTTTATGAAAACTGTTCTTATATGAGATGTGCTTATATCCAGCTTCCCACTGTATTAAACAATTGGGTAGTCTGCTCTTAGAATACAATGTATACACGTGTCAATTTTTACACATTTAGAATTACATTACACTGATTTCACATCGACAATTTACGTGCAGTTTGTTTCTTATCACAGAGATAAGTAGGCATGTAATCGTTCGTTGATTAAATCTCCTTATAAGCTCATGACACATGCATCAAATTATGCTTTAATAAGCAATCGTATAGGATTTAAGAAAATTGCGTACAGTCCGGCCAATACTGTAGATAAAAAAAACACCCTACAAATCAGACGTGCTGATAAACGATTCAAACGGGGCAGTGCAAACTTGACAAAAAAGACAATTCTTCAGTGGAATTGTGGCCCCCTAATCCTAACAGTTCATCCAATGTCTGGGTGGTCGTGGGGGGGGGGGTTGAATGATTACATGTTTAGACACAAGCACATTACTCATTGCAGTGTGTGCCACTGTAGGTTTAATACTGGCAGTTTATGTGGCATCGTGGTAGGATGACTTACAATACATGAACTCTGCTGCTGTGTACAGTCAACATCTGAATTGTGCTGTTTGCGCTTGAAATGATTGCAAACCAGATGACTTTGCTTCAATCCCCTTGCGTGCGTCCTTTTTGCCATCCTAGATGAGGCCTCCCACTTGGACAGCAGACTGCAAATTTCTCATCGTCATTTGGCGGAATTGGAGATTTCTTTCAACAGTGCCGCAGCACACCATCAGCACTTTGAAAAGGTTTGTTAACCTCCTCTCTCCCGGGCTTGTTATATTATGACTATTGTATTATCTGTTTTTGTTAAGTTTACTTAAACTCTGCTCAAAGTGCATTACCGACGCTAATGTTCTGGATAGTTTTGTGTTACAGAATTCCATAGGTTAGATGCTATGCTAGTCTAGTTTAAAAAGTTTTTTTACATACGTCCACCCCAAAAACGTATCAACAATTCTCAATGTAATTTTCTGGTGTGCAGAGTTTATGTTTCCATGAAAGGTTGACAAGTTATTACCGTTAACATTGCATGAACATTTCAGTTCATCCTTATCGCGAAGACACTACCGTGTCTGTCTTACCACTCTCACATGTCCGCTCTATGTGTGTAAATATACATGTGAACATTTTAGGCACGCAGTCTCAGATACAGGAATTAAGGAACGCTCTTTACACATGCCATTGTTTTTATAATCGCCAAATTATTTCATTATCGTATTGCCTTATATCTGCAAAATGGTACAATGTTGTTTTTTTTGTCCTAACATTGTGTGCTTTCCTCTCTTGATCAGTTATGCAAGAATTTGGAAAAGCAGAGGAGTGAAATTAAAATGGACATGTACAAAATAAAGTAAGTGGATGGTTTGTTATGTGCTACGAGTTGGCCTTGGTGGTGCACACTTGTGATCTAAAACTTTGGAGGCAAGGATTGGGTGGATCATGCAAATTTGTGACGCTCCCAACCCTGCTGGGAAATATGATAGCCGGGAGAGGACACTACTGCAACTGGGTTCCTGAACCAGTCTGACTGAGCAAACGTTGCAGTTGTATATTTATATGCCTAGGTTTTCCCCAGATACTCCGGCTTCCAATATCACAAACTCCGAAACAGGAATTTTCCAGATATCCCAATGCAGGACCCTTTAAAAAACAATCTACCTTTATGCACAACCTACTGCATTAATCCCTCAATGCATGCCTACCCTCGTACCCAATTGCAGCATTTATTATTGCTTCCATCTCCTCTGGCATTGTTCCTATCATGGTGAGAAATGCTCACTGAATTCCTACATCCCTGCACACCGTAGACTAATCTCCAACTTTAAGTTCCATGGAAATGAATAGTGTTCCTGAGAAGTGCATTGATATACGCTTAGAACCTACGCTTATTTAATTCCCTCTGAAATGCAGAATGTTACTAAAGTCCCTTTTGTGTAAACAAATTAATGAATCCTCTTGAAACTGTACATGGACATGTTTCTCCTATTTATAAAGCATCTTGAAATGCGATCGCATTTAGATGCTCTAAACAAATACATTATTAAATGTTTAATGTAAATGAGGGTGGTGGCACAGTGGTTAGCACACTCTGCTATCTACCTCTTATCTGAGTTCAATGGCTATCATCATTGATGAGTGATAACTTAACCGGTCTTAGGCCCCCTCTCCTTCACTGACTTGGGTGGTGAAGTATGGTCAAACAATCCCCATGATTGACAAGGTGTGGGGAAGCCTTCGTCCAGCAGCGGAGTGATAAAGTGCTGAAGAAAGTACTGGATGCTGCTAAGGCACCACGTGAATTTATCTTTGCATGTGTGCAAAATAGTACAGTGCTTTTGTATGTAAATTAAAGCACATTGTACAATTTCGCACCTGTGCAAGTCGTAAGATGCGTTTTAACGTGCAATTTATAATTTAACGACCTACCCGAACAGGATCGAAAGGGATCAGGCAATTAGAAAGAATGCAGAACTGATGGAGAAACTATCGGACAGCACACAAGACTCTAAAACGCATCAATCAGAATTGCAGGTGAAGACCAAGGAACTGGAAGGAGCAGAGCTCAGGCTCAAAAAGGTAATGCACACGGACCTAATGTCAGCTGTTTGTCTCTTGTAGTGGCGCGCTCGGGTGCTTGCCACGGTATCGCATTGCTCGCATTTTAAAATTTGATCAGTTGTTTGTGAAGGTTTCTTTTTAAATTATTAATGTCCCAGGTGGAGGAGCGTCTGCGGGAATATGAAAACGGCCTCGCGAAAACACAAGGCCCTGAGGGCAGTGTCGGAGGGCTTCGGACAAAAGCGGGTGTGTCACGGCATTTACTTGTCATCATAAATACATTATTTATCAGTAGTTTTCCTCCAGTCTTATCCCCATTGTGCTTTTGTGTCATGTCACGAGATGGAATTCTTTATTCGGGTCGCAAGAGTCGCCTCTGATATTTGTTTGAGTGACCTCTGATCCACATAGTAGAGGGTAGCACTTTGCATATGAGATTAATATTTGTCACACGACAGCCAAACTCTTATTTAAACATTTCAAAACTGGAACGTAGCCAATTAAGTGCGGAACCAGATTGAACATAATTGGATTATTGTTTTTTGTGTACAGTCTTTGGTGACTGTGCTTAGACCATCAACTCACTCTACTCAATAACCCAGTTTCATCACAGCCATCTACCTGGCTTTAAACCCAGGAACTTAGTGGTGCCAGTTCAGATCTCTGCCCCCCATCCCATACAGCCGGCCATTTCTTTAATATGTTTAATGTCCTTTATTCAAAGGTGTCTCGGATGGCGGGAACATGTATATGTCGATTAGCGGTGACAAGGATGAAGACAAGGATGTGTTCATCAAGTCTCTGAAGGCTCAGATCGCCAAGCTTGTGGATGAACGAGAGGAGCTCTTGGATCACTTTCACGATCAGGTGAAAGTGGCTCGATGATCGTAACAGTCGGTTCACAACCACTATGACCTATGATCCCAGATTTTTTATAATAACAAGCATTCGAATGCAAACACTGCATGGAATTAATTGTTATATGTATTAAAAAACATGTTCCAAGGTCGGGGCAGCACTGTTGTAGTGATGCGAGCACTGCCCTATGAACCTGGCGACCTGATGACCAACCATAGCTAACGTCGGTAGCGAGTGTGTCTTGACCTGCCCCTACTGGACATCTGTGAAAAAGAGCTTTATAGCTCATCGGATTCCTCAAGTATAAATAAATATTCTGATTCTGACCCGGCCTTGGCCATGTGGCTGATGGTGATGATGATGAACACCGCAACTCCGTGTAAAAAAAAGAGGAAAATACGAGAACGAAACAACTTTGTAAGCCCCGTTGCAATCGCTACAAACGCTTGCTGGTTCATTGTCGTTGGGTGTGTTACAGGCGGAACGTTTGACAAATCTGGAAGAGGAGGTAAAGGCGTTTAGCGAACAGAAGCAGGACACATCCCAACTGCGCAGCGAAATGAAGCGAGAAAAAGCTGTCTACGCCAAGACTGTGGTTCAGTTGCAGCAGACACTTGAGCAAGTGGAGCGGCAAGAAGCAACAATAGAAACGCTGGTCAGTTACCGCGAATGTGCCTATCACCAATTTCTCGTGACGATGTACATTTTCATAGTTGATGGAACTGACTTGGCTGCTTTTATTATATTATCAATGTGTGTTCACGATTGGAGTTTCGACTTTGCAGGCGTTTTCCCGATTCATTGCTACAGAACGTGGGAAAGCATCGGCAGGTAACGCCATTGCAGCATTATTGTATGCCACGCCTGTGTTGTACGCTCCCCGGTTATCCCAAATGCAGAGACACGAGATTGCTGAACTGAACGTTCAGCTGCAAGCTGAGAAACAAGCCAATGGTAACATGGAGCTCCGACTGGTGGAGGCTGTGCGGAGGAGAGACGAGTTGGAGCGAAAGGTGTTGTCACTCTCTTAGACACATCGGGCTGTAGTTCCGTTTTACATCGAGTACTAAGCGAGCCAATTTTTTGCAAAGACATTCTGTTAAATTAACCGATGACAGTAGGTTCAGTAGCAGTCGTAATAGCATGGTTGACGAGGGTCCTGGTACAAGGAATTAAATGACCCCCCCCCCCTCCGCCTTCTTAGGCCCGGTGCCTGGTCCCCACTAGTCCGTGGACCCCGGTGCAAACGTGCCACCTCCACAATTCCACAATCGATTGCTACGTCACTTGAGTGATCATATATCACATCTTCGTTGAAAAATAATTCCTACAAAGTCATACGTTCTGACAGCCTTGTTGATAGATTCTGTTTATTTCAGGCTGCAATCTAAGTTGCACGTTTTCATTTTAGCCCTGTGGTCTAGAAACAAAATCAAATATATAAATTACTTCATACGGCTTCGATTTTGTTCATAAATGTTATGCCGCTCTTCCCTCCTGTGACCGATGTGACATAGCTCACCGATCAGGTGAAGGAGCACCAGGAGCTGATACAAGGGAATGATGGTCTGCGGGAGATGGTGAGGCATTCGGCCGAAAGGTCTGACCGCGCTTTACCCGAGATGGAAGCCGTGACCAGGAAGTACCATATGCAGACTCAGATGATGGAGCAGGTGATGCACGAAAGCCACCGGGAAAAGAAAGTGATTGAAGCTCTGCAGGGAGAGATTATGAATGCACAGGTATTCGACACTTCTCCATCGGTTTAACGTTGTGCAACTCTTACAGCCAGGGAACATTCTGTGTGAATCGGCAGTGTGCGTCATTTGATTACCTATGTGTGTGTTTGTGTTTGACTGGGTGTGATGTTCACTGTATGAATGTGTACTGTATAAGTTATCGGCGAAAAGTGTACACGCGTCGTTAAGCATTTGCTTTCGATGCATCAATTGACACCGTGGATGCCCTTGCAAATAGGCAGCTCAATCTGTCGAGTGATTTTCTAAGCGAGATATTTTAATGAAAAACAAGAAACACTGCAGTTAAGTGTTTGTTTCATTCGGGTATTTTTTTTGTGTATTCATGGCATCTCTTGCTTGGAGAGAATAATATTTCAAACACGAGCTAAACATCTTGGGTTTTTTTTTAAGCCATTATCAATTGCTGAACCTCTGCCATTGTCAGAGTCTTGGTCAGGGTAGTGTATAGGATAAAGGTTAGCTTTTGTTTGCACGACATGCTCTTTTAAAACGTTTAGTCAAGTATGTAACAAACATGAAACCTACGTCTTCGCTGCCTACAATAATTGAACTTGCATCTGATGGTGTAAAGGAACTTAGCGATATTTATTTCCAATCTTTTGTTCACCTTCCGTCATTCAGACTGTCTGGTAACTTACTCTAAACATTGTGCTTTGCCCACGGTCCATGCATGGCAGCATTGTTTATAAAACCAATGAAAAAGGTGAGCGAATGGTGTAACATGCATAGTCCCATGATGTTCTCAAAACCGTCACGAACATTGCTGCCGATTTTGCTTTTGTAGATGAGAGAAGGGAAGCTGAAAGAAAAGGCCAAGGCTCTTGTGGAGCATATTGCATTCATCTCTGAAAAATCAAGCGCCACGTTTGTGACGAGGTCTGTGTTTGACGCCTTGCATGCTGACATGGAGAAGCTGCAGGTGAGTGAGGAAAGCTGTACTCTGTTTTACTGAGAACTCCAAAGTTTGTTCGATCTTTTCATATTCTGATGACGTACACGTACGATGACATACACATGTCATCGGTAACCGAGGCTCCCACAAAGCCATGCGGGAAGGCGTGCTACCGTAGGGTGCAGTCATGCCACTACAGTTCTCTGTGGCGAGTACAGTGTCTTTATAAACAGCAGCGCTACGCCTCTGAATAAAATTAACGCTAACCGTTTGTGCGTTCTGAGATTCAGCGGTGAATGGGACCCCACCTTGCAACTTGCTGATGTCTCGGAACAGGAAAGGGTTAAGTGAATCTGTTTTATCGCCACTGCGGGCGAAAGGGCCTCCAGTAGAGGGAGCTTTGTAGTGTACTTGTTATACATTGGTCAGACGTCTTAAAAGAGGTGGGAGTACCCACACTTTACCCCACCATTTATACCGCCGCGTGGACAGAAGGCGGTGGAGAAATTTAAGAAACTTGCCACATTGTTTCAACTGCCGTGACAGGAGAGTGAACCGGTTTCTTCAGGATTGCAAGTCGTGTGCTCAACATTACGTCATGACGGCGTCCTGTTCAGTGGGGGCAATGAAATGCATCTGAATTTTTCTTGCAAATTTTGCCTTCGCAGGTTAAATTTGTCGACATGATGGAAGAGAGGGTCACGCTTATAGAACGGTTGGATTTGCTTGAAAGTAGGTGCAGAAACCTGCCCGGAGGAGCCAGCAACATTGGTAAGCACTCTTGGTGGCACAGTGATAATTTTCTTCGAAGCCCCCAATGTCTTATTTGCATGGTGTCAGTTGCTCGGATGTTCTAACCCTGGAGTTGGCAACCAAACTAACAAGAAGAGCCATTTTTTGTTGGAGTTTGGTAAAAATGTGAATGCGAGACGGTGGTCCCTTAGTACATATCGTCACAAAGCAGTCTTCAAAGAGCCGCATGCTGCTCGGTCGGAGCAGGTTGCCGACCACTGCTCTAACCCCGTATTATTTCATTCTCTGCCTCTTCTCCAGTCGCATCCACTGTCCTGATCTAATTTCACGGCATTCTTTCATCTCCCGCTCTCTCCTCTGTCTCCATCCACTCCTTTAGCCCTGCAGTGTGGCATCTCTTTTATATATATTTAGCTAATTCCTTATCTGACAGTTAAAGGCACACAATTTAATTTATTACTTGCGTGCACCACAGCGGGAGATGGCATTTATATAAAGTGAAACGGCGTGATGTTCATAGTGTATTTCAGTAATGTCTATTTGTAGACGCTCATGAGATGGACTGCCCAGATTTATGGAGTCACATTAAATTACTAAAGGCATATTTTGCTCTGATTAATGCATCTGTTCATTGGATTTCTCCAAGATAAATGAGGATTCTGATTTGTTACTTGATCTTATGATTGTATCCTACGTAAATACTGTAACACAGGCCTCTTGAGCTGTATTTTTGGGCGGGCCACGTGATAAAATTAGCATTTGCTGGCGTACCACATGACATCATACGTCACATGTACAGCCGTTAGACCTCCTATCATCTGTACATGTGACCTCTAATCTCTCTTATTTCCAGGTTGTTTATCTCTCTTGTTTATCTCACTTTGACGTTGCTAATCCTCTATCGTGTTTACAGCTTTCATCTCAATCTCTTGTTCGTCTTTCATCTCAGGGCGAGCCATATCTCTTGGCAGCCCATTGCTCAAAGGACCACTCGAGAAGCCTTCGTGAGCCAGTTGTGGCCCACGAGCCCTCAGTTTAGGGTGCTCTGCCGGACCGAGTGAATAGGCAAATACTGGCTATGGCTGAAGCGTTGTGTTCACACTTGAGACTGACCAGCTGTTTACGTTGCAGGTGAGCTTGGAATACTGTTCAACCAGCAAGAGAAACACCTTCAGCTCGTGTTAAGTGAAAAGGAAGGCTTGGAGGTAAACATTGACGTTTACATTATTGCAACAGAGCCTGTGATATATATCGCTTATGTTTGTATCTTAATATGTTACCGTATAAAGCGCGGTAATGTGTATTATAATGATGCAATAATAGTTATTTGTTCAAACGACTGTTGGATGAAGGCCTACCTTACGCCGTTGCGATCGTGGGGGGGCTGTTTGACCATACTTCACCATGTTTGTTCGCGCCTGTTGCCGAAGCGATGGGGGAACCAGGAGGAGTTCATATTGGCACTCGCCACTGATTTTGACCTTGGTTTAACAGTTGAACTCTGCTCCAGCGGGTTGATGGTACACATCCTATGGGTGTTAGTTTAAGAGGCTCATTTGTTTCACCTGTGTTTTTCAGGCCAAGCTGGCAGAGACTCAAGCACTTGCTCAGTGGCTGCTTGCAGAGAGGAACCAGTGGGTGGCTTATTTCGCAAGTGGCGCAAGAGCGAACGCTGGGCAGTCACTCGCCGACTCGGCCATTGAGGACGGCAACACTTCATCAGGTCAGACGACAGTCTCGTCCGCCGTTTGAGTGCTCTTTCATTACGCCTGCACTATATTTGGGGTTTGCATGTCTCTCTCCCAGTAGTCGCGTGGATTTTCCTCCGGGTCCTCCGGTTTTTCCCTCCATATTTAGAAAACGTGCGTTATCAAGTATTTGGCAGCTATGTATTTTTCATGTGATAAGCCACGTCGTTGAGCTAACATTTGTGGCCAGGTCACTTCTGAAAAAAGATCTATGTAGCTCAGTGGGCCTTACTTGGTAGTTTTAGCTTAAATCAGTTTTTTTTGCTACCAATTAGCAATTATTTTGAACCAATTACATAATTCGATCTTTATTTTGCCAGTAGATGGCGACAAACCGTTACGAAGAACGTGTGGACTCGGCTGAGGCGAAGTGGGTTACATGAAAGATCAGACAGACGTCGCGATTTTTTAAGTTAAACTGATTGAAAAGTGTATAAACTGGTTACAGAAAACAGTTAAGAGTCATTGTAATCTATAGGTTTGTTTTTAAGATGAGGTTATTTCACTGTGGTATTTCCACAGTTCTATTGCATACCTTAGTGGTAGTTGTCAAATTACCGTATTTTCCCACATATACCCCGCACACGCATATAACCCGCAGACGCATATAGCCCGCAAAAATAGCGTTTTGTGTAAAACAAATTTCAGATAGCCCGCACCTCCATATACCCCGCATGCATTCATATATTTAACGTCGTTACCGAAGCTTAATTCCATATTAATACGAAGTTTACATTTGTAATACATTCCACTATCAACTGTTAACATTAAAATCAACGTGCACAAAGAAAACAAACTAACCACAAACGAGTGAACTTAAAACAGTAAATAAGTAACAAAAGTAAATATCCAATAAATAAGTAACACGTAACTGGTAGATAAGTACAATTTTAGCACTGGTAGATTGCGCACTGCGCAGACAATGGCGGCACTACGGTGACGCCGTTGCCTCGCCCCCAACCCCCCACCTCTCTCCCCCAGCTGCCCCACCCCCCCCAACCCCCACCTTTCTCTCCCCCCAGCTGCCCCACCCTCCAACCCCCCCACCTCTCTCTCCCCCCAGCTGCCCCACCCCCCCAACCCCCCACCTCTCTCCCCCCCAGCTCTCCCGTCGCCGGTAAACAGTGCGCGCACTTAAAAAATGTTTGTTTAATTGTACATACTATTAATTTAAAACGTGATCACATGCAATTTTAGTGTGAGTGGTTTATTCAGCAGTGCTTTAGTCAAAGGTAAGTGTTGCATAGTGGATAGTCCTACCATGAAAACATTTAACGAGTTATGACATGTCACGCGTGTAAAATATTTTTGGGATAGCCCGCACATCCATATACCCCGCAGGGCCTTGTTTTGTTCGTAAAAAGTGGTATACCCCGCGGGTTATATGCGGGAAAATGCGGTATACACTTTAAAGTGCAGGCATTTTATTTTTCAATAGCCTATTCACATTCCTGTTAATCAGACAGCATGTTTGGCCTACTGTTACCCCCCCCCCCCCATCCCACCAGAATAGCTTTTCAAACAATGTAAAAACATTAGCTTCAGTCAGACAATCCATGCTCTGAACTCCCCGAATGTACGTAAAAGTGTTCAAGCTCACACGACTCAGCACCCCATTGAGCCCATCATGACATCACCAACCACCGAACCACACTCACACGACTCATAGCACCCCATTGAGCGCATTGATGACATCACCAACCACCGAACCACACTCACACGACTCATAGCACCCCATTGAGCCCATAATGACATCACCAACCACCGAACCACACTCACACGACTCATAGCACCCCATTGAGCCCATCATGACATCATCATGACATCACCAACCACCGAACCACACCTTGTGAGGGCGTATAAAACTGTCCGTGAATCTCATTAACTTCCAAATAAGATCAATCGGCCAAAGTCTTCCCTCTCTGTCAATAAGAATAAAATAACAAGCCCGTTGTTATGGTTGAATGAACTTGTTATTTGATGTACATGATTATTTAGCAGCATTGTGGCTACTACTTGCACGATGCACTTTTAATTTTATGCAGTGTGTGTTTTACAAGTCCACTTCAGAACAATAATTATAAAAAATTTAAATGTTTTTTATTGTGTGCTGTGGTGCAGCTTGCTATACTGTTCCACACTCTGCAGAAATTTGATGGATCATTAATACCACGTCACAGATTGAGGAATTTTGTAGTTAGTGAAGTTATAATTGTTCAGTGTTTATTTTTTTGGAATCTCAAGATTCAAGTTCAAACATTGGCCAATTTGGTTATATGTGTTTTTGAATTGGTCAAAGCAAATTGTGTGTAGGGACTGTAATTTGATCATTATTCAATGACAATGCAGTAACAGACCTGTGAATTAACTTTTGTCATTTAAATCACTTCTTTTACAGCCGAAACATCCGCTGTGTGTGAAACGGGAGCCGCGTTATGTAGCCAAGGTGGCACTGCGCAGCATCAGTGACCTATCGAATACTTTCCTTGCTACACTTCCACAAGGCAGCTCGTTTAAAGCGGCGAACTCCCTGGGCGTTCGGCAGAAGACACAAGCCCCAAGAGCAACTGTAATAATTCCTGCTTCAAGGCTTCCTGCTGCTACGTCGCAGTGTGCTACAAGACAAGGTGGTGTGCAATTAATTTGCGTCATCACCTTGCCAAAGCCAGGTTTCATAAAAATCTTCATTGCTTTCAGCTGGACTTTGCGGTAAACACGGCCTCGTTACTTCAAAGGGCCGCCTTGTCGGATATTGACGGAGGGTCCCACAATTTTACAGGAGCAAAGTTACGTTAATAAAGCACCTCTCTTGCCCACGTCGTAGACGTTGCGTTGGCGTTGCCGGCTCAAGCCACAACGCGGTGCCCTCCCGCAGCGTGCACATCCGTTCCAAGAACTGCGTTCAGCTGTTACAAGTCTAGGCCTTTTCACAAGGTGGCGATCTTTCCACGCTTCTTCCCCCGACTTGAACTTCCTATCGACAGTGCGCTTTGGTTTTCCTCTTATATTTTGGGTTTGCGGGAACGTTTATTTTGTATCCGTGGTGACGTGTGCACAGTGTAAAGTGGCAGGGGGCACTGTGTGTAAGTTTCGATTTGTTTTAAGTGTTTTTTGAATGTGGCTGCCTTCGTGGCAATAAGGTATTATTTTCTGGTGGTGGTGGTAGTGTCCTAAAATGCACTTTATTAATGTGAACTGTATCATTAATTTGCAAAGTTAAATGTATTGAGCACTGGATTGCCTTGGATTTCAATTGCACATGGAATGAAGATAGTTGAACACAGTCGATGATCTTTTGTTTTCCAGTGGGGACCAATTTTCATCAAAGGCCGCTATGTGGGCCTGCATTGCGGTGATGTGCCTCATGGACTGAAAACATTTATATCCAATGCTGTATGTTAAGACTACGAAGATAGACTACTGTGGCACATGTCATGCTTCTGCTTGGTGGAGGGGGGGTTTATAGTTTGAAACTAGATTCTCTGTTCTATCCAATCCCACTTCAGGCTTGTATGTAGTCATGTGGAAACTTCTTTATGATCTTATTTTTAAATGTTTTAATATGAAAAAATATATTGAACATAAATCCATTTGTCGTCACATTAAAAACCATTGGTGCAAACTATAAGCATATCATTCACGTCTTATGAGAAGCACACTTCATTTTGTGAGATATTCTTCCCTCTGTCCATAATTAATAATTTATATTAATGGCTGCCAAAGTCCCGTAGTGGAAAAAGTTATATCGGTGGTATCGAGAATCTGGTTTTAACTTTTCACACTGTCGAGGGTTGAGTGACTTTGCTTGAATGCACCTATGCACTTGGCAGCTGCACTGCGGTGGTGGTTCAATGATGTATGCACTCGCAACTGGCATCATTTATTTACCTCGCTGGAGGATCGAGGCTCGGAATGCAATTGCTTTAAGCATTGCTGAGCTGTGTGCACACCAATGTACATGTAACAATATTCAACCCTCCACTTTGTGTGGCCCCCGAGCTGAAGCCACCAGTGTTGTTGACTACGATGCCGTTATAAGCCAAAGCACCTGTTTTTACATTAATCTTTCATGCGAAAATTATTATCTTGTGTCGATAGTCAAGTGGTGCCGTGTATTACTGAATGTTGGTGGGTGGCAATAGTGGGTAAGGTGTTGTAAAAAAAATTCAGATTTTTTTAAAGGACATTTTCAGATTGCTTTTCCCCCCCACGGATTTACAGATCCTTTATAAATTTAACATTTTCTCCACGCTAACAAAAGTGACACCACCTGATGCCATTTGCCACACACAACCTTTGGTAGGAAAGTGCATAATTGACATGCGTGACATCATTTCCTGTGTTGTCTTATAGCTAGAGCAATCAGAAACGATATGAAAAAAATCCGTATCTGAAATGTATCTAGACCCAACTTACATCCCCAGCATGTACTTGGTATACAAAAAAAGAGTGGCTTTCTTTAAGACAATGCAAAGCCCAAATCGAATGTATATTTTTATATCCTTCATATACAGAACACCAACATTTTAATTGGCGATTATTAAGGATTAAGCCCTTCACCTCTGTTAATAACGGAATTAAGAAAATTGTACGATTATGCAGACTTCGATTGTGTTTTTTTTTGTAACTGTATAAAAATTGGTGCATTTAAGAAGTGGATATGGAACGTTGATAGTTCGTGGCACGAATGCCGACTTTGGCTTTTATAATACATGACGTTTTAAAGTTTGAGAGAGCGTTTTGAGAGTTTGTGGGTGGATGCAGAAATGATGCAAAATAGTACGGTGTGACCTGTATTAGACAAACGTTGAAACATTTTGGATTTTGCCCAGTGCAGTCCCATTTGCTTGTTACTCAGCATAGAATGTGTATACATTCTCAGGTAATTTAAATATTTAGGTTCAAAACATCTGTACTGTACATTAGGTCATAAAAGGTGAGGAGGGTAAGTAATACATGAAGGAATTGCACTAGCGGTCTATTTAAAGTTAATATAAATACAAACTCTACAGTTGTGATCTTTAAGTAATTCATGCTGTGAAAGGTTCTGCGATCAATACATGCTCTCTTGCCAGCTGTTGTACTGCGGACTTGGTCAGTGGGCAGTACGAGTGGAGTTTGTTCTTTTGCTGACGTGGTTTAATAACCTAATACTGTATTCATGAACAGAACTTGAGTACTGGCAATTACAATACCCGGTTATGGTGTCGGTAAAGCAAATGGTTGCGTATGTGTATAAGAATGTTTTAATTTGTATGTAAAGCTATGCACCTGGAATCGTTTTTTTAAAAGAAATAAAAGTTATTTCAGAGTATTTTGTACAGTTACATTCATATTTGTTTTGTGGTTTTTCCAGTGGACGTGTCGTGTGGTCAGATGTCTTCTTATTTTTTTATTGGTTTTAGGTTTTCGTTTTATAAGAGAAATTCCAAAGGTAAATGCCTCATCTCACACTGTTTTATCCAAGTGATATTAACAATTCCAAACTCAAGTACTGTCCAGCCATCGGTATACACAATGGCAACACCACAGTTGATCAGCAGTTCACCTGTGATGGGTTGACGTTTTGGTTCCCCCCCCCCACACCCATTACAAGATGTTTGGCCAACGTGGAAGAGTAGGCCAAATGTCCTCTAGAGCAGTGCTTCTCAACCGTTTTCACGGCACGTTTTGAGCTGGCTCATTTTTTTGTGGCCACGCCAAACCGTGGGTGGGTGGTAATGCGTTGTAGCAGAGAGAATTTCACAATCCCTTGCTCAAGCCAATGCCGGTCATTGTGGCTTTTGTTTAATCAGAATACAAATCCAATTTTTTTTCAAAAATGAATAATGTTGAAGACCATTAAACGTGTTTTATTTGAGCGAAAATATTAGTTGATTTGCTTAAAAATGTATAGCAGAAGTAACCAGGTTGCTCAGTGGTGAGTACTGATCATGTGCTCTGAAGGGCCGTTGCCCAGAACGTCGCCTGTTACATCTTTTTTTTCTTGTAGGGTCAGTGTTATTGAGGCATGTGTTAAGGTTTTTATTGTTAACAAGTGCAGAGCTGGTACAGCTGAGATTCTGGGTTTGAATCCTAGACGCAGCCCGACTTAAACTAGGTTCTCAAGTCACCGATGTCTGAATACAACAAAACCCATGATTCGATTTGTGCTTCTTTGTTGCTAGCTGAAATAATTAAAATAATTTATTTAACTGTCAATACAATGGTGTCGTAAAGTTGTGGATAAGAGGTCACTTGAAGAAATCTCGGCAGTAGTTCTTCGGCAGCTGCTTCCGCAGTGCTCTTGAGAGTTCTGGTGGATTTTGCATCTCATGACATGATGGTGATGGCATTCAGGATGAAATTGGGGAAAGTGACGAAATATATTAATTCACGTTTTTAATAGCAAATTTTTTTAAATTAGTTATTGTTATTTTTCCCATTAAAACAATACATAATAGTACTGCAATTCAACGATTTTTAAATACTGATTTGTATGTATTACCATATAAAATGTGTTTATATTTGTGAAAAAATTACAATTGGTCATCAAAAATGTAAACTGTCCCAAACCAAAGAAATCCAAAATAAGACGATCTTCACATACACATTCACATACCGATATTCCTTACCCCAACACCTGCAGTATACTTCACAATTGATACTAACCCGAATCCATTTTTATATTTTGATTACGTAAATCATTGTTGCAAGACTAACAAAGTCCAGCACTGTATAAGTGGCATTTACATTAATTCCGACACACATAAGAATCTGCCAAAGTTATTTTTGCAGCCCAGAGTCGGTGCTGGTAATCCCACATTCCTATGGAAAGTGTGGACCGAGGTTCCAGTTATCTCCCTAGTGGTATGGTAATGAATATAACATGTCAATAAAGCACTGATAGCATGATGATGATTTTTTTGTTATATTGTAAATTATTGCAATAGGTGTTTCTGGTGATAAATCATAACCAACCACTCCATGCAATATTGTTTCTCTCCAAATGTTTTTTGTTAGAAAAGACCTTTTTGTTGGTGTTAACATTTTTCCAGGACATCGCTTATCCGCACGCCACTGTCGGTTCTCGGACTTGAATCGGTCAACAATCTTTCAACAAATCGATTACAGCTGCGATACGATCGGTCTCCTATTATCAGCCGACTTTCGCAGGGCTGACTCCCGAGACGGGAAGCGATTTTGCGTTTCAAAAGAACTGAACCACGACGGCCACGACGACGAGAAGGCAAATGAGCATCTTGATCAGCAGCCGCAAGAGCTCTGTGTTACTGCTGTCGATGGAGCGGGTACGCGTGGGCGCGACGATGCGGTCCCACTGCGTGCGTATGGCTTCCGCGGCGCCCGGCCAGCACCCCGGCCCCACCAGGCGGTACTGGTACGGCGTGCAGGGCCCAAAGAAGACTTTGAGGGCCAGGCGTGGGTCCTGCCGGAACATCGGCAGGAAGCTGGGCTTCACCCCGATCTGCTGGGCGATCTGGTCCATGTAGTCGATGTAGTCCACCTGGATGGTGTGGCGTTGGCTGGCGACGTACCTACGGGGCGGGAATGTAGTGGCGTCTGCACCTCTGCACAGCGGCTTAACACAATTGCAGGTAAAAAGAAAAATGGAAAAGTGGCAACGGTGCATCCCTGCAATTGCTTGTTCGCACCACTGCTGGCAGAAGGGCATCGATTACAGCGCGTTCTCGAGAGCCCCTCCTCTAGGCAATATTTGGCCTACTCTTTCAAGTCAGGTGTGAGAACTCACACTTCAGGTGTGAGACTCTCACAATTTATCCCACCACATGCGACTAGCGAGTCTGACTCACCGCTGTGCCCATTTGTGCTGCTGGGTGAACAGAGGTGGGGGAATTTTATAAACGTGGCAAAATGTTTTCAATTGCCGCGCCGGGAGATCAAACGCGCTACCTCGGAATTGCACGTGGGCACTAAACCATTCCACCAGGGCAGCATCCCTTGATGCAATTTCTAAAGCGGTTTGGACGTTGATTTTAAAATAATTTGAGCCTGTTTTTTTTCATTTTCGGCGAGTTAAATTCATGTGTAAAGATGTAAACATTTTTATTGTGTGGGACAAATCAAAAAGTGATTTCGGAGCAGATCATTGAAGTGCACGATTATATCATCTTTATAAAATATATTTGGCCTGGTTCATATCTCGGGAGAAAAATGGATGAAAGTCACTGCTTTGGCGATTTGTCCCATTGCTGCTGATAGATATCGATTTGTTTTCTTCAATAAATGCCAAGAAAATTTCGCATTTGTCACAATGTGAAAATAACCTATTGTGAGATCCCGAAACCGCTAAAAATGAATCCGCATACAATAATAAACGTAAAGTGACAAATACTTAGAATATATTGTTTTTTACAAACATGTTTTATGCATTGTGGAGGTCCTGCATAATGCAGCTTTAAAGCAGTGGTTATTTTGAACGATAAATCTTGGCGAAAAAGCCGTCTTAAACATGTGTGTGTTGATTAAACAAAACTATTAGCAAACTTGCAGAGCTGGAAGTTTAGAGCTGATTGAATTGGCTAAACACTGCTGATGATCTTTCCGTGAACAGCCACCGGAATTTTGTGAAGCCTTAAAGGGAAAAGTCACTTGACGAGCATAAAACCAAATTGCGTGCCCTCACCTCTTCTCCATTGACTCCTTCCGCGCGCGGATGTCATCCATCATGTCGGCAATGCTTGGCAACTCGACCAGACCTTCGACGCAAGTCAATGTGTCAGTGACAGGGTTAGTTTCGTGGGGGGCTCAAAGCTGTTGTAGTTTTGGGGAGGGTTGGGGGCAGCCCTCTTTTGTAAATGAAAATCCTTCCCTTGACCGTTTTACCACCGCCACCCGTGCACGTCCCCATGCCAGAGATTACATCGTCAGTCACCTTGGTCATTCCACTTCCAGCCATGAAATGTGGTCTACTAATTGTGAAGACAGAACAACAACTAATTTTTATTGCGGCACAAAACTGTTAGGTAGCAACGCTGTGACAACACTTGCCAAATTATATTGAGGATTAATGACAGTGCAATAGTATCGCATTTTAATCATGCAGTCTACATTTTATTTTATGCAGCCGAAGAGGGGGTTAGCGAAAAGTACGAGGCGCCGAGGCGACAGCCCCTAAAGGTGGTGATGTTGCAGCCCTTAATTTATCTTATTTTATATTGTATTTATAGAATGCTTTATCTCAAGGCTCCTTACATAGTTTAGAAATCGGTAACAAGAATGGAGCATTTTAGATGGCAGGGGCGATGAGTGAGTCACCACAAGAGGGCACGTGGGGGTCACGAAAGGCGAGGGGAGGGACGGGAAGGAGGGGAGCGGCCAGGGTAATGGGCAATGGCGAGGAGGTGAGGCTTTAAGAGAGAAACGAAAGGAGGGTTAAGGAGGGGGACTGCTTCAGCTACAGTGGAAGTTGACTCGTTGGTGGAAGTTGAGCGTTGGTGTACGGTGCTTTTTCAGGAATATTTAGCTGTTTTTTTTTTCATGGATTTTCTGTTTGCACAGTCACATAGTCACTTTAAGATGTTTACTTGTTCGTGTTTTTGTTTATTGTGGTTGCACCCGATTCAAGAGCCGAATGGCTCACAGGGCTATACCAAATAAATTAACTGAAAAATAAAACTGAAAACTGAAAAACTGACTCCAGTGGAGGAGTGCAAGAAGGGAGAAGGACCGAAAAGCGGGACTGGGCACAGGGAGGCGGAGGGATGGAGACGGATGGAGAGAAGATTGTGAACGAAGCCTCGCGGGTGCTCGCCCGCACCACTGGTGGTGGAAGGGCCTCCCCACTGGAGTTGGACTCGAGCGAGCTCCTCTATAGAGGCTATTTGGTCAACGCTGCCATGCCGGCTGGATGTCTCGGAAGAAGTGGGAGTCCGCACACTTCGCTCCACCACTTGCGACCCATCGTTCGACTGTGGCGCATCCATTTACACTGCTGGGTGGACAGAGGCGGACTGGGATTTAGGAAACCTGCACCCTTGTTTGCAACTGCCGTGCCGGGAGATGGATTGCTGCTGACCTACAAGGAACTCAATGGGTTAGCCCCACAATATTTACAGGAGCTGATCCATTTTTATTCTCCAACAGGGTTCCCTGAGGTCTTCTGATCGCCTTCGAGGTCAAGGCTCATTTCCTGGGGTGATCGGGCTTTTGCCAGTGCAGCTCCCAAGCTTTGAAATTCTTTGCCTTTGCTAATAAGACAGAGTCGGTAGAGCTATTTAAGTCTTTCTTGAAAACTCACCTGTTTAAACTGGCCTTTACCCCCCACTAGTTCTGGCCATTAGCCAGCTGGTTCTGCTTATTTCCTGCTTTCCATACACGATGCATTGGGGTCTACGGATGAAGTCTGCCTTACAAATGTCAATTATTATTATTTATCAGAATATTTATACCGGAGTAATCCGATGAGCCAGAAAGCTCTTTTTCCACAGATGTCCAGTTGGCGCAGGTTAGAATGTTGCAACAACAAATACAAAAACACGATTCGGAGTGCAAAGTATAGGAAAGCTAAACAAATCACTTTAAAAAGAAAGATACAACGAAAACTCAACTATTAGCTTATTTTTCTGAAGCGATCTGGCTATCACTAATGACAGCTCAACAAAGCTGCACGATCCTCGCGGCCCCAGAAGCCCCCCCCCCCACCCCACCCCGCCTGCCCGGCGTTGATCAGACCCCCAGCGCGTACAAGGCGGAAACTCTCCGCGTTCCGCCGACGGAGCGCGCGTTTGTGCTGGGGGGGGGCTGGGGAAGGGGGAACGTTCACCTTTGAAGATGCGAGTAGCCCAGCGGCACTGCATCTCCGAGATGGGCATGATGGCCCCGAGCGGCTGGATGAGGCCTACGACGGCGAGCGTGGGTCTCGCGAGGCGAGGCGGGAAGACGAACTTGTAGAGCGACACCCGGTTGCCCTTCACGGGCAGCAGGCCTGGCTCCCCGGTGTCGAGGAACGGGTAGCGGAAGGTGTAGCCCGTGGCGAAGATGACCGAGTCGATGTCCTCCCGCGTGCCGTCCTCGAACGCGACGCCCGACTCGGTGAAGGACGCCACGTTGGGCTTCACGGTGAGCGTGCCCGAGAGGATGCGGTTGGGGAGGTCGTCGTTGATCGACGGGTGCTGGCCGTTGTACCTGAAACGTGGAGTCACAATCCCAGATCATCATTGAATTCTGGTTGGTGGGAGGGGGGGGGTGGGAAGTTGACTCAGACCAACTTCGTGTGGAAGTAAAAAATAGTGAATAGACCTGCCTCCACATGGGAATGTGGAATTCCCACCACTGGCTCAGGCTCATGGACAAGCGATGAGCCACCACCTCAATGCTCATGCGATCAGGAAATACCTTTGGCCATTTTTGATGTACGGCAAGTCCTCGCTTAACGCACGGTGTTCACACCACAACGCGTTTTCGCTGCAACGCGGTGCTTCCATTCGGGAACACTTTTCGCACAACGCGGAACGCGTGCCGTCATAACGAATCCTGTGAGCAGTCAACGACAAACTACTTTCTTCAGCTGCGCTGCTGAGCGGTATGATACGGTACACGGAACGATACAGTAACGCCCCGCCATTTCACCGTGTGGTGTGCGTAGTAGTACATCGTATCTCGCCAAACTTTATCATTACATCATTCATGGGGGGAAACTGTTTTTGCTCGGCGCGTCCATCGCTTAACGCGGCACTATTCAGGAACGCACCTCTACCGCGTTGAACGAGCACTTGCCGTGCACATTGGGAAATTGCGGTGCAAGGTGGGTGCCTCGCTCGTTAACGCCAGCCACGTGTCTGCGTCTCCTGCACCTGTGCGTGGCCTGCAGGCCGTAGTCCCTGTGATTGAAGCGAGCGTTGAGTTGTCGCTCGACAATCCCGTTGACGAGTTCCGTGGGCAACCACGAGAAGATGGCAGCCATCGACCTCCGAACGTACGCAATGTCCAAGGGTTTCCCACCTTCCGCCACGCGGTTGATCACCCAGGCACCTCGTCGCGTGCTCAGAAACACCTGCCACGCGAAAGAACGCCGTCGCTGGCATACATTCCTGGCAACGCAGGGGGCGACCGTCGATGCAGGGGGGAGACCGGCAACGCACGTGTCGCTACGCTGGCAACGACAGAGGTCTGCGAATAATAATGATGTTGCCGGCGTTCCTGTCCCTCTCTCCTTCCCAGGGTCGTCCTCCTCTTAACGGACTGTGGCCTCCTCCTCCTCCTGGCTCCACAGGTCCACTGCCCCCCCCCCACTATCGATGGCCACTCTCTTAGCTGATACATCGCCCCTCCCGCCCTACACCCTCTGAAAATCCCTCTCCAGGCAACTCTGCCTTGACCCCTCTCTCTCTCTCCCTCTGTTTTCAGGTCTCTCCTCATAAAACCTTCCCCTTTAATCCCCATGCCTTCGGATGCCCTTCATTCTCTTCTCTCCTTCCCCTGTTGGCTCCCTCTACAAATTTACAAATCAATTATTTGTACATAGCGTTATTCGGGCAAATTGCATCTTACAATCGCTGAGGAACCACAGGCTGCCAAGACGTGAGCCAGCGCGAACAATTGCACTTCAGTTCTCTGTATGTTAAGATGCTTTCAACCAATTAGTGAGCGTTTACACCACCAGGGAGGCAACCGGAGTACCTGGAATAAACCCACGCATGTGAGAGGGCAAACGCTCTATCCCATGCAGACGCAACAGCTGGAGTTCACATTCTCAGTTGTACAGCACTGCCGCCTCCTGGCGAGCCAGGGTATGACAGCCCAACTACGCTCCGTGACGTCACGTGCGATCCGCCAACCCTCGCCTCCGCAGTGATGGATTGCGGTCGTGCGCCGCCACCCTGGATACAATCCGTGCGCTCACCTGGGAGGCGTGACGACTCAGCTCCACAGCGATGTCCAGCCCAGAGTTACCGACCCCGACCACCATCACCCTCTTGCCTTCGAACGGCTTGTGGTCCTTGTACTCTTTGCTGTGCATGTACCGGCCACCAAACTTCTCGATGCCTTCAAGGGGAAAAATGTTGCGGCCAAAAGTGGAAAAAAGAGAAGAAAAACCTCGTGACGCCTGTCTCGGGTGAGCCTGAATTCAGGGCGAACCGGAATTCATGTTCAGCCTGAATTAAGAGTGAGCCTGAATTCAGGTTAAGCCGGAATTCAGGGTGAGCCAGAAATCAAAGTGAGCCGGAATTCAGGTTAAACCTGAATTAAGAGTGAGCCGGAATTCAGGGTAAGCCGGAAATCAGGGTGAACCAGAATAGTTTAGGGTGAGCCGGAATTCATGTTAAGCCGGAATTCAGAATGATGAGCCAGAATTCAGAGCCGGAATTCAGAGTGAGCCGGAATTCAGGGTGGGCCGGAATAGTTTAGGGTGAGCCGGAATTCAGGGTGGGCCGGAATTCAGGGAGAGCCTGAATTCAGGGTGGGCCGGAATTCAGAGTGAGCCGTAATTCAGGGTGAGCCAGAGAGGCTACCGAATTGATTACACAATTAAAAAAAATGTTGACGTGCCAAAGTGGCACTCCCCAAAGAAGAGAGCGAAACGTCGGACATCAAGATGAACAACACGCTGCACCATCCAATGACGTCTCGGAGCTAGAGAGCATGACCCTCTATAACAGCAGGGGGCACTATGCATGCCCTACCAAGGTGAAAATCTTGAAACTCATGGAACAGCCAAAGTCAGGTTTACATTCGTTTTCTTTTCAATATAAGTTGATTTAGTTTGTGTTGGCCACTATCCAATAGTTGTACTCTGAAAGATCACCTTAACCTTGAAGGACTGCCAAGTGCTGCCACTGCAAAGTAATTAAAGTAGCTGGGAGTATTGTTAGCCTCCCACATGCTCAAGCGATAAGCCAAGGAGTGTACCCTGGCAGCACTGCGAGGCATGGCTGTACGCAGAAATAAATGTTTAAGCAGTGGAGAGTCCAGTGGACAATCGCATCTCTCTAGCAAGGGAGATCTGTGATTACAAAATGATACCAGCATGGGGGCAAAGGTGCGGATACAGTTGCAGCGGTGCAATTTACCCTGCTCACGCCACTGACGATGAGAGGGCCTCCACTAAAGGGAGCTCCAGAGAGACCTTCTGAATCAGTGGTTCTTAACCTGGGGTGCACGCACCCCCCCCCCCCCCCCCCCTGCGGGTGCGAGATGCTCTTTCTGGGTGTGTGAGGCATGGCCATATTTGTTTAGAAGGCAAATCAATCGAAACACAAAATAAGCACGGGCAAGTGAGTACAACTACTTTGTTTCATCAAACCTATGAATGAACATTATATCGGTTTTGTTTTTACTATTGAGAACCAAAGGGGCGCAAGGCTGCAGTAAAGGTTAAGAACCACTGTTCTCCAGGGTACTTGGCCTCCACTTTCATGCTGGCCACACATCTGAGAAGACGTGGCAGCACTCACACTTGACCCCACCTGCCGGAGGGGCACCACGATGATGGCGAGATGTTAACTATCTCGCCTGAATACAGGAGGCTGTGGGTCCGATTCCGACCCCAATGCCTGTATATTAAGAGTTGGCATGTTCTCCCCATGGTGACGTGGATTTCTCTCCGGGTCCTCCGGTTTTTCCCTCCACATTTAAAATCGACACGTGTTTCGAGTATTTGGCCGCTATACATTTCCACGCGATAAGCCACTTCGTTGAGCTATCATTTGTGGCCGGGTCGCTTCTGAAAAAGAGCTAGGTAGCTCAGTGGGCCTTACCTGGTAAAATAAGAAATAGTTTTGTTCAGTTTTTCATAGATTGACCAACTGTGGCATCAACCATTGCTGTATCCTGCTGGGTGGATCGAGGTCAGGCGATTTAAGAAACTTGACAATTGTTGCAGCTGCCACGCCGGGAGACTAAACGGGGTACACGGATCAAATTTATTAAATCAACACAATAATAAGTATTGGAATAAGATGCATAGCAGGTGCAAAACAAAGACAAAAAAAACCCAACAATTACCATGCACAGAGGCAATAGCACAGATATACATACAATCATCCCTGTGGTTTTCACACCTGATGATGATTGCTTGTAAATTTTGATTTAAAGCTTTCGTGACTGCAGTGATTCATATTCTTGGTTATTTCGGTAAAGTCACGTGACTTTACCGAAAGAACCAAGAATATGATTGCTTGTGTTGCAGTCAAAACGTCGTGAGAATTGTATTGTTTTATATTTTTATTATTTTATTGTTTCCCGAAAGAACCAAGAATATAATTGCAAGATGTTCAGTGCTCTTGTCAATAATCCTTGACCTGTTTGGCCTTGGTATTGCTCAAATGTTCGAGAGCTGCCATGCGGAACATAATACGAGCCACGCCAGGCCAATGCAGTGCTTCATGATTCCTCCACGCGGTACATGACAGTCATCCGGGCTGGAATATTAAATGCTCAGAAAGAGGATTCCCCGTTGTCTTAAAAGACTCGCCAGAATTAACCTCAGGAGGCATGATTATATCGTAGGGTGAAAGGTTGTTGCACTCACTAAATTAAAGCCATCATCAGCATCAGCCATGATCAGTCCCCTGCTGGATGACGGCCTTCCCATTCCATGATCATCTCTCACAGTACTGCGATGTAACGCTCCTCAACGAGCTGATGTCATCGCTTACATCTCCTCTGTTCTCATTCTTTGGCTACCACTCTGTCACTATTTTTGTCCATCAGCCAACATCCTATTAAGCGACGTGTCTTGGCCAAGCCCACTTGAAAATGAAAGCACCGATGAGAAATTAAAACGATCTCGGTAAAATTCTGCACATCTCGACGAGAACGGAGAGCATGGACAAACGTTAGTACCCCTACTCGGAGGGCACCTTGGGCAGTCCCAGGGATCTCGCTGGCTGGAATTCCAGCCTGTGTCGATTTACAAGACGTTCAGTTCAGCTTATTTTAGAAGTAACCCTGTGAGTCAAGAAGCTCTTAAGTCGGGCTGCATCAACAAAAACAACATCGCAGTAAAATAACAAAAAAAACAACAATAACAGATAAGAGAAATACAAGATAGCTAGCAAACTGCTGCGGACTATATGCTCATCTGTGAAACGCTGCAATGCCTTACTGTGCTATAGGAATGGTGTGAATACCGAAAAAAATATCTATATACTAACGATATCATTATAATTTTATACTCCGTGCAAACATTGGACTTGACAAAGTCTGGGAGGGGCGGATTTTAATTTGCCTGTACGCCCCTTCCCACACCGCAACCCCACTGCTCTCAACGCAGCGGGGTTGCGTTTAATAGAACAACACAACGCTTGCAAATCGCCCGATGATGCTGGATATAATTACCAGCGAAACGTCGTACTCAGATTGTAAATGTTGTGGATTTCCTCTCCAACACACCGGTGGGCCGAAGTAGTAACGATTTGGCGTTTTGTTTACGTGACAAATCCCTTAGTGATTGGCCGTGTCGGGTGGTGGAGGGTTTCGACACATTTATCCTTACGCGATCTCACCCAAAAACCTTTATTATGAATAATATTGGTCGCGAAAGCCCGCTAAGTGTTACACTGCCAACGCTTGCGTGCTCAACCTCGCAGAGCATATACCTTAGCTATCTCATCCGTTTTCTCGAAGTTCCCTGGATCCGTAATACTTTCCAGCGGGTCACATCTAACGGCCCCTCAGGATCCCTCCAGTCTAAATAAAGATTCTGATTCTGAACTTGAAAACTCTGTATATACAGGGTACTTAAAAAAAGAAGTTAACACTTAAATTTTGATTTAAAGCTTTCGTGACTGCAGTAATTCATATTCTTAGTACTTTCGATAAAGTCACGTTGAAGGGAAACAATAAAATAATAAAACATATAAAACAATAAAAAAAATTCTCACAACGTTTCGACCATAACACAAACGGTCATCATCAGGTGTGAAAACCAACGGCAAGAAACATTTGAAAGAAGTGGCGGTGTGCATTTATTTATTTTTAATTTTTCATCTCCCCCCTCCTCTTTTCAGAACATAGATGGACTCGTCCTTCTAAACAAACTGCCAAATCGCTGCCCGTGGTGCTAACGTTTTTAAAAATAAATCCAAACACCTTTAATAATAAATAAATACAAATACCGTTTAGAAATTAATAAATAAATGCAAACCGCCACTTCTTTCAATTGTTTCTTGCCGTTGGTTTTCACACCTGATGATGACCGTTTGTGTTATGGTCGAAACGTCGTGAGAACTTTATTGTTTTATATATTTTATTATTTTATTGTTTCCCTTCAACGTGACAATACCGAAAGAGCTAAGAATATAAGTTAATACTTCTGACAATTTGCAACAACACCACGTGACATGTGCTGCTGCCTCCGGGCTCTGGAGACCACCTGGAGAAGATTCCAGGCCACGTGCGTTGACAACGATGGCGAACACGTGTCGACTCTTTGACGTTTTGAAGCTATTAACATTACATTTGTTATCATGTTACAGTGTAGTATTATCCGTCCTTTTCCCATTAATAAACGATAGTCCCGTATAAGTGTTAAACATTTTTTTAAACACCCTGTATGTATGTTGTTTAGGTAGGCGAAAGTCCTCTCCTACACCTTGGAAGGTGTGAAATGTCCCGTTGGGTATCGCCAGTTCTCTACCTGCTTCATCTCTCCGCGGAGGATGATTCGTCACTGTGCCACCAATCCGGTGAGATGGATTTACAGCATATGATCAGCGTCGGTCGAGGATCTACGTGTCGGTGGATTCACGCGTCGCTGAATCGTCAGCCGTGCTCATGGGGTTACTTGCCCACTGACAGCACCGGTTAAAATTACTTCACGGGACCTCTAGGGCGTGAGTACAATCAGACCCTCTAAGGCAGGGGTGGGGAACCTTTTTTTCTGCCAAGGGCCATTTGGATATTTCTAACATCATTCCCGGGCCATACAAAATTATCAACTTAAACATTATCCCGTTATATTTGGTCAAACATTTTATGAACTCACCCCTAATGTGATGGCTGGAACTGCTTCTCTTTGGTGAGGCGTGTGGTGATGTTAGCTGGTATTGATGATGTTGCTACTCGCAACTGCTTTTCCAGGTTTGATCCTAGATTGATTGAATTTCGAGTCCCGCCTGCGGTTGCCTTGGCAGGGCCACACCAAATGATTTCGCGGGCCTTATACAGCCCGCGGGCTGGATGTTCCCCACCCCTACTCCAAGGAGACCATGGCCAAAGTGAGGCATGCTGATGAAGTATGGTCAAAGTAACCCCCAAAGACCCATATGGCTGTAAATTATACAAAAACTATTCATTCTTAATCAAAACAATGGATTTCATTTGCACACCTTGAACTGCATACCAAGCCATCTCTGGCCTGTGCCGCATGGAACAAAGACGGTCACTGCATCTCGCGCTTTCAGATGCACCCCTGTGGCCATCTGGAACGCTCATGCTTCCGATATTAGGACGCCACTGGAGCTATGCACTTTAAAATCATTTAGATTGAAAACGAATTTCTTTACAGTTGCGTTAGCGTTTAGTTTGTTATCTTTCCCCCGCACCTCCGATTAGCAGGGTTGGCTACGTACGCTGCGAAAGAAGGTCAACAAAGATGCATACATCGGAAAGCACTTGACGAACTTGCTGATTAATTTTTCTGTCGCCGGCGGATGGTGGCTTAAAGGGACGTACCGAGGAAGGAGTCGAGGGGCAGGTGTGGGTCCGTGTGGTGGCCGGTGCACACCATGACGGCATCGAACACGGACGACTCTTCCGTCCCGTCCTCCGTCACCACGGTGACATCCCACTGGCCTGACGTGTCGAAGTCCTCGCGCCGCTTCACGCTCTTCACGGACGTCTGGCGGAGCGTCCGACAGAAGCACACAAACGCGGCCGATGCTGCGCCCCCCGCGACAACGTTCCCATGCGGACAGCTCACGAGGGCTAGGCCATCATGACTTACTTTGTCGTCCAGAACAGACCGTACAAAGTATAATGACGCAGTGCCTGATCGACAAATGCGAAGGAGACATATACACTCCGCTGCTCCTGACGCGGTTGTCTTACTTGACCACCTGAATGTAAAATTGTAGTTGTTGCTCTTCGTCCACATCAGCCGTACGAAAGACGATTAGGCGATGGTTGCTTTGCCGGGATCTCTAACATGCATGCATGCATTGCACATTTTGACGAACGGCAACGGTGCAGCCCTACGATTAAATGCTCACACACCAAAGCTGGCAGAAGGGTCTCCTCTAGAGGATGTTTTCGACTATTGGTACACGCCGGCCAGACATCTTACAAGAGGTGGGAGTATACTCCACACTCTACCCCAACACACGCGACTTGCTGGTCAACTCGATGTGGAGTATCCAATTATTACTCGGTTGAATAGAGGAGGAGGGGGGGGGGGAGTGATAAAAAAAAAACTTGCCCATTGTTTCAATTGCCGCACTAGTCCATCCAATCGAACGCACCACCTCTGTATTGCAGGTGCAACGTGCCAACGCCGCCGCCAAGTACCTTGTACCGGATGTACTTTTCGAGCTGGTACTGCTGGGCGTACATGCAGAAGTACTCGACGATGCGCGAGTTGTGCATGAAGTTGGGGAAGCTGGCCGGGATGGGGAAGTCGCTGTAGCACATCATCTCCTTGGACGTGTTGATGATCACGGAGCGATAGATGCTCGCCTGTCCCTCTGGAACCTGTTCCTGTTGACGGGTTTACCCAACGCAGTCAGTGAGAGAGATCTATTAAACTACTTTTTATTTTACCAGGTAAGGCCCACTGAGCTATATAGATAGCTATTTTTGAGAAGCGACTTGGCCACCAACGATAGCTCAACGAAATGGCTAATCAAGTGGAAATGTACAGCAACCAAATACGTTAAATGCATGTTTCTAAAATGTGGAGGAAAAAAACAGAGGATCAGAAGAAAAATCGACGCGACCGCCACGGGGAGAGAGATCACGTGAACTCCAAAGGTGAGGGAGATAACATCTCGCCACCAGAATGTCCCTCTGTTTATTCATGACAAAGTAGGGGGAAAACATCACGGATCCTAGCAATAATATAACCAGTAACCACCCCACATCACTCACTAATCGGAAGTGGTTGCTCATTTTTAATTATTTAAAATGTCAGACCCATGCTCCCGAATCAAGAGCCACATGGCTCACAGGGTTATACCTAATAAATGAAAAATGAAAAAATTATAAAAAAAAATGAATGCGCCGTGATTATCATTGTGAGAACCCATGCTCGATTATCTGCAGGGGCCAGGACTCGGTACCCATACCTTGAAATTCCAAAGGCCCCCAATGTAGTCATCTCGCTCGAAGCACACGGGCTGCAGGTTCTCGTCCAGGCAGCACTTGATGGCAGTGAGGCCGCTGGCTCCCGCGCCGATGATGCACACGCGCTTGCAGCTCATTGTTTGCGTTTCCTTCGGTGTCCTTCCTTCGCGCGCCTCCGATTAGCACGGCTGGCTACGTACATTGCGAAAGAAGTTCGACACACGTTGTTTGTGTTGCCCAGTTTTGGGCAGTATATTGTGGACTGAAACTGAGAAAAAATACATGTCCGCGTGCGGTCTGTAAAAAAGACACGCGTCAAGGTGTGGCCTGTCCATTTGTGATGCATGTGCAGTGCAGTCCAACCACGCGGAGACGAGGAATCCTATAAGGGCTGGCAGCGCATCCCAATACTCACACCAGTGTAGATGCACTCTAATTCTCCGTCCTTCACTTGGACCTGGGATAACTATATACATCGGGATCTCTTTGGCTGCCCCTAGGCTCTCTCACCCGTCTGCCCGGGGCGGGGGATCAGCCCACACCGCCCCGCGACGAGGAGAGAGACCTCTTCCAGCCGATCCTTACCCTGGCTCCCGACTATGACCACATGTCCCTCACGTGGTCCCCCTTAAGAACCCTCTCGGTAACTCCTCCCTCTTAGCTCGGCCCCACCCACTTTCTGGAAAGTGCTTTCCAAACGTCCCCCTACGTGGCCTGTGACGTCATCCTTGGCCTCGTATAGCTCTTCATCCACTCGGCCTTCCTTACACTCATCCCTCATTGGCTACTCACAGTACCCCTCTACACATGTATAGGAGTACTGTGCAGTAGAACCACGCGGAGACGAGGGGTACTATAACGGCTGTTGCCGTTTTTTTTTAAATCACTGTCACACTCGACATCCTAAACTCACACCAGTGTAGGTGCACTCTATCTCGGTCCTTTACCCTGGACACAGAGTACTATTTGGGCCTTACCCTCGGCTACCCTTTGGGCTCTCCCGCTCGTCTGCCCGGAACGGGGGTTCAGCCAACACCGCTCCGCGACGAGGAGGGAGAGAACCTCTGGCAGCCGATCCTTACCCTGGCTCCCCACGACGACCATGCCTTCGTCAAGGGCTCCCCCTTAAGAACCCCTTGAGGGGCTCCTCCCCCCCAGCTCGGCCTCGCCCCTGTTCCCGAGGGTGCTCTCCGAAGCCCCTTGCGTAACCCGTGATGTTGCGTCATCCTTGACTGTCAACCTGCTCTCATCACCTCCTTCTGTTTGCCCCCTCATTGGCTACTCACAATACTCCTCTACACATGGATAGTAATTATAGCGTTCCAACTAACGTTATACTGTGTGTATTGTTTTTAACAGCATTTTGTTTCATTCTACATGTTTTGATTTTACCTATGTTTGTTTAATTTCAAGAGCGGCAACTTAAATAATGCACGACAACTGTAATTTGACATTCAGGTGGTCAAGCCCAGATAACAGCGTCAGGAGTGTATCGCCGTGATGTCTCCTTCGTATTTGTGGATCGGGAATTGCATCGTTATATGCTGTGTGGGGCCTGATCCGGATGACCACAGTCGCACACGACTGGAGAGTTTTTAATTTTCCATTTGTGCATCAGGTATCCGCATCTGCTGCCGTGATTTGTGCAGTGGATGCGGTTTCGGGCGTGGGCCATGAGCTGCGAAGAGGATCAAACCCAGGGATCATCTGCGTTGGGTATTTCACAACAAGGTGTTTGTGAGTTATTTTTGCATGCCCTTCAGCTCTCCAAGCTTCGTCGGTGTTGAACTCGCATTGTTTGAATAATGCAGTTTGTAGTAAGTACTGTACACAGTTTGGTTTTTTGGCAGCAGTCAGCAAATGCACTCTTATCTGGAAGTGCTGTGTGTCATAAACAGACTGCGCTCCAGAGTACATATGGTCCACCGTGCCACGTTAACTGGGTTCCTATCAGAGTATAATAAACAAAGAATCCTGCCTTATCTTTTAGTGACTTGTCGATCAAAGTCTACGGTCATTGCATGCAGCGCCGTACTGTGCCGGTAAAGCAGCTCACACACACACATATCAATAAACAAACAACATCGTATAGTTGTATCATTGCACCAGATCAATGTGAAGAATTGGTTCAATGTTTAGTTGAACAAAGACACTGACGTGAATTCCCCTGTCGGCGGTGTACAAGCAGAAAACGTGAGATTGACCACGTTCTCACGTTCCTTAAACAAACTTAACATAATTTGTGGTTGGTTCGTGACCATCATCATTGTTATTCTTAAGCTTCACATCTTTTCGTTGCAAAAAAATTACGCCACCATGTAACACTGTCACAATTTCATCACGGGATATTGATTTAATGTAACTTCCATTCACATGACGAAGCAGGTACAATCAATGTCAGTGCATTATGGAGGTACTGCCTCGATAATGCCGTGACAGACGAATGAAGACGATAATCATCAACAACTGGATACATGGTAACATCTCTGTGGACTAATAACATTGGCTAAAACCATCTGCATTTTATGCCAAATACAAATTAATGGTATAGTACCGTATCTACCACTGTCATTCTAATACTTGTTTTGAAGGGCCACTTAATGAACAGGCGAATTTTATATTCGTGTTTATGGCAGTGTTATTGACGAATGTGTTGAATTCTTGTTACGGTATTTGTAGTATGCATCACCACCTACCAACCCAATCACTCACCTACCAAATGTAGCATTCAATAAAATTATTGTATCCCTCGAAAATTACTGCAACACAATCTTCGCGCAAGACGAACAGATACATGCCCATGTCACCCTCATTATCACCGTTGTATTAACACTTAATTTCGATTTATTTTTCCGGGAAATATTACCATCTTACCTCCAACACATTTGCATATAATGGCACAGCACTCATGTATTGCACTTAACATCAATGCACTGGCACCATGAATTACACTTTATAATGCAATCGACCCTATTATTCGAGCATTTCGCATTGACTACACATATCCATTGAAAGCTTTCGTGACTGCAAGGATTCATCTTCTTTGGTTCTTTCGGTAAAGTCACGTAGAATGAGAATAAAATAATAAATTGATTAAATAAAATAACACAATAATATTCTCACGACGTTTCGGCCACAACACAAGCGGCCTTCGTCAGGTGAAGGGGCCGAAACGTCGTGAGAATATTATTGTGTTATTTTATTTATCAATTTATTATTTTATTCTCATTCTACGTGACTTTACCGAAAGAACCAAAGAAGATGCACATATCCAATTGCCAAGTTAATGCGCATGAACGCATGGCCCTAGATCAACGACTTTTTGTGTAATCTTGTAATAACAGAGTTATTTGCGTGGGAGCAAAGCACACTTGATGCAGCCTTGAGCCATACACGGATGGACTGGAATGCTGTGTACAGGTACAATAACTGTTTGTTTAAAAAAACTCATCCGCTGCCACTGGCGTATCATCCCCCATGCATAAGTTATATTCTCGCGTTTGCCGGCAGCAATATCTTCACGAGCTAAATGTCCAATGTCGAGGTCTGCTGATGGCCACGACGAGAGGGCTTCAGCAGAGAGACGAGAGGAGTTCGTGGAAGAGTTCTGCAATAATTCCTCCTCTGCCGTTGAAGGAGCGCAGACCCAAGTGGGTTTACTATACCGGTCTATTGTCTGGTCTGCTTAGCCACAATCTCACGAACGTAGCATTGTCTTTAATGCGTCAGCGTGTGTCCCTGTGTATCTCTCTGAGTGCCTGTGTATCTCGGAGTCTCTACGCGTCTCTCTGGGCTTATTATACTGGTCCGCAGTTCGGGTTGCATGCCCACAACTGCATGAATGTCGTAGCCTTGTCTTTAATGTGTCAGCGTGTGTGTGTGTCTCTATGTATCTCTATGCGAGTCTGTGTATCTCTACGAGTCTCTGTGCATCTCTCTATGCGAGTCTCTCCGCGTTGGCTACACTTTTGGGGTCCCCAGTTCGGGGTTCCGTGGCCACAACCCGCACCACCCCGTTGCCTTTCACTCTCCACCTGGGCAGCACGGGGAGCATCGCCTGCGTGTGAGACACAGCGCCGACTGACCCACTCGGCACTTCCTCGCGTGCCACGAGGCCACGTCCGCCACGTTACGTACCCGATCCAGTCCGCCGGGTTCCGCGTCCGGACACCGCCGCCACCACCACCACCCGCCCCCGTCCGCTCGCCCGCCCGCCCCGGTGAGGTTTTGCGATGATTTGTGGTTCAAAGGGGATTGCCGATGCTCGTCGAGTCGCGGACGTCGGACGTAGAACGAAGCGGACACTTTAAGCTCGGCATTGGTCTAAAGGGGCGTGTGACGAGGGTTGGCGTGAGCAACACATTGTTTCGCAACAACAACAACGAAAGAAAATCAAGAACAAGGTTTGAATGCGTAATAGAGAGAGAGAGCGGTGCCGTGCAGCGTTCACTCTTCTTCTTCTTCTCCTCCTCGAGTTGCTTCCCGGTTTGTCTGTCGCTTGAGCTCTGACCAGTCCATACCAATGATTTACACGGGTGGGTGGGTGGGCGGGTGAGCAGCCATGTGCGGTAAACAGAAATAGTATTTTGATGTGCAGACCCAGCACACGTACTGATTTGGTCACACGTACTGCTGCCGATGTTACGAGATTGCATGCTCAAGTTATTGTGCCTTAGGGGCCGTCCATAAATGACGTCACACGATTTTGGACGATTTTTGACCCCCCCCCCCCCCCCTTCGTCACACGGCGTCACAAAAAGTCAGACCCCCCCCTCAAATATGACGTCACAAAGCTCTGCCCCCCCCCCAAATAAAACATGCTTCAAATCGCTGTAAACTATTGTCATTGTAGTGCGTATTTAATGTGGCGCTGCACTCTGATGTTGTAGGAGAAAATATTTATTAAAAAGTCTATTTAATTAAGTAGAACGTGTTGTCTATATGTCTATATTTATTTAAAGTTGCGCATTTTCATGTGACGTCACATTTCTAACCCCCCCCCCCCCTTGTCACACATCGTCACAAATGTCTGACCCCCCCCCCCCTAGGTGCGTGACGTCATTTATGGACGGCCCCAAAGCTCTTTTTCCACAGATGTATAGTAGGGGCAGGTCAGCTAGTTAGAACAACAAAAAATGCAACAAAAACTATAGGAGGGTCAACGTATCGAAAAGGTAAGAAAAGCACTAAAAATAAACCAACTAAACTATTTCTCACCAGAGCTGTTCTTTTTCAGAAGCGACCTGACCACAAATTATATCTCAACGAGGTAGCTTATAATGGAGAAAAATATACTGGTAGGAAACGTAGTGGACTGGAAGCCCAACCGGGATTAATTCACAGGAGGCAGGGAATTAATTGTGTATGTCTGTGGATGTCTGTCCAACGTGGGAGGGGTGGGGCTGGGTGGAGAGGGGAGGGTAGAGAGGGGCTGGGTGGGGAGGGGCTGGGTGGGGAGGGGAGGGTGGGAAGGGGCAGGGTGGGGAGGGTGGGGCTGGGTGGGGGGTGGGAGGGGTGGGGCTGGGTGGGGCTGGGTGGGGCTGGGTGGGGAGGGGCTAGTCACCCCGTGGTGCCCTTATATGGACTGGAAGCCCAACCGGGATTAATTCACAGGAGGCAGGGGATTAATTGTGTATGTCTGTGGATGTATGTCCACGTGGGAGGGGTGGGGCTGGGTGGAGAGGGGAGGGTAGGGAGGGGCTGGGTGGGAAGGGGAGGGTGGGGAGGGGCTGGGTGGGGAGGGGAGGGTGGGGAGGGGCTGGGTGGGGAGGGTGGGGCTGGGTGGGGGGTGGGGCTGGGTGGGGCTGGGTGGGGAGGGGCTGGTCACCCCGTGGTGCCCTTATAAAACTCAACGTTTAACCTACTCACGCCGGCTTGTGCCCGCCCTCACAGTCGGGCATATTTGCGGAATACACCACGCCGCCATTGATCCTGGCCATTGACCGAGCAACCCAACGTTCCTACCAGCTCCCTCCGCAGGAATGTGTTAGCAGCCTGGTAAGAATTAATTTTCAAAACTAAAAAAAAAGTTTTAAAATTAGAATATAAATAGTTACAACTACGCCGCGGTGGCTAGGAGATTTTACAGTGAGGGAAAAAAGTATTTGATCCCCTGTTGATTTTGTACGTTTGCCCACTGACAAAGAAATGATCAGTCTATAATTTTAATGGTAGGTTTACAGTGAGAGACAGAACAACAAAAAAATCCAGAAAACGCATGTCAAAAATGTTATGAATTGATTTGCATTTTAATGAGGGAAATAAGTATTTGACCCCTCTGCAAAACATGACTTAGTACTTGGTGGTAAAACCCTTGTTGGCAATCACAGAGGTCAGACGTTTCTTGTAGTTGGCCACCAGGTTTGCACACATCTCAGGAGGGATTTTGTCCCACTCCTCTTTGCAGATCTTCTCCAAGTCATTAAGGTTTCGAGGCTGACGTTTGGCAACTCGAACCTTCAGCTCCCTCCACAAATTTTCTATGGGATTAAGGTCTCGAGATTGGCTAGGCCACTCCAGGACCTTAATGTGCTTCTTCTTGAGCCACTCCTTTGTTGCCTTGGCCGTGTGTTTTGGGTTATTGTCATGCTGCAATACCCATCCACGACCCATTTTCAATGCCCTGGCTGAGGGAAGGAGGTTCTCACCCAAGATAAGACGGTACATGGCCCCAGCCATCGTCCCTTTGATGCGGTGAAGTTGTCCTGTCCCCTTAGCAGAAAACACCCCCAAAGCATAATGTTTCCACCTCCATGTTTGACGGTGGGGATGGTGTTCTTGGAGTCATAGCATTCCTCCTCCTCCAAACACGGCGAGTTGAGTTGATGCCAAAGAGCTCCATTTTGGTCTCATCTGACCATAACACTTTCACCCAGTTGTCCTCTGAATCATTCAGATGTTTATTGGCAAACTTCGGACGGGCATGTAAATGTGCTTTCTTGAGCAGGGGGACCTTGCGGGTGCTGCAGGATTTCAGTCCTTCACGGCGTAGTGTGTTATCAATTATTTTCTTGGTGACTATGGTCCCAGCTGCCTTGAGATCATTGACAAGATCCTCCCGTGTAGTTCTGGGCTGATTCCTCACCGTTCTCATGATCACTGCAACTCTACAAGGTGAGATCTTGCATGGAGTCCCAGGCCGAGGGAGATTGACAGTTCTTTTGTGTTTCTTCCATTTGCGAATAATCGCACCAACTGTTGTTACCTTCTCACCAAGCTGCTTGGCAATGGTCTTGTAGCCCATTTCAGCTTTGTGTAGGTTTAAAATCTTGTCCCTGACATCCTTGGAGAGCTCTTTGGTCTTGGCCATGGTGGAGAGTTTGGAATCTGATTGATTGATTGCTTCTGTGGACAGGTGTCTTTTATACACGTAGCACGCTGAGATTAGGAGCACTTCCTTTAAGAGTGTGCTCCTAATCTCAGCTCGTTACCTGTATAAAAGACACCTGGGAGCCAGAAATCTTTCTTATTGAGAGGGGGTCAAATACTTATTTCCATCATGAAAATGCAAATCAAGTTATAACATTTTTTAAGTGCGTTTTTCTAGATTTTCTTGTTGTTAATCTGTCTCTCACTGTTCAAATAAACCTACCATTAAAATTATAGACTGATCATTTCTTTGTCAGTGGTCAAACGTACAAAATCAGCAGGGGATCAAATACTTTTTTCCCTCACTGTAACTACCTCGCCTGGTATACAGGTCGTGGTTTCGATCCCGGCTATGATGCCTGCTGTTTATTTGGAGTTAGCGGTGTCTCTCTCTCTGGTCTCTTTTTGATTAGGACATCTCCAAACCTTTATAAACAGTTTGCCTTTAGAGGCTGACTCCTATGCCTGATGACGACCGCTTGTGTTGCGATCGAAACGTCGTGATATTTGTATTCACTTTATTTTCATTATTATTTTTTCTACCTACGTGACTTTACCGAAAGAACCAAATAATATGAATTCCAGGCAGTCACGAAAGTTTTAAGTCAAAATTTATGGAAAACATTGTTTTCACAGGCGTGGCTACAGAGTGGGGGCGGAGTCAAAGGTGGGCGGAGTCAATGGAGGCGGGGGAGAGAGGCGGCGGGGCGTGATGGCGGGCGGAGCCGAACGTGGGCGGAGTCACGCATCACCGCTGATGACGTCGTCGGTTTCACGACAAGGTCGTGAAGACGTTGGGTAAAAGAGGGGGCGGTGCAAAACCGCATCCCCCGCCCACCCCGAAGCGGATACCCCCCTCCCCGTCAACGCTTTACGGCAGCCTGGTTACGGCCATTTGTGCGACATCAGGAAGCGGACGCTGAGGGCGCGATCGGGCGGGCGAAGTTTTTTTTTATTTTTAACGGCGTAAAACAAAAAAAAACCCCACCACACACACACATAGCGCCGAACCAGGGAGAGGGGGCGGGGGAGTCGATCGCTTGCCCTAAGTCGCCATGGGGAACCGCGGCATGGAGGACCTCATCCCGCTCGTCAACAAACTACAAGACGCGTTCTCCGCCATCGGCCAGAACTGCAGCCTCGACCTGCCGCAGATCGCCGTGGTGGGAGGGCAGAGCGCGGGCAAGAGCTCGGTGCTCGAAAACTTCGTGGGGCGGTGAGCGATCTCGATCTTGTGTGTTTTTTTTTAAATAATTCCCTACCCCCCCCCCCGCCCCATCCTCCTCCATCTGCAGGTTCTCCCAAACCCTCCATCGGCTGTGTGACGGACGGAGAGACGCAACGGGGGGTGGGGGTGGACACGGGCGCGAACGATTTCAGATTCCCTAGTCCGCATCGAAGCCGAGCTCGCGCCTGATTGGCGAGCGCGCGTTCGAAGGCCCGAGCCGGAACCCAATAGGACGCGCCGATGGTGGATTTGCGGACGACTCCCTCGGCCAATCGGGCGCGCGCGCGACGCTTATCGGCTCTACGGAATGTGAAGGCGGCGGCAGCGGTGGTGGTGGTGTTGGTGGTGGCGGAATGGCCCCGGCCTGCAGGGGAAACGTCGCAGGGCACCCTCCCCCCCCCACGATGTGACGGGAGATCCACCGCCGCCGCGGAGATGGAGCCGCGGTTTAATTAAGATCGGGTGTAGGTGGATGGTGGTGGTGGTGGGGGGGGATTGTGATGGGCCTTGGGAGGCTTTCGACGGTGTATGAGACAATGGCTGGTGATGATGATGATGCAGCTGCCTCGTCCCCCCACAACCACCACCACCATCGTGTTGTTGAGCGGGAATCGATTATAATCGAAGCTTGCGTGTTACAATGGGATGTTTCCCCAATGCCTGTCAACCCATACGGTTTTCACGTATTCTTGTACAGGGAAATTTAGTGTCCAAGCCCATGCGGCGTACAGCCGTTTTAACACGGGAAAAAAAAAATTGGTCTATTTTTTGTGTTTCTCCCTTGTGAATGAACTTGTAGGATGAACGTTCAGATTTATAAGGGCACGGGGTGACCAGTAAGGTCTGAATTGGCCTGTAATAAGGTAGGCACTGATAAGGGGTTGACAGGTTTGATGTCCTCATTAAAAATGTACATCAATTTAAGCTGTACGGGACGGCTACATTTTTAGATACGTGTACGGTACGGACGATATAGACAGGTCCCAATATACATAAAATGAATCCTTTACTTCCAGACGAAACTTTCAGTATAGATATAGACAAGACGACAAACGACAGACGAGACACGCCACAGAATAGACAAGGTCGACAAGGCAGTACAAGCGAGACAAACTGCGCGTGCGGACTAGGCAAAGACACATTACAGAAGAACCTGGCCTCAGACGAAACAGTACAGTAGCTTTAGACCAGACACTGCATACCGTATTGATGCGAGTCGTGTAGCCCAGACAGCACTGAGAAAACAGAATCGACACTGCAAACTAGAACATACGAGACAGAGACTACAAGGGGGCAATGCAGGTGAAAATGTACGTACGTTATACGTGAGACGGCACAAAACGAAACGGACCAAAACGAGACGGTAAACACCAGCCAGAACACAGTGCAAACAAGACAGGACGTGTAATGTGCACGGTATACGGAAACTCTCCACAAATGAGACTAAGAAAATCGATTACTCAATTGAATCCGGATGGTTTACGGAATCACAGAGGTAAAGCTGTCAATTGTTACACATATACACCTGAGAAGTGACCTACTTACACACGAAGCTATACAGTATATATAAACTTGCTGAGCATGTACACTTCTTGAAAACGGATTCACCCAACATTCACATGAAAGACATTCTCCAGCACGGTCACCGCCACGTACAGTCCCATGTTTTCGCGACAAGTGCGTTACATAAAAAAAAACACGCACACTTTTGGTTGGAGGATGGTGTTGGTAATGGGTTACAATTCACGCGTTGTGTCAAGATTGTATCTGGTCAGGGTTATTCTTTTGCGCCCTCGTCGCCGCCTTACGTGAAACTTGGCAAAGCACGTAGTCCGGAACCCCGTGCTGCTTTCAGTGTTGACTTCCTGCCCCTATTCAAGTTCAGATTCACGACCTTCCCTTTTTTGCCCACTGCCGGCTGGCTCCCTCTCACAACAAAGGGACATAACACTGTCTTTACAGTGTATTGATATGCAGTTGCATTTAGATCCCAAATATAATTAATTGCATTTCGTAAAAGAATGTAGCTTCACTGTGAACTTCAGCTTTTCTTAATGCGTGCCCAGATCCACCATTCACACCCAATATAGCCCAAACAAAAACCCATACATATAACTCAAATAAAAACATAGTTTAAACTGACACATGCTTGGTTTGCTTACTTTCTAATTGCCTTATGGGTATTCTAAATGCATACATCAATATACCCTCGTGTACAGTATTTTCGTCAATCCACTGCTGGATGAGGGCGTCTTCACACCGTGTGTGTCTTATTTGACCATACTTCACCATCCTGGTCCGTGCGATTCTGTGAGGGCAGGGAACGTCGGGGTCGGGGCACAGAAGTTCAGTATAACAATACAATTTGATGCACTGCCCTCTGACATCCACCACGGTAACCCTATAGCCGATAGCAACCTATCATGCATGGTGTTGGCCCATCCAAGCACTGTTCAGGCTCACTTCTGCTTAGCTTCCGATATTTGATGAGATCGGGTGTCTTCTGGGTGATTTGGCCAGAGTTTTATCCTTATTAAAGGTTAAAAAATGGCATGGTTAAAATGTCATGTATCTCACGATGAGGTGGATCATTTGGTGTATGCACTTTTCACTTGTAATTCACAAGCACAATACATCCAGCTGCTGTGCGGCAGGCGTTTATGCAATATTTAATCGAAGTCTACTAATCAGTGTGCATTCTTGCTGTGTGATGATAAAACATGTTTCCTGTGATAGTCGCCAACAAATAAGAAAAAAAAACCTAGGTACAGTGTTAGGTGGTTTTTCCAGTTTCCTCCAGTAGCTTGCTTGCAGTTCATATTAATAAGATAGGGGCGAGGTTATTTTTGACGTAAGTGAGTCATGTGGCTGGCTCAGGACAGAGGCCAAAGCATAAACAGCAGATGTTTACAGTTAAGAGCTATACCTTCAGGTATATTGAACGAAGTCCACTGAATACAAATGCCACGTGAAATGTTCACATTTGTGCGTACCATTTAATCAGAATGCACACTCACAAGTGGCTTTAAGTTCTCAAGTTCGAAATGTAATGCCATCTTGGTGCTGTGCAACAGACTGAGCGTCATTTAAACTCCCTTTCCTTTGGTGGACATCATACGCTTGTTTGGAAACCTGTTTGCAGATTTTGAAGATTTCACAACTTTGTTTTATAAGAAAGGTACTATTGTGTAGCGTTTCCACACTGGCTTTACCACCTGTTAGGAAGTCAAGGTCTAACCAAAAGCCAAACAGTCTTTGTAAACTAGCAGCTCGAAAGTTGGTGGAGGTATGTTGCATAAGCGTCAACACAACAATAGTGTGAAAAAGAATATTTACAATGGTCATGTTACATTAAGGTATGGCAGGAAAAACATTGACAATGAGGTACAAACAAATGGCACAGAATTTTGTAAGGCATACAATACTCTTAGATTTCAATACTCACCATAAATCATACATTGAGTCTAACTTTTAATGCCTAAAACATTTACATTACTCTAAATAATCTAATTAATAACCTTCATCAAGCACAATGTTAAAATAGCTTCACAATCTAGTGTTATGTTGTTCGTAATCGCATTGAAATTGTAACACTTCATTGAAAGATAGCAGTGCCCATTACTTGTATACATGGGTGGTTCTTTTCGTGAATTCTTGACACATATCTCATGTGTCTGCTTGTATCACACATGCCTGTGGTGGTATGTTATTAGCTAATACACAAACAATCATTCACAATGGCATTGTTCACAATTTGCTTACTTGTAAATATTCCCCCTCACCTGTTGACCTCTGCCCTTCTTGCATGCTCTCCAACATGCGTTCTGGTCTGACAGCTGCCCCCCAACACACACACACACCACCCGCCAGCTACTATATTATAATATCAGTGCTTTTCTATACACCAGTGCTTGGTATTGTGATGGGGATTCCGTTTTGTTGAGTGGGTTACCACAGCTGGGCTCCCATGCCTCATTCACTCGGCCATCTGTGCCACTGCAAAGCAGCATGGGCAACGTTAAATAATAGGTTTGCAGACACAGCCATTGTCCTCATGTGAAAGAACTGTGGCCCAGTGCCCTGCAATTGTGCAATTTCCCCTGGGACATTTCCTTTTCAAGACATGCCTACTGATCCGCTCAGAACCTGCATTTTTAAACAATGGTTATGCACACAAGTGCAGATCTCGATGTCTGTATGCAGTGTTGGGACCTTTTTTGTTGCTAACATCCTCTTCAGTCTATAAAAGAGTATTTTAGCCCTCTTTCTTGATCTATGCCATCAAATCATTAGACCTAATCTTATCAAAGCCTCTTATTGTCGTTTGATATCTATTTTTTTGTAAATTTCGACAAGCGCAATTTGTTTAGTTACCAAAAACATTGAGTCATACTGGTTGGAGCTTTTATATTATCACTAGTTAAGCTCTGACTTTGCCTATATCACCCAGTCCTTACAAGATCTCGGAAGCTAAGCAAAGTTGAGCTTGAACAGCGCATGTATGCGCGAAGACCATCCACAACAGATGTTATAGACTGTGGCCGATGTTCTCGGCACACATCAATTATCCAGTTCCGTACGAAAAATACAAAAATAAAACCCCACTACTTAGCAAAAAAAATTAATACACTAATAACGAGAAAAAAATGCACGTAAGAAAACATTATCGCGGAGAAAATAATTTAAAATAAATAAATCCGTTCGGTCTCCATACCCCAGACCACAATCCCAACATTTTGCCAGATTTTGGAGAACCTTCACTGGAGAGGTGTGGGGATGCCTTCACCCAGCAGCGAATTTACAATACCAACACCCACCATTCACTACTAAGGGACGGTGGCGTGACCACGTTGCCTGTGGCAGGCCAGGTGCCCTTTAAGGCCACATAAAGTGTCGAAATCTCGCTGACAGGAGGTCACCAGACAGACCCAGGTGCCATGGGTTCGCTGACTGAGATGACTGGTAAATGTACCAGCTGTACCCCCTTCATGCACAATTCCACTCACACACATGTATTCTTCTGATTCAAGCTCACCCTTGGTTTAAAAATTGCCCTAGTGTGGGTTTTTCTTACCCAGTTTTCTTATACATGACCATGATTTTTGTGATGCACTTTGTTAACTCTATGAACCAATCTTGCCTAAAGCAAACTGGAAAACTAGACTTGGCCCTATTTGAATTAATCAAAGTAAAATTCAGTACGAACTCTGCATACAAACAGTGCTCTATTGTTTATAATAATTTAGCAGTATGTCATAGATATTGGTCGTTATTTTTTCTTAAACTTGATCTGCGGGTTGCCTATTTATTAAATGCTGCAGTGAAATATCGATACTATCATGAGTGTTTAAACAAGTTGTTGGTTACAAGCAAAGCTGATGTCCTTAACAACGCAAGGGTCCTATTTAAGTGGCCTGCATTGTTAACCTCCCAGTGTGTGGTTAAAACAAAAACTTGGGACCAGCTACCCTATGATTTTAATTGATACAGCCATCAATACAGAGACTTGTGTCAATTTCAGCACGATCTTCCTAAATCTTGTTTGATTGTATTTGCATTTTAAAAAAAAACATACCAAAAAGCACATAGCGCTCACCATTTTGACGAACAGCACAAACAGGAATAGCAATAATAATAGTGCTGAGCTTGATCTGGAAACTACAGAAAAAGGAAATGGAGAGAAAGGGAAGAACAGGAAGAGACAACTTAATATATTATTTATTACCACTTCATTCTGTAGGGGTGTCATGATTCATTATTTTTATCGTGGCCAATGTGAGATAGGTGACCGTATTCTCTACCATACTGGTCGGTGCAGGTGAGTGAAGAAATCTGACAAGCAGCATGAGATTGGGCATGGTTGGTGGTGGTGATGATGATGATGCAGTGAATGCTGTGGCCGCTGCTGCTTGCCTGGGTCATAGGAGATAATTATAATCGTAATTTACAGCCCTTTGTCATTGTACTGATGGATGAAGGGCCCTCCCCACGGCAATGTATGACATATGTATAGAAAGATATATTGAATCGTCCATTGCACACATGAGCTCGGCAATCAATGTATATTGACAAATGAAGGCACCATTACACATTATACTGCGAGTCACCGTTAATGAAGGTGATGTCAACATGTGCGATGGTTTAAGGAGTCCTCTGTCCGTGAATCGCATTTTACCTCTTGCATAAGATTTGCACATGTTTGGTGTCCTTGAATATTTTGCCAGCGGGGAATGTTGAAACGGTTATGGCACACACACACACCCTGATCTTTGAGAAAAACCCAACGCGAAGCGTTTGCGTACAGTGTTTGCCGGAGGCGTCAGTAACGCACCATGCAATCATTCTCTTTGAACGCCATCGTCGTCCTCTTGACAGTTTTAGGTTTTGGCTTCGAATACTCTTATGAATGCAGTTTTAAACAAAAAGTAATTACAAATAGTACGTAAAAATATACTTAGTGTATATAATCATTTTTTTCATGTGACGCTTGTTCTCTTGGCATTGTTAGTTTTTTGGCTTCGAATGCTCTCATGAATGCATTTTTTTTACAAATTGTATTTAAAAATACCCTTAGTATATATAATCTTGCGTTTTTTCATGTGACACTTGCACACTTTTGAACAAAAGCCCAGTTGACCTTGTTCGTTACTGAGGACACACATGCTGCTGGAATTTGATAAGTGCGTAACATTTAACGTGTACATCCTTATATTGATTTTTATTGTTCACTCCCTGCAGCTGAACACGTTGCCCGGCACTGAAGCAATGACCTTTGAAATTGTCCGTCAGCTTGTGGCTTTCAAGCATTGTTGCGTCCTAACTAGGGTGCCTGCCACATGGGCTACAGCTTTGGGTGGAAGAGGGGAATTGAAGACTTGCTGATGATTGTAGTGATCTATATTTAATTAATTTCCACGCCGAGTAACGGAGAAGTCGTCTCCGTAGTGCGATGCCTGTCGTGTGTTTTTGTTGTTACCTAAAGGAGAATTGGTACGTTTTTAAGGCGTTATATAACAAATCATTATATGTGCTTGATAAAAACGGTACCTGTTGGGATATTACTCTGTTTATAAATACCGTAATTAAATCACAATTTTTATTTGTGCCTGTGATCAAATCACCTGTAATGTGCCCAGTCTCGTCAGATCAACACCTCCAATTAATACGGTTGGGATACATACGGTGCAAAAGAACTTCTGCGTACATACATCAGACTCAGTTTGGACAGTGGTTGGATCGGTGACCGCCGTGTATTAGAGGCGTCACAGGCTGTGGGCAGGACGAACATTGTGAGCAGTAGAGGACAGTGCAATAACATCCATTGTTTCACTACTTCTCTGCTCCCCCCCACCCTTCACCAACCGCGCTGGACCACCGTGGCGAAGCGTTGCCATATACCCTCTACGGCAGTGATGGGCAACCCTAGACTAGTTCGTGGGCTATATGCATGACCCTCCTTTACCTCGGTGGGCTGCAAGCTTGAAATCGTGCGTGTGCATTCTTTGTAACCCCACGCATCACCCTAGACAAACTTAGACCAGGCCACCACGAGTGGCTCCACATGACGCATGCGGCCCGTGAGCCGCAGGATGCCCACCACTGCTCTACCTACGGCATGTGGAGGCTCTCATCCAGCAGTGGATTGAAAATGGGCCGAACATGAACATGTCAGTGCTATTCACAAATACATTTATGTCCTTGCCTCATTAAAAAGTATATCTTTTGTTCATTTCAGCATGAAGATCTTTTATTTTTTTTATATTTTTCAGGGACTTCCTTCCCCGTGGGTCTGGAATTGTCACCCGCAGACCTCTCATCCTGCAGCTGATGTTCTGTAAAGCAGGTAAAGAGAGAACTGTCAGATTCATACTGACATCACAGTTTACTTGCATTCCTGTTGAATATTGTTTAATTTTACCTTTAGACTAAGTTACATATTGACAACTCATTTGTTATACGTATTATCGCTTGAGTAAATTTTAACCCACCTTTAAATTATAATACCTGATGACTTTTTAACTTTGTAAATATACATGTTTTTGCTGTATTCTTCAACAAAAAAATCCGCAGAGGAATAGCACCAAAAGGACTTTTTATCAGATTGCATGTACAAATCATTATTAATGGTCTACTAACTGCTGGCAAGAATTCTTTGCCACTTATCTTTCCATCCCTCACAGTCTGGCAATGCCACAATCCATCTCACTCATGCATATGAACTGATCTGATTGCTCTGTCTCTTTGAAGATCACACTACCAGACATGTTCTCCTTTCACAGCCATTCATTTAAAACTGTATATGCACTTATTTTTATTTTCATATAGTTTCTGGGGGATTTTCACATGCCTGGCACTTACAGAAAAAGTTGTGGTCGGAGGGTATGGGGGGGACAGAACAGTTTATGGGTTTCACTAAACTAAACTGTAAACAATCTTTTTTTTATACCAGGTATATATAAACTCTTTTTCAGAAGTGACCTGGCCACAAATGATGATTCGGCAAAGTGGCTTATGTGGAAATGCATAGCAGCCAAATACTCGAAACACATGTTTCTTTATGTGGACGGAAAAACTGGAGGACTCAGAGAAAGAGATCCATGCTGTCACGGGGAGAACATGCAAACTCCAAATATACAGGTGTCAGGGTCAGGAATGAACCCACAACCTTCTGTATACCAGGCAAGGTAGTTAACATCTTGCCACTGTGGCACCCTCGCCACCGTGGGTTGGGTCCTCCTGGGCTACCAAATCCCCCATGGGTGGTACGTCCATGTGTGGGAGGCCCTCTTGTGTATTAACTTATTGAATGGAAAGCAATTCCACTATTTTGACAATATTCCTTCATTGTCAGTCTTACTTTAAATTAAAATTTAGGTCATATTCTTTGGGTATTTCGGTAAAGCCACGTAGATAGAACATATTATTTGAACATATTATTTGTTCTATCTACGTGGCTTTACCGAAAGACTCAAAGAATATGAATATGAATTCCTGCAGTCACGAAAGCTTTAAGTCAAGATTTAAAACGTAATTTGTTTGTCAGTCCACTGATGGATGAATGTCTTATCACTCCGTGACAGTCATTGGGGTAGTTTTACTATACTTCACCATGCTGGTCAGATCAGGATGATGAAGGGAGAGTGCAGAACTACTTCACTCCCTGCTCATGTTGTCTGTGGCCGGTAATCAAACAAGTTATGTGATGCATAGTGCAGTGCACTAATCAAGGTACTAACACTCCATCCCATTTGTCTACATGATTTAAAATATAAACCAATGGTGTACTGTGAATTTCGCAATGTGAATGACGGTGACATAGCCGGTGACATCAGAGTGGCGACGGAGCACGAATTCACTATTGCAAATTGCTGTTGGTTTTGATTATAGATAGCTGGCAGTGCTTTTGAGCAATAAGTAACAGTGCTCTGGCGTGTGTTTCCAGAATATGCCGAGTTCCTGCACTGCAAGGGGAAGAAGTTCACGGATTTTGAGGAGGTTCGAGCGGAGATCGAGGCGGAGACGGATCGACTGACAGGCAGCAACAAAGGGATCTCCCCGATTCCCATCAACCTCCGCGTCTACTCCCCGCACGGTAAGGCACAGCACCCTCATACAAAAAGAACCGCACTAGGTTATCTCGATTATTTTACAGTTCTTTATCAATCCGCTGCTGGACAAAGGCCTGGCCATGCCATGCCGAGCATGGGGGGTGGGGGGAGGTGTTTCACCATTCTTTACGACACTTGTGATTGAGTTGTGAGGGGGTGTCCAGCACTAGTTCAGATATTACAGGGTACTGATGTTGCCCCTTCACCAGGAATTGGGCAAAGGTCACCAGGTTAGTAGCACAGTGTGGCAACAACTGTGCTGCAGCTCCACTTTTCCATATTAAGAATGTGAAATACTCGAGTGTTATTTTGACCGTTGCAATGCATTATGGGTTCATATAACATCTGAAGTCACTATGTGAATAGTAGGACACGCATCCTGAGACTATAAAGGAGGCATGTGTGTACTTGATTTGAAGCTTTCGTGACTGCAGGAATTACTTTTTGGTTCTTTCGGTAAAGTCACGTAGAAAGAAAATAAATTTTAAAATAGAATACGACGTTTCCATTGCAACACAAGCAGTCGTCATCAGGTAGAAAACAAGCCTCGTGAACTTAGAAATACATTGCAATCCAACACAGAGTCGGCTAACACAACAGTCAGCACCTTACCTGGTTGATTACGTTCTTCCAAAGATTGCTAAATTTGAGAGAGACAAAACACAGATACGGAGACAGACATACACAAGCAGAGAGAGACAACACAGAGACACAGAGAGAGACACACAACATAGACACAGTTTTGTGTCTGTTGTACATCTCTCTGTTTGTCTCTGTGTGAGACTCTCTGCTTGTGTGTCTGTCTGTGTTTTCTCTCTCTCTCAAATTTAGCAATCTTTGGAAGAATGTAATCAACCAGGTAAGGTGCTGACTGTTGTGTTAGCCGACTCTCTGTTGTATTGCAATGTATTACCTGATTACGATTGCTTGTGTTGCAATCGAAACGTCGTATTCTATTATTTTATTTATTTTCTTCCTATGTCACTTTACCGAAAGAATCAAAGAGAAATATAAAATAGTCACAGGCAGAGGGGAAGAGGAAGGACTTGAGCCTGGACTATAATGGGGCCAGGATAGTCGGCAGTATTGATGACCAGGGGGGGAAGGGTGTTCCAGACATTTGGCAGCAGAAAAGGAGGAATAATGACCTCCCGCTGATTGAAGGTTGACAGAAAGCCTTGGGGTAATGAGAGAGGATAGGCAGCGACGGACGGTTTGAAGGAGGATCCTGAAGATGGTTTGTTGTTCAATCCTTGAAATTGATCGTAGATTGTATTGGGAGACGGTGGGTGCAATATGGGTCGCAAAGATGCAGGTGCAGAAAATGTTGCACAGATACCGGTAGGAGGTCCCATAGTGTTGATATCTGGAAAGAGAATGTTATTTCTGTATCCAATGACGATTTCAAGTTTAAACGCACTGGTAGCCAGTGCAATGTCAGCAGTTACAGTCCCATTGCAATATCTGGGAGCGCCAGCGCGTGAAATTCACATTGCATCCTGTGTTGGCCAGCAGTGGGGAGGGAGAGGCAGGCGGTGGTTAACACCTCGAACTGTAGACGCGTGTGAGAACAGCATGTGTTTTTTGCGTGCGAATAGTCTTGTTCACTTGCGGAATTTAGTCCATTGGGTTTTTTTTTACAAGGAAGGAGATGGCCGTGAACGTGTGCATGGTAAAATATGAGATGCTTGTGTGGGCGAGTAAAATCGTCTACTTGTAAACAGACAATAGCCCATTGGCCCTGCGAGTCTTGTTAAAGTACATGTACATCCCGTTTATAAATCCACTGCGAGGGAGTTATTTGAGTACCTGATCACACTGGTCCGTATGGATTGGTGAATATACATTGGAGTGATGGATTTGGCTGCAGTTCCATCTTGAGAATGTAGCTCTTCAGCAACAACTTTCATTCATGGTGGTCGTTCTTTCAAACACTGTTCAGGCTCAACCCTGCTTATCTTCCGAGATCTGATGAGTTCAGGGGTGAGTTCACTATGATATTGGCATAGGCTAAACGGTTCGTGTTCATGTTTTTAGTATGAAATGCTCACCTGTTTACAAATTCCCCTGGTGAACCTGGCTTTTCCCATGTGTGATTCAGTGCTGAACCTGACCCTGATCGACTTGCCGGGCATGACCAAGGTGCCTGTGGGAGATCAGCCGGTAGACATCGAGTACCAGATCCGCGAGATGCTCATGCAGTTTGTGACCAAGGAGAACTGCCTCATTTTGGCTGTGTCGCCCGCCAACACTGACTTGGCCAACTCGGACGCTCTGAAGATCGCCAAGGAAGTCGACCCTCAAGGTGGCTGGCAGTTTCAATAATTGCTACTCACTGTTGCTGAACCGACGTGAGACTGTGAAAGTTTACAATGTACTCTGAATGTGCCCCTTTTTGCGTTTTATTTTGTCATAGGTCTTCGTACTATTGGCGTCATCACAAAGTTGGATCTAATGGACGATGGCACAGATGCACGAGATATTCTGGAGAACAAACTCCTGCCACTTCGTCGGGGTAAGTGCAACTTGGGCTGTTGTTTTGCTGCTCTTAGTGGATTCATGGGTGACACCACTCATCTGGCGCACTGGCAATGTACCTTCCAATGAGACACCGTATACAGGTTTAATTATTTACATCGAACAACTACCAGGAATATCATTGCCAAATTACACAATCCCTTAATGGTCGAGTGACTCGGAGGGTAGAGTGCCGCGCTGGCACCGTTGAGACCCTGACGGGCCAACCGTCAATGATTATACTGGGTTCTCAAGTGTTGTGCATTAATGGTCTCAGCCTCTTCACCGATGACTGTACAAAACCCCCATTAAATAAATGTTGTTTTTGCATGTAATTTGGCTGACTTACAGGTAGGAATGTGCAGCATCTCCTAGGATCAATAAGTGGTCACTTGAGATGTGAAATCTGCTTTAACGGACCCTTTTATCTAAGGGGAAGCACCGCACCAAGATTTCCAAATGGATGTATTCTTCATCGCAAGACAATGCCGCCAGTAGCACAATTTGGATAAGTTAAGGAAAACCTTTTTTTTAAAGGAGCGATGGAAAAAAATTACACATTCTCTAAAGTGTATGTCATAGAACCCTGAGCAAGGTTGCGCCTAGATAATGCTTGGATAACGTGCATGCCAAGTTGCCAAAGGTATCTGCGAGGCTCCGTGGTGGGTGGCAAAGGGAAGGGCAAAGTATTACACTACTGCAATGTTCTCACGTCTGCTTTCCGCCTTCACCAACCCGCATTGACCAGTGTGGTCAAATATGGCTTAAAAAAAATAAACTCCCTACGACCCGCAAAGTGTGGGGAGAGGCCCTCTTATAGCAGTGAATTGACAAAAGGGTTGTACATGCACTTCAGCAGCCTTGGATCAATCCAGTCCTGGGTTGGCAGTACATAGATAATTTTTAAGTAAATTTTTCTTAAAGCTAGGTTACTCTGCAAAACAGTCCTCCTAGTCGGTGTTGTCTAACCATGATTGTGAAATGTTTTAGAATTATTGTAACAAGGAAATTGCAAAGAGTGACTCCAACCACAAACTATTTGTGGTTGGAGTCACTCTTTAGAATGGAGGTTTTTTTTTGTGTTAGATCGCGTAAATATATAAATGTGTCGTTAAACCCGCCACCACCTGACACAGCGTTGTCACGTAAACAGAACATGCCAATTCGTCACAAGTACAGCACACCGGTGTGTTGGCTGTGTCGGGTGGTGGCGGGTTTCACGACACATTTACGCGATCTAACCCAAAAAAAACCTCTTATGGATGATATTGGTCACGAAAGCCTACGTGTTAAACTTATATACGTTTCTCAAACTTTGGTTTGGCAAGTGTCACACGTTTCTTACATTTGCAGGGTACATTGGAGTTGTGAACCGCAGCCAGAAGGATATCGATGGCCGAAAAGACATCAATGCAGCAATGGCTGCGGAGAGGAAATTCTTTCTATCCCATCCTTCTTACCGGCACATGGCTGATCGCATGGGAACACCCTACTTGCAAAAAACTCTCAACCAGGTAAGACGGCTCATTCCCTCTTTCAGCGATGAAATTATTATCGGCTTTCTTCTTTCTATTGCTGGATGAAGGCCTCCTCCCTACGTTATTTCCACCACCCACACCCCCACCCGACTGCCCATCGCCCAGCATGTTCACAATACAACTCACACCTGCAAGGAGCTAACACCATTGCTCGCTCCATCTCCGTGTTGGTTGAACTTTTAGGCGTGTTGCCTTGCCTGATTGGTCGATCTGTCATTAAACTTGTCCATCAGCCATCAAACCTTCTTGCAGTGTATCCTACCGAAGGCCGCTTTCTTTTACTAAGACACTACAATGTCTCTGATTTTCATGTTCCCTGATCATTGTGTCCCATCTTATCTCGGTGTAATCCCGAGCATACATTTCTCCATGTTTTTTTTGTGGCCCTTTCAGCTCTCATTCCATTTTCTTTGTCAGCATTCATGCTTCCGATCCATGCATCAGAGCAGGTTAATGTGCGCCCAAGGGAAATGTTCACCATTAGGAACATTGGGACGATTTTTTTTTGTTGTTGATCAAATTACATTTTTCAAAAAAGCTCCAGCCTGCTCTACCTCGCCTCGATTTCATGATTGCGATCTCAGGCTGTCGTTGGTAATTGCCAGAGGTAAACGAGGGACTTTGAGCTCTGGGTCCACGCCTCCAGAGTTCACATTTGTCGTACAATGTTTTCGATTCGTGAAATAGGCGCGCATTATGAATCGTGATTATTATTCTTGTTCGGGTGCCACTCAAAATTCAAGTTTTTTTTTCCAACGTCACACCTGGTTACTTTCAATTGCCTGTTAAACTGAACCACTGCAAGTTTAAATACAATCACTAATTATTTTCTGGTTGCATCAATGGAGTTGAAAAATGCACTCAAGTCAATACTTCAAATCTAGATTCAATACATCGAGTTATATATACTCTATTCCACCTGAGAATGATCGCTTGTGTGGCGATCGAAACGTTGTGATCTATTATTTTTCTACGTGACTTTAACGAAAGAACCAAAGAGTATAGATTCCTGCAGTCAAGAAAGCTTCAAATCAACATGAAGAGTTATTCTAGAATTGAAGCTTTCGTGACTGCAAGGATCCATACTCTTTGGTTCTATTCGGTAAAGTCACGTAAAAGTATAAAACAAAAAAAAATTCACGACGTTTCGGCCACAACACAAGTGGCCTTCATCAGGTGAAGGGACCAGATTGTCTCGAGGACAGCGCTGGAGTGAACACAGCCAAGCTCAGACCGCGACCTTTAAGCTTGTGTGAGAGGAATTAAGGTGCCTTGACAAAGGAATTAGCATAAACATTATATTATAAGTTTATATGCAGAGAAGAAGATATGATTCTTAGCAACCTGTAAATGTCAACATTAGAATGAGATTCTCAGTTGTTGACTTGTTCACTAAAAGTATCAAATTGAGAGTGTGATCGCAAAAAACAGAAGCTTCACTTGCGCACACGCATATGGAGTGGCACCCTAATGTTGAACTTTTACCGCACCATACGTAGCCAACTGTGCTAATCCGAGTTGCAGAACAAAAAAACATTATCTTCAATAAGCAATATTTGATGTTGGTAGTTAACCTTCAAATACGATTTTTTATATTCTTGGTTATTTTGGTAAAGTCACATCGAAGGGAAACAATAAAATAATAAAAATATAAAACAATAAAATTCTCACGACGTTTCGACTGCAACACAAGCAATCATCAGGTGTGAAATTTTCTTGCTGTGGTTTTCACACCTGATGATGATTGCTTGTGTTGCAGTCGAAACGTCGTGATAATTTTATTGTTTTATATTTTTATTATTTTATTGTTTCCCTTCTACGTGACTTTACCGAAAGAACCAAGAATATGAATCCCTGCAGTCACAAAAGCTTTAAATCAAAACGATTTTTGATGTTATGAAAACTACAAATAGTAGCACACATAATGTACTGCGTTGATTTAACTGCGTTGAGAGGCTTTTTAATGAATATTACAAACCTTGTTTAATTCTTGAACTCTTTGTAGTACAACAAAGTCTGGTCAGCTTTGAGTCCGCATGATCAAGATAACCTTGGGGGGTATATAAGTTAACCGTAACATAATTAATCTGTGACATGCTAAGCGGTCCCTATTTTTGCCGATTACTTGCTCATGAATGTTTTTTTCTTGACAGCAACTCACCAACCACATTCGTGACACACTGCCTGCGCTAAGGAACAAGCTGCAGGGCCAGATGCTGAGCATGGAGAAGGAGGTGGAGGAATACAAGAACTTTCGTCCTGACGACCCCACTCGCAAGACCAAAGCTCTCCTCCAGTAAGCGTGTGGTTGACCCTTCAAAAACAAATCCCTGTTCTTTCCGAAGCTTCTGCTTTTGTTCGTTTGTTTTAAAAGTTATGGGTTTTTTTGCGGTTGCCTTTGGTGGCTCAAGAGATCCAAATGCTTAGTCAGAACCGCTGAAAAATCCTCGTATTTGAGTATGGGTGACCACCCTTGGGTTAAACCATGTTCTCAAGGCTAGTTGAGTTGATGATCTCAGCCTACATGCCAATGGCTGCATAAAAAAACTCATCCCAGTAAGTTTTTGCTCGATTTTTGGTGAAATTGCAGCTCTTAAAAGAAAATATTAGTTTGATTGCTATGTGGTGAACGTTGGTCTGGAGGGTGGTGTGGGAAAGTATACTCGCTTGTGCGTGGATGCAAAAACTATTTCCTCGCTCAGTGCTGTTAAGAAGGGCTATTGATATAAATGTTGCGTCTTGTTATATACCTTTCATTTTGAAGGCAGTGTTATGGACGAATGTGAGTTTTATTGTGAATAAAACGGTCACCTGGAGGAATTTCGGAGGTCGTGCTTCAATGAACAATTCTTTAACACGGGTGATCCACTGCAAGATTATAATTGATTCTTAACCCCCGAAACAACATGACAATCGCACAATTCCAATACATTTTTGGGAAAAAAACAAATACTACTAAAAAAAGCTGAGGTTTTCGAGTTGAAAAAGAATATTCGTACGAGGTTTGTTTTCCCGTGCACAATATGCTTTGTAACCTCAAAGGCACGCAGATTGATTGAAAATAATAAATCAAACAAGTCTGTGCTTGTACAGAAAAAAACCCCCATTCTGTTGCCTCCCAGCAATAAAAAGAATGTCATTTTATATACAGTGATTTCCAGATACAGGGAGTTTCAATTACATTTGAGATGTTCAAGTGTTTCATGTAAACCCCGTATATATGTTGGCAACTGCGTGAGCTTTGTTGTTTTTTTTGTTATGTCGTGTGGCTTTGCAGGATGGTGCAGCAGTTTGCCTTTGATTTTGAGAAGAGAATCGAGGGCTCCGGAGACCAGATCGACACTGTGGAGCTGTCGGGTGGCGCTCGCATCAATCGCATCTTTCACGAGCGCTTTCCCTTTGAGCTCGTCAAGGTGACTCAACCTGAACGCAAACAACGGTGCCGGCCAATCTGAATTCTGTCGACGGTGCTATCTATCCGAGTGCTTTTTAAAAAAAAAGATAGATTAAATGCTCAGTTTGACCTTTGGCTTGTTTAAAATGTTGGTACGCATTTGTGAAACCCATCGTGGTCGTAGATTAGATACATAATGTTTGTATCTTCGCCCATCCACTGCTAGATCAAGGCTTCCCCAGACCATGTCTGTCATGTATTTTTTTGTTTACCATACTTTAACACACTGGTCAGTGTGAGTTGGCGAAGAAGGGATACCGAGGAATTATTCAGTTTCCACTTACCACCTGACGTTAGCCATGGCTATGAATTATTGAACGTAGGTTTACTGGGTTCATAGTGCAGTGCGCTAACTACTTAATCTGTTACATTTTAATGACATCTCTTCCAATGTACAGCTTCAATTCTAGTAATTTGATTTGAAAATGTTACAAACTGTTTTATTGTAAGCAATTAAAACAAATTCAAAATACCTGTTTATACATTTTATAGAGTTTAGAAGCTTTTGGCTCCAAGATAATTCCATGGCTTGAAGTGAACTGCGGTTTAATTCATTCCTCAGGCTACCCAAGTAAAACATATTGCAAATTCATATGTAGGCATTCTAACCCAGTTTAACACGTAGGCTTTCGTGACCAATATCATCCATAATAGAGGTTTTTTTTGGTTAGATCGCGTGAATATATGAATCTGTCATTAAAACCACCACCTGACACAGCCAACTAGTAAGGGTTGTCACATGAACAGAACGTGCCAATTCGTCACTAGTACAGCACGCCTGATGAAGCTCGTTGTAATTACTTGTGAAACATCGTACTCAGATTGTAAATGTTGTGGCTTGACTCTCCAACACACCGGCGTGCTGTACTCGTGACGAATTGGCATGTTCTGTTTACGTGACAACCTTTATTCGTTGGCAATGTCGGGTGGTGGTGGGTTTTTAGAACAACATTTATATATTTACGCGATCTAACCCAAAAAAAAACCTCTTATGGATTCTAACCCAGTGTTTGCAATATTCTCACTCACTGTGAGAAACACATGATTTGTCATCGGTAAGTTTTGGTTTTCTACGGGATTACAAAACGGGCATCTATTGACGAGTTAAACGTTTATCTGACATGTCTGTCGAGTGTCTTCGTTCAAACTGTCATTTTTGCATTTTTTAGTTCATGATGACAGAACAGAAGGTGCATTTATATTATTTCACCGGTGTCAGTTAGTATATATAGACTTAAGATGCATAGATGCAGTGCATAATAAATGTACGTAAAATGAATTTATATCCAAAACAGTGTACATTATAGCTATATCATGGGACCTTTTTGCCTATATCAAAGTATGAAAAATATGAATAGGTGTTACACTTTTTGGCAATAAAACAGGTGGAAAGATGTTCAAACACCAAATAGATACATTTTTTTGCGAGGAATCAAGTCTGCATTAACCACACAGTACTTGTGGTGAGCATGCAAACAAACATGATGTGATAATATATGCATCGTCACCCCGAGTTCTAAAATGCTCTTGATACGTGCATTGTATTTGTACTGGTCGTCTTTTGGCGTTCGCTGGTCTGACACTGGTGGTGAGACTAGGCCATAAATAAGGACGTCTCTGGTGTAGGCCAATCAGTTTCAAAGACGATGGAAATATTATTGGAGCATGTTTGTTTGCATGGTCACCAAAAGTGAGTGTGGTTAATGCAGACTTGACTCCTTGCAAAAGCTATCTGGTGTTGAACATCTTTACAACTGTTTTATTGCGAGAAAAGATAGAAACCTATTATTTTTCATACATTATAGCTGTGGGTGTTTGCCTTCTTACAAAGCGATGATTGTGTCATAAGTTCCACTAAAATGACAATCTGCCTGCTTGTAAAAAACATGTTTACATCGATCATTGTTTTGCTTTCTCTAGATGGAGTTTGATGAAAAGGAGTTGCGCAGAGAGATCAGCTATGCCATCCGTAACATAAACGGCATCAGGCAAGTGACGATGTTATTCAGAGCAATGTTATTTCATCTTGCATCCTGTGTGGGGTCTCATCGTGTGCATTAAAAAAATATATATATTTGCGTGCGTCATTTTATTAACTGGACCAAGCACGCAACCCGGAAGAGATCTCTATTTTTGGTATAGCGTGTAGATTTCCGTTAAAATAGTTATATACTTTTTAAATTTCCTCTGTTGGAGGTGACCATTGTTCTGTGTTCATGAGGCAAACGGGGGGGGGGGGGGGGCATACCACGTTTTTCATGTTGACGTTTTGGGAGCAGATCGCTCCAGCTTAGGGTGTGGAAGCTTTTCACTAAAGTAATTTGGTGACGGTTGATGGAATGGTTATAATTAATTGGATTTCAGTTGCTTAGCATATAGTGTACAGTCCATTATAATAATTACCTCTCCTACAAAACGTAGTGAATGATACCACGTGCTTCATATTGATAGAGATACACTGCAGCAGTAGATTATCTATGTTTGATAATGCTGATTATAGACTATTCAATGAAATATACAAATATTAGAACGAAGTAAGTTATTAATTAAAATCCTATTTCGTTAGACTTCTTAAATACAAGAACCGTTTACTTTTCTTGTTATAGCTCAAGAGATGCAGTGATCGGTGAGGAGATGTGAGCTCAGTACGATAATAATACCCGACCCTAGATAAGACAACAGTACAATTTGGATTTATGTAGCGTCTAAATACAACCGCATTATCCAGACGCTGTATAGATACGGCATGCATTTTTGACATATGGATGTGGTCAGGCTTTTGTCCAAGCCTTCATGCCTGGTTGGTACTGCAGTTGCTATGAGAAACCCAGTTGGGACCCCATAAGATTGGTTTGTGTGGCATTGAGTTCTTGTGCCCTCTTCCTGCTGTGTTTTGTGTTTTGTCTTGTAGAACGGGCATCTTCACGCCCGACCTGGCATTCGAAACCATTGTAAAAAAGCTCATCGTCAAGCTGAAAGAGCCGTGCCTGAAATGTGTCGACATGGTTATTGGCCAGTTGATAGAGACTGTTAGACAGTGTTCCGAAAAGGTATTTAGTACCGGCAATTGATCTCGTACCTCTTAGCGATGTTGTAATCCTGAGATGTCCTGGCTTTCAGTACAGAGTAGTGCAAGCTGTGCCACCGTTTGCGTAAAAGCAACATTGGGGCTCATGCTGTGAAATCGCCTTTTGTAATCTTGAGAAGTAAAAAAAACACACCAAAATTAGATTTTTCTTCGAGTCACAGTACATGCAATGTACATAATGCTGTGAGCCAGCTCTAGACTGAAAGCGTGAGGAGTAGCCAGCGTATAATATTGTATCTCTGTGCATGAGTTGGCATGTTTCTGCAGGTGCATCGTGGAAAAGGAGAATGTATGCTGTGCATTGTGTACTAACGTGCCTCTCGGGACATGTGGCCGTAAAGAACACTCCGTGGTGATGGCATGTAAATGTGCTGTACGAATTGACATTCTTTCATATAGCTAAGCAATGCACTGCATCCAACTGTGGAGGTTTTCGATGTATTTTTGGGTTGTATTAGCATGTTGTTCGGCGCGATGTCTGACGTTTCACTCCCACGCGCTGGCAACTTGTTCGTCGAGAACGCAATTGCTCCCAGCACGTGGAGTCAAAAATCCGCACACGCCAAACAATATGCGGGTGCAACCTGAAAACTCACCGGAGAGCAAATGCACTGTGCCGTCATTGACATTTATTTATGGCCGGCAAAAGCCACCCGGCCGCCTGTCAATGGTGTTTGATAACATGCCAGTGTTCTTGCAGGTCATATTGCTGAGTTAGCACTTTCAATGTACCTTAACCAATTGAATGGAGCATTGCTCGTTTGAACAAAAAATAAGTGTTGACTAACACCTGGTATCGATCTCTCCCCACTTCCCCATCCCACCCCTGCCCCGTAACCTCAAATTATATTAAGCTATCTTTCAACTCTTTTTTGCCTTTACCATTGCAATGCTTATTTTTAACCCCCCTCCCAACCTTGTCTCTTATTTTTCTTTTCTTCATACAATCAAAATCTACGTCACCTATTTAACATGTCATGCCTTCAATGCACAAATATTTCTCTACCTTACATCCTTTTGCTCCACCACTGCTGCCCCCTCACATTTCCTTGCCCCCACCGCTACCTTGCATCTCTTTTCGAATTTCTGCCTGCACATTACCTCCCCCCCCCCCCAAACCCATGCTGTGCTATAGAACGGGACTTTTCACCCCTGACCTTGCCTTTGAAGCCATAGTGAAAAAGCAGATCCAAAAGCTGAAGGAACCCTGCCTGAAATGTGTAGACTTGGTGGTGGGTGAACTCACCAATGTGATCAGAAAGTGCAGCGAAAAGGTAACTCGCAGTGCCCATTGGGAGCTACTGTGGTTTGACCGTGAAACACAACCCCCCCACTCTCTCTATAATCTGCCACTTGAAGTCCACCTCTCTCTCTTGCTCTCATAAGTGTTCAATTGAAGCTGTTTTTCCTCACGGTTATGTTTTTTTGGTTTGAGCCTTTTAGTTTTTTGTTCTTCCAATTGGTTTTTAACGTTTGCATAATTATTCATCGAAAGACTTTTTTTCTGCCTCAAGATATGTTAACGGAGGGCAATAGTCATCTAAATTAGTCTTCGAAAACTTTTATCGGACTTTTAAATTTAATCTAAGATCATATTTGTTACATTTTTTCGGCTGTGCTGATGCGTAAAATATGGTATATTCCTTCGAGTGATCACCTGTTGAGTCTTCACGATTGCTTTGTCCTCTGCTCTTTGTTTGTCATTGCCGAGTGACTAATTTATTCAGATCTCATGCATGGAACTAAAACTGCTTGTGTTTGCCTATTTTTTGTATAACCCATGCATGGGAAATGGCACAAACGCTATCTGATGGCATAGTTGGTTGGCATAAAGCTTCAAACAGTAATCTATTATAAAATCTATCTTTGGTAATATAAAATGGCTAGAATATTTTGTGTAGGCGTGTAAAGATTCACTGTTCACCATACATCCATGCACAATTGATTATTTACAATTCATACAAACGCTATGCTGGTGTTACATTTTTGCTAGGGCGTGGGGGTGTGGGTTACAACACTTACAAATGAAACAGGACACAAAAAAAACCTGCAAAATTAAGGTGGCATAATTCACACAAATTGATCTTTAAATTGAATCACTGTTTGATTGTGACAGGTTCATTCAACTGCTTTGGCTGGGCAGTTGAGTCATTACATGCCTACTTAATATTCTGGCACCACTTGAGCGCAGTTGTGAACGGACACTTTTTAACATTTGAAACATACTGCAGATTTGTACTGCTCGACCTTGTACTGCAGTGTCTCTCCCCCCCTTTCTGTGCTGCCCGCGCAGTTGGGCAGTTACCCCAGGCTGCGTGACGACACAGACCGGATAGTGACGACGTACATCCGCGAGCGGGAGGGACGCACCAAGGACCAGGTAACTCTAGTACAGGCCCTGTACTGCTTGTTGTAACGTTGAAGACGTGGGCCAAAATTCATCCACTATTATTTGTAAACCGCGTGCACTAGTGTACTTGACTTTTGCTCGAATGAGCATGGGACAGTGATCATTGTTTTAGAAAGCTCGTGCACTTATTGCTGTAGAATTGAAATCGCAAAAAAATGGAACATGATAATTGTAAGTAGAATGGTTTTTATTTTATATTTGGTCCAACGAAGTAGCATTGTTTCAAGTTAAATTGTAAGAAAGGCAAGCAATTTTGACTTTATAGAAATTATGTCATGTCTCATATCGCTGACTTTATTCAACATTGGGGTCTAGTAGATGCCTTCATTCTCATTCCATGTCAAAATGGAAAGAAAGTTACGTACACTATTTACACCAAGACACGCAATGTTGTGGGCTCGTGGTTATTCTATCTTCTTGATCGAAGTAGCAGTTATTTCTTTTCCACTCTGGTATATAGGGTGCTTAAGTGTGCCTAAAATACAGTCGGGCACAAGGATGGGTGCTTTTATAATTAACGTTGAAATGTGAGCATTGTAAGACTCGCCAGCCACCGACAATCATCTTTAACAAGCGACTTGTACCATAATAGCTATGATGGTAAGGCCTGTGTCCTGTTATCAAATAACATGTGAATTATACTAGAAAAAAAGTTTCATACAGCCCTTTTGTCAATCCACTAATGTATTCCTCGCAGCGACTTTTGCCAAGCTATCGAACAAAGATGGTAACTGCATCGCGCGCCTTCAGATGCGCTTCTGTGGCCGTCTGGAATGCTCTTCCTACCGATATTAGGAAGCCACTGGAGCTATGCACTTAAATCTAGATTGTAAACTCATTTCTTCACAACTGCTGTTTGTGTATAGTTTGTTGTACTTCCCCCCCCCCCACCTCCGATTAGCATGGTTGGCTACGTATAGTGCAAAATTAATTCAGCGTACATACAAATTATATTTATTTTTCCCCAACCAGGTGTTGCTTCTAATTGACATCCAACTGGCGTACATGAACACCAACCATGAGGATTTCATTGGATTTTCCAAGTGAGTGAGAACATCCTTTCAGTGTCCTTGGTCACTGTCTCAGGCACCAGACTCATTGCGTTCATCTCCAAGAGTGATATGTGTGAGGAGAAGGTGGCCAGGTGGTAATAGTCTTTTCCTGCTGAGGTCCTGGGCTCGAATGCAAATTATTAAAGTATGTTCTCAAGTGTAGCGAGTTGGTCTCAGCCAATGACTGTACAAAATAACTCGTCACTTAGTGTGGCAAAATTCCAGCCCCAATAAAAAAATATCTATTATCACCGTGTACTGAGAATGTATTTGTAGCAGGCCATGTGAGTATGTGGATCAACCGGATACTTTCAGGGACCTCAAGTAGTTCTGTCGTTTTCTGCTGAAAGTTGCACTCGAATATGTGGTAATGTACGGCTCAGTGAGAGTTCACAATGATTGCTTTGTTTCATGATAAGAGATACCTATGCCACAATTGGGACAAACATTATTTTTTTAAAATATTGCTTTTGTGTATGACTTAAGTCGGTGCAACATGACAGTGAAGATGCAATGGACACCTACAATTTTTCATTTAACCGGTGACACATTTGATCGCAGCTGACCTCTTAACTGTTGCTTGTTATTAATGTAAAACATGGACAATTTGTCTCATTTTAAATGGATGGACTTAACTACATTTAGAGCTGCAGCTGCGTTGAGGTTGTATTATTCTATTGCACACTCAGTGGTTCTTTCGGTAAAGTCACATAGGAATAAAATAAAATTATGTTGCATGTTTTGTGTGATATATTTTCTTGTCTGATGGTGCCATTTTTATGCTCCAGTGCCCAGCAGCGAACCAGCCAGCCCGTTGCTAAGAAGAAGGCACCTGGCAATCAGGTAATTGACTGGTGTACAGCAGGTAAAATAAAAAAAACAATAAGCAACTTGTGAGACTTTACCAGATGCCACACTGCCACACTGTGGCCAAAACGAGTATAACATGTTTTTTGTACAGGGTGCTCCATTGTTTACACGTGGGCATTTCTTCAAAGTGACACGTGGTGTTCCCAGCCACTTTACAAAGGCTCACTTCACCTCTGGTCACTGGGGTTGAGAAAATCCCCACAAAGGTCATCGCATTGCTGATTAAGGAACCCATAACTGCATGATTTTGCCGTGTTTGCCAAACTCTTTCCTGTGGTCAAAATCCTTTTGTTAATTTGCTCATCTTATTTTTTGTTGTTTGCAATGGTTGCTATCAACCTACATTCTTGCTGTGTGCATGGTGCTGTCAGGATGAAATAATGGTGAGTACTTAACGCTAAAAGGCATGCTTCTCTGTAGGTCCTTTCATTTCAAGGTGACAGTGCTTCCATTGCCAACACTGATCTTAAGTTCAACATTAATGCATGTACATTAGCCCAGCTGTCTATGGAAGTGGCTAGGTTGGACGTGTGACGAATGCACACCATAAAAAAATGAACATTCAATCTACCTGGCCACATTTTATTGTTGGTGCTCTAAGAAAACAAAACCTGGCTTGCTTGTGATTGGTCTGTCAGACCGATCTGGGCCCCACTTATAATAGTCATTGTCTCCGCCATAATTTCATTGCCATCGCATTGTAATTATAATTTCGGCTGACGATAATTGTTGATATTTTTTTAGTTATATTTAAAGGGATCATTCAACAGGGTAATTGTTTTATTTAATAAGTTTTCAATAAATATATTAATAGAATACATTAAGTAAAACTGAAAACGTTTGACTTTTTGATCAGTGTTATATTGTCATAAGCCATAAGGCAATGGAGCGTGTGTACATTGTTAGACGTCAATTTGGCCAAATATACAAATGCATAAGCACCGTCCAAACAGTATAGAAATATAATTGATATGTATTTGCTTTTTTCAGTTGGCAAAATTGTAGAATAGTTAATGTTTTCATGTATTCTACGCACACAACTTTTTTTTGTAATTTAGGTTTTGCTTTTTCAGTAGTTGTAGATGCAGTCTACATACATAAAATACAGATGTATATTCATGTGCATACGTAAACAATATCTACGTTTTCAATTTGTTGTAGTAAGAATTATGTTGCCTGCCGTTTTTTTTTTTTCTTTAGTTATCTCATTCTTGTGACTGCATGTAATTTGAAACAGCTAAAATTGACTGCTCTAATCAGGCAAATCCTTCAAAAAAATGAACTGACTTAAGCCTTTTGTGTGCTCTCCCCCCTTACGCCTTACATAATGCAATGAGGTCACTTGGGCTCAATGGGCATGATCAGTTTTCGTGTTGTACTTTTTCCAGCTGCAGGGTGCCCGCCCCTCTCTTCCAGAGCAAATTGTATGAGCTAAGTAAAGCCTGTAAATGTCTGCCCCCTCGCTATTAACTTGCGTTTAGCCCGAGTCTATGCGCAGCGGCTCCCGTCTTTGCTACAGCTGATTCCAGGATGATTGAGCATTGATCGATGAAGCCACGTTTATAGAAAGTGTATAAAGAGGACCAATTTAGGCTCAGAGGCGACCGAATTGCAGTTCTCTCCCCCCCCCCCCTGCGTACCACAGCTGTATCAAAGCCCTGTGGCTGTCTCCCTGCCCTCTAACAACCAGCGCAAGCCCACAATTGTTCTAATATTTTGACGTACAAATGGCTATAATGGCTCCTGCCTACTTCATGCCTTAAAATGTCTTATTGCCTATTAATGAGAAACTAACCAGCCTCCATTGAAAAAGTGGCTTTTCGTTAACAAACTAACCAAAAGGCTTTGAGTATATTAAAGTTCATTTTGCATGCCCTTACAAGACTAACCATAAAAACGTTAGCCTGCTTCATCACAAATTGTAGACAATACATCATTGTCTTGTCCAAAGGTATATATTTTTTACTAAACCAAATTAAGACTTGGGGTTTTCATTATCTAATAGGCATTCTCCATTGAGAAATGAACGTTTAAAAAATATATATTTTATTTTCATCCACCACCCTTCTCTCACCTCTAATCAAAGGTCCTTGGAGATGGGGTGTGTAAGAACTACATATGTGATTACAGGTCAACTCGACATCACCACTTGTGCCTCTTTTACACGGACAGGATTGGGCAGTGATTTCATCCATGCCTCGGCAGCAGGGCACAGTGGTCACGCTTATGGAGAGTGTTTTTTTGTCGAACGTTTAACATCTGCAAGTAAGCAGACATGCTTAACAAAGTCCCCAGCTAACACTGGACACATGACCTGAAGGGGCAAGTGGTAAGATTGGTCAAGTTTTATTTTGTTTTTGGAATGGAAAATTCCAAACACTGCCCCAATCCCCCCCTCCCCCCACCAATTCCCCTGCCATCCCTCACACCCTGACAAGTTAAACGGTCAAATAATCTTGGCATCACAAACTCTGAAAGTGAAAGCAAATGAATGAATAAATAAATGACGATTGAAATAGGGTACACTTAGGAGAGAGTATATATGTCACGTTTTGAGTTCACCTTTATTCGAGCCGCATTCTTTTTTTGGACATTGTGTGTGTGTTATGTTTTCAGCATTGTGTGTTGTAGAAAGGCTTCCACATGTGTGTTCAGTCTTCAGTTAACATAGTTTCATGATATTAAAATCTACGTGGATCATTGTCAGATGTAGCACAGTGGCGTTTGCTTATGTTGCCGACATTACTGTTTTTTTAAAATGTGCATTCCGTGATTGTCGTGTTCTTTGTTAGGTAGTGCATAGGAAGTGGCCATTATTAAACGTAAATGTTTGGTAATTTGAGAAAACAACAGCACTTGATAAATGATCCAAAGCAACTTATTGAAGCAATTGCCCTTATTGTACTAGCAGATGCTAATGTTTACTAGACATTTTATACCACTGCATTTTACATCAATTCATAACAATCAAACACTTGCCAAGTTCTACATGTTTTTCTCAGTGAATTATCACTAATTTTTGTTGCATTGAAACGTGGCTGTTAAAATAATGTTTTGTTTTACTAAAAGAAGGTATTTCTGAGTGACATGCCCCATCGCTGTACAATACAAATACAGCTGTCACTCGGAGGACCTGGAGTCAGGGCCGCCCAGATTGGTGACAGGGTGGTGGTGGGGGTGGCCGGAAATTTGCTCTCGCAAAATAGGGCCCCGCAACAACCTAATGTTTTTTTTGTTGCTCATAAACAAGGGCGCCCTTCGTGGAATTCTGTCTAGGGCCTCCATGCCCACCCTGGGCCTTCAGGTACCTCTTGAGCAGCCCTGCCTGCAGACGTCACCATGATTTGTGTATGTCGCTGATTATCGTTTTGGAACTCATCACCACCGTTGTGCCATGCTTTCCATTGTACCTTCCTTGCCCACACTCCTTATCCCTTACCTGCAAACCTTTTGTAGGTGATCAGAAAGGGCTGGCTCACAATTAACAACATTGGCATCATGAAAGGTGGCTCGAAGGAGTACTGGTTTGTGCTGACCGCCGAAAGCCTCTCCTGGTACAAGGACGAGGAGGTACGTCCGCCGTACCTACTCGTGTGTTGTCGTGCTTGTGCGTGTGCGTGTGTGCACATGCCAAACCCTCTATATATTTTAGTCTTGGTTGCATTCACCCGTGTTTGTATATCCCCACAGCATGTTGGCTGTGCACATCATGAAGGTTTCTCAAGTACCCGCATGGGGTGGAAAAAATACAAGCATTTGCTGTGTGGGCCGTGCTAAAATGCAAACATTTAACGTGTGTACAAATGGTGGAATTGTTGATTCATTTTAGTGTTGGTGCTGCCGCTGTATTGGGTTAAATTGTAAAATGTGTTTTTTTTGTCTGGAGTATGTGTCACAGATCTGTTGCCATTACCGTTTGAGAGCATTTTGAGACAGGAAGTTTGTATAGCCAGAATACCTGGAACCAATGGAGAGAATTAACAACAGTGTATATATTACAGCTTATCACAATACGTTACTTTGGCCACATTTCAGGGTTTTTTTTTTTCTCCAAGCTGTGCAGTCTTCCATCCATGACTCCTTTGTGAATGTTTTGTAACCATAATTGACCTCTTAATTATGGTTATCTCATGATTCACGCAGGCTGAAGATGCTCGCTTACTTTGATTTGTCACCAGTTAACAAATCATGTGGTTGGACTGCACCACAAAGGTCATTTAAATTTGGCCATTGCGGAGGTGTTCCTTTGTCCCCGTGCCTTTCAAATCATGCACCCTGGGGTACAATGACAATTTCCTGAGTGCGCGCTTACCGTTTATCAGTGCACGGCCAGGCGTGATGTGTGGTGAAATCACTTGCTCTATTTCGCCCTCGCCAGATGAGAAGCGGCGTGGTGGCTCCTGGATTATTGGATGACTAAAATTGACGGTGTTCATAATGTATGCCGCTATAGCAAGGGTATATTTAGGTTATCTCAAGAATATTGTTGCGTGAATTTAATTCAAATGATTACAGTGGGCTGTAATTCTTTTGTTTTATAGTACTGTATCTCTCCTTACCTGTTGTCGCAATGATTACTGACCTCACCCTTGTGGTTTGATATCCCAAGTCTGCACGTTCAGATACATTTCAGCTGCTTTGTTTTAATCTTTTTTAAATTCTCTCCTATAAAACCTGATATTTTTTTAATGATAAACCCTTTCATTTAAACCAGTTTGTCATTTTGGATTGTAAAAGCACAAAATAAGAAAAACCTCCCATCACCTTTGGTGGGTCATCAGCAGTTAACCAGACAATGATTTTTCCATCGCGAAGACTCTGCACAGTTTATTTTGGTGAGTGTGCGCTTTAAATTGTGATCTTTCCACTGAAAGTCACACAAATTGTGCTTTGTTACATGGTGAGAAGAAAGGAATGTATAAACGGCACTATATTTGTGGTGAGGTTCAGCCCAAGTGCACCCCGCACGGAGGCCTCACGAGGAACCAGCCAGAGAGGCAGAGAGGAAAGGGAGAGGAGGGGGGGGAAAGACAGGAAATTGTTCAGCAGAAAGAAAAGCAAACTGCTCACTCTTCTGAGAATGGCGCATTTTATCCCCCCCCCCCTCCTCCTTCTTCCATGATTTAGGTTGATTTTTTTACAGTGAGCTGCAGCGATTGAGAGATATTCCATATTTATAGCCATTGTAGAGACTAATGCCTCTTATTTACATTTTGTCTTGAGAATCTGTGAAAGTTAATAATCCACAAAGCCCATATATAACTATGGCAGTAAAGGATCGCTGCAGAAGTTAAACATCTGCTCCCTCCTTCTTCAAACATGCGGTCCAAGCTGTCTAATGTTATTTCCTTTGTTCTTCTTAAGTTACGTAGCTTTTTCATGACATTTTTTCCCCCCACAAATTAATACACTTAAAACTTTCCCTTTTTTTGCGTTACTTTATAACATCAGAAAATGTGCGTGTATACCAAGTAGTACATCTCGAAAAATGAATACTGCGAAAACAAGTAAAAACAAAATCACATATTTCGTAAGGCATTTTCAAAACATATTTTATTTTGTCACAACGCATAAAAAGCACAATTTGAGTGGACGCATTTAATTGTTTTAGCGACTCGTAAAGCATCCCCGAGTGCGAGTAAGTAACTAGCCGTTTTGAGAGTGGAGCTATCTCATAAATAGCATATGTGGTCTCGTAATTGGCTTGTGCACCCACTGGGGAGCTACATTGTTGATGAGCTGTGGAGGAGAACACTGCAGGCGTTGGGTTTGGAGGTCTTCGTTGGGGAAGCCCCATGGGGGTCAGGGTTCGGCTGGGAGTGTGCGTTTCCTTAACCCCCACCACAGCCTCTCTCAGAAAAAGCAACTTGAGAGAGAAAAAAAAAATCAACGTCTCCCTTTTATGGTTTTTGCGTTGTTGTGATAAAAAAAAACAGAAATACCCCTTTGCCCATTCTTCTTTGCGTCATCGGAGCAAAGTTACATTTTGCAAACGTTAAAAAGTTTTGTAAAAATCGTTTGTAATTTTTCAGCAGTTATGTAAAATCACACCTCATTACGTTTTAGTTGTAAAAAAAAACCAATAAACTTTTCAGACTTGAGTTATTAACTAGGTTTTATTTTGCCGATTTCACTACATGAACAAAGAATCGAAAATATTTTCACATTTACTAACAACGAGACTGCAAAAAGACGTAAATTATTGCGACGTTGCATATCTACTGAAAAAGAGCAATGGAATCGTACAACAAAACTAATCCGTGAAGTGATCTACCTTACAACAGAGTCATAGTTTTTGAGATGAATGGCCGTGCTCAGTCTAACCAATGTGCAGACTACTGTACAACATTAACCTCCTGAACAGGTAGTCTGAACACTGGGGAGACGGAACGGCAATTCTTCATCTTGTCTTCATCGCTGGTGCCCTCTTCAATTCGTTATAGTTTTTCCACCGCCACCAAGCAGAATGTCATTGCGTCTGCTGTAAGAAGATGAGAAAATAACCCGCAAGAAAAAACAAAATTGAACAAAACGCAAAGGCTAGAATTCATTCGGAGCTCCGTAAATTGTGCAGCATATTTAGCGCTCAATACCCGTACGATGCAGAGTTCACTAAACCCGTCCTCGCGTCGACTGCAAGCTGAAAGCAGACGTCGTGAATCTCTTTTAAAGTGCAGCGCCAACGACCGAAAACAGCGTGAGCGCAACAAAAGAAGCAGAGGCTAAAATGCGAGCTGCCTTCGGCGCAACCAACCTGGGGGAAGAGCGCCCAAAAGGAGCACTCGCTGCTGCCCGAGCGCGAGGCACCCGGGTTCCCGACCGAGCCGCGCAAACAGGGGCAGCGTGCGCTCCCGTCTCCTCCTCCTCCTCCTCCTCGCGAGCCACCCGGGGTTGCTGGTGGTCCGTCTTAAGATGGAGTGAGGGAAAGTCTCATGGCCAACGGCTCTCCGAGTGAAGTCGCAGATGTGCAGCGACGACGTGGCACGGCCCAGCTGATTGGTTCATGCTGTTTTGTGGTTAACCCCTTATTTCCCCCCCCCACCTCCCCTCCCTGCGCTTTTCCATTATTTCCATATGTTAGCAGGACGTACTCGAGTTTCCTAAAATTCCTTTTAAAAAGGTATATTACTCCGGAATGCTCGTCCTGCATACAGTGCAGGAAGCCAGGATTCGAGTCAATTATTTAATTTCGTATTTACGCCTATTTTTATTTAGACAAATTTAATTAATACATTTACAGATTAACTTTGGCTCTGCATCTCGCAGAATCGCACACATGTGCTTGTGAGCCACCATATGTTACACACGCACCCGCAAAATCGTGCCTATGGAATCCTGACCCTTGAAAAATAAAATGTTTAGCCCGACGCGCGGAGACAAACATTAACCTCGTCGACCGCTTTCAAACTTTTTCCTTCCATTTTGCATGCGTGTCCTTTTCCCTCTCGGTAAATCCACAGCGTCTACATTAAAAATGGGTTAAACTGCTCACAGTTTACAGGAAATGTGTCAGCGCCGGTATGACCAATAGTAAGACGTACAGGCTCCAAATGATCCCCCACCCCAATTCGAGCATCTCTGGGGACGAGGGAAGTAAACTGAAGGCCTCCAGCACCCCCTCACCACCCCCCCCACTCACCAAACCCCCCAACTCGCAAGCCCAAGCCACCGCTGAGCTTGGCAGGAGGTTTTCAAGTAATGGTTTCCAGATGTCCCGAGTTTCTTGTCTTGAACTCTGGATTCTTGCGGAGGCTTTTCTTGTGGCCTGCTGCTTAGCGGTAAGATATAGTACAAAATAAGTGGCCCGCTATAGATTTTTTTTGTAAATTTTGACAGTGCCTTATATGTAAAGTAAAGATTTAAATCTGAGGGTAACGCCCATATGGAAAGATGGAATTCTGTAATGTCTCCCCATCCTTTAGAACTGCCGTGGGCAAACACTCTAAAAATAAATGTGGAAAATGTGTCAGAAAAAGTCAAGCTTTGGAGAGTTATGCCGTACGTAAATGTATCCTATGCTCAGCTGGTGCTTATGAGCATGCCTGTTGGCACAAGAGAACATTAACGGGCGATTTCGAAACCTGCGCCTTCCCCCATCCTACACCCCATTTTATTACGTTATTAAATGTGTCGCCAGTATTTATTTGCTATGATTATATATATTCCCCGTATTTAGCGCTTTCATAAGACGCAAGAGTGTGTTGCAGCCCAACAGCAGTAGTTGGAATGAGCAGAGATGTTGGTAAAGAATTAGGGGGAAAAGTCGGCCCCATTATTTGAGTGATTGTGCTTTAGCTTTTTATCAGTACGAGTTGCTCAAACTGAGCGGGGTTGTGTTTACAAGATAACCTAATTGAGCCAGAGGATTTTTTTTTACTTCAAGTTTATGTTTCCTATAGGTTCCTTCTTAGTGGACAGGCAGGGGCACAGGACTGCCTGCCCCCCCCCCCCCCCCCCGCCGTAGGCTGAGAAATTATTAATTCAATGTTACTAGTCGAACTTAAAACGTTTTTTGACCCATTACTGGCACTCGGAAAGGTTTTAGAATGGCAATATAACGCTCGGATTCATTATTACTACTACTTTAATCAACCCCGATCTATTCACCGCTGGATGAAGGCCCCTTCCCAAGCCGTTGCCATCTTTTACATTCTTGCAAGGCAACGATCCATCCGGCTCCATTGCATGAGATCATTTCATCGCTCCGTCTCCATGGTGAACGTCCTCTTGGTCGTATTCTCTTATTGGCCTGCCACTCTGTCATTAGTCTCAATCACCTACTTTTATCTATTCTTAAGACTATGCACATAATAAAAAAAAATCTTACAATTAATTTGCTTCGAGTACAAAAAATTGAGGCGATGTTTTTTAGATCATGTTTACCACTACCGGTGCGCTCTGTTCATGTGCACATTTGTAGGGGTATCATGGGCACTGCGAGCAGTGTAGGGATGTACTGGTGCATTGATTCTTAAGCTTACACGATACACGTGCCGAAATCGCGTGATTATTTTGGGTTTTGTACGTCGCGTGGGTGGAGCGGTGGCGCTGTGGTTAGCACGCACCATGAACCCTGTGACCCGACTTAGCTTTAGCGGCCACGGCTAACGTCGTCACTGGTGAGCGTTGTCCAAACCCGTCCTGGGTGCCCCTTCGCACCCCAGCAGAGCCCAGCGCAGTGAAGAAGGGTCAGACATCCCCCACAGTGAGACGTGGATTGTGGGGGGGTCTTCAGTTGTGATTTTTTTTTAAATATACGTTGTATGTAATGGGTTCCCATGAGCCCTGCAGCTGCTGGAGGCTGCTACATTAAACCAGTGTTAAAACAAAGACAAAAAAGTAATTGATTCTAGAATCGAATCGCGACATTTAATGGAATCGCCAGGGAGGTTTGAATGATTAACACCCTCGGTTACCAGCACGCAGTTACGTGATCCACATCACATTGGTACAATTTATAATGGCACAGCATGCGATTAAAAATAAAATTTTGTTTTAGAATATGAATGTAACAAATGCTGTGCCTACGTGGCATGTGCTGCCACCTTGAGTGTGCAGTTGGTCTGAAAGCTACAGTGAGGGAAAAAAGTATTTGATCCCCTGCTGATTTTGTACATTTGCCCACTGACAAAGAAATGATCAGTCTATAATTTTAATGGTAGGTTTATTTGAACGTTGAGAGACAGAATAACAACAAAATAATCCAGAAAAACGCATGTCAAAAATGTTATAAATTGATTTGCATTTTAATGAGTGAAATAAGTATTTGACCCCTCTGCAAAACATGACTTAGTACTTGGTGGCAAAACCCTTGTTGGCAATCACAGAGGTCAGACGTTTCTGAGATCATTGACAAGATCCTCCCGTGTAGTTCTGGGCTGATTCCTCACCGTTCTCATGATCATTGCAACTCCACGAGGTGAGATCTTGCATGGAGCCTCAGGCCGAGGGAGATTGACAGTTCTTTTGCGTTTCTTCCATTTGCGAATAATCGCACCAACTGTTGTCACCTTCTCACCAAGCTGCTTGGCAATGGTCTTGTAGCCCATTCCAGCCTTATGTAGGTCTACAATCTTGTCCCTGACATCCTTGGAGAGCTCTTTGGTCTTGGCCATGGTGGAGAGTTTGGAATCTGATTGATTGATGGCTTCTGTGGACAGGTATCTTTTAGACAGGTAACAAGCTGAGATTAGGAGCACTCCCTAGGAGTGTGCTCCTAATCTCAGCTCGTTACCTGTATAAAAGACACCTGGCAGCCAGAAATCTTTCTGATTGAGAGGGGGTCAAATACTTATTTCCCTCATTAAAATGCAAATCAATTTATAACATTTTCGACATGCGTTTTTCTGAATTTTCTTGTTTTTCTGTCTCTCACTGTTCAAATAAACCTACCATTAAACTTATAGACTGATCATTTCTTTGTCAGTGGGCAAACGTCCAAAATCAGCAGGGTATCAAATACTTTTTTTTCCCTCACTACTTAAGGTGCATTTATAAACAATCTAACACTGCAGTGAAATGATTCAATAAGATGCATCATATGGCAATAGTATATTTTGTGTGATTATAACTGAGAAAGGGGCTTTGATAACACTGGAGTTCTTATGAGAAGAATGTTTTTCTAACGGCTCTTGTGAGTGTAGAGTTACGGTCGTGGCGCGTCTCGGACATGAAAAAGTTTGCGTTTCAGCGCTAGCGTTGTAGTTTGGAACTTTTAATGCCATTACCTTGGCTTTGTTTTGTTATGATGTTTGAGCATTGCCCTCGCAGGCTGTCTAAAATATATTTTTATTTGGCTCCCTGGTTTGTGTATGCATCCCATTTGAAGTCACATGTGGAGAAAGAGCCAGACTGAGAGAAAAACAGACTCGCAGGAAGTGATACATAACTTGTTGGCTTCTTGCCCCCGTCACATGAGAGGAAAGGGGGAAAGCGATCGTTGCAGAAACTGCAGAAGTCCACTCGGTGCAGGTTCCGTGTGGGGGAAACGCGCAGTGTGGAGGAATGCGTTTCATTAACGTTGTTTGTGTCCATAAGCTTGGTTGATTACATGCTGCCATTGGTGTAACGGTTGGCATACTTGGCTTACAATCCAGAGGTCACGGGTTCAATTCGATCTCGTGGCGCGGCAGCTGGACCAACTGGCAAGTTTTTAGCAAATCCTAGTCCGCCCGTGCCCCCCCCCCCTTCCCCCGTCTCTGTCCACACAGCAGTATAAATGGCTGTGCCGCATTGAGTCGGTCGGCAGGTTCGCCCGCGTGTGGTGCGCATCCACACCCACCACTTCCAATATTTCTGGCTGGCGCGGAAGAGTAGGCCAAAATATACTGTAGAAGGACTGTCTTGCGCTTCTAGTGAGAGTCCTTTCTGCCAGCAGTGGTGTGAACAAGTAATTCCAGGGCTGCACCTTGACCATTACTTCGTTTGTCCCTCATCAGTAATAGCTGCAGCAGCCATACTGGAATTGATAACACTGAGAGCAATCATAACATTTTGTTTATTACCTGCACTTGGATAATTCAATTGTTGCCGTGTTCGAATACATATCCTCATTCTTTTTTCGGCTAGTATAATTCTTTATGAGCATGTTAACTTCATTAAATGTTAATGTCAAGTATCTACTTACTCTTTCATGGTTTATGTATAAATGGGTCCGTAGCATTGGAGCAGTTGTTAATGCACTGCCCTATGAACCTGGCAACCTGAATGTGATTCCCGGCCACGACTGATGCCAGTGGGGAGTGATAAACAAACTAGTTGTGTGCGTTCCCCCTTAACCAACCTGCACTGACCAGAGGGGGTGAAGTATGTTGAAAACATCCCCATGACCAACATAGTGTTAGGCAGGCTTTCATCTCGTAGTGGATTAACAAACGCCCACCCGTACATTTGTCGGTGACAAAAAATATATTTGTGAATAACGTTTCCATCTAGACTCCCCATCATTGAGTAAAAAAATTGTCGAAGATAGTCTGAGGGTGGTGGAGATAAACAGGAAATGTGGGCAAGGATTCTTGGCTTCTAGCCACCGGAAGAGAGCCAGACCAGGAGGAATTCCAGGCAGATATGGAAAAAAGTGTCAGATACTAAATGTGCATAAGAAGAGAGAGAGAGAAAAAAAAAAGAGGGTACGACATGCTGGCATCATCAAGGCCAAGTTTCTCTCTACTTTTGGTTTGAAACGAGCGCATGCGCTCTTGCTGTCCGCCCCAGAGTGCCACGGGTAACACGTACTTTTTTGAGGCTCTAGTTCTTGAGCTTTTTAAAACCCATGGCAAATCTTAGATTCTCTAAGTGTCTCTCCGTGCTCTCAGGAGCAATGTTCTTTTCAGTTATAAATGTAATGCGGTTTAAAAAAAAAAATCAAAGGTTTTTTAAGAGTTAAGCTTTGGCTGCTTGCAACTTAATTCTCAGATTTATAAAAATGTAAATTTCCACCATTGCCCAAACAATTGCTGACAGTTACAGGCGTGGTTTAAGGATACCTGATCACCTTGTTTTTAAAGTCTGTTGAGCGTTCCATCGTGCTGTTTCTGGCCAAGCGAAGGCTATATATTTGAATAGGTTTGTGTTAATCATCGCAATTTAACAAAGGGTTTATACAGTTCCAATTAATGCAGGAATTCTGCTGGGGTCTCGCAGGAGAGCCTGCAAGCGGGAGGGGGGGAAAAATGAAACTAGCAACCGGTGAATTTCATTACCTATATGCATACTGTACAGAAAGACTGAGTAAAAAGACAGACTTTCAGACGTAGACCGGAAAGCGTAGGCTGCTGGCAGGCGACCCAACGGCGAGTCAGAACCAGATGGAAAATGTTGCCGTTACAAACTGTTTGGATAATGCAGCTCTACGGCAGCCTGGGACCCATAGCCGCTTGCTTGGATTTGTTGTCGCTGGTGGTTCACTCTTTGTGCTTGTTTATTAAACAATAACCGTCCACTCTTGTCTTGGACACGGCAAAGGCATTTCTTGCCCTCCGGGAATATCTATTTTTTTGACGCAGCATATACATTTCAAACCGCTCACGTTTTTTTTTTTAAGCGTTCCCGGCCTTCCCCTCCTCACCAAAAAGAAATCGACTAATTGCGTCTTGACTTTTAGAATCGTGGTAATTGTAGCTGGGTTTTTCTTTGGCTCCCTATGGTAAAACTTAACAGCCACCACACACTGTGTACCTCTGTTCGTGCATAACGGTTATTTTCTGACCATTACATATTTTTACGCTGTGCATTTTGAAAAAAAAAATTGTTTCACTGTACTCCACGTCTGTTCATGTTATAATTATTGTTGAGCACTCCACGATACGTCCTTGCGTTGTGGTTCCCTCACTGCCCTCCCAACTCTCCCCTCCCCTGCCCTTTGTTAATGAGACCTGTCATTACCCCAACGTCGTTTGAGCACAAAGAGACCCCAGTTACTGGTAAGAATAACATTAGGTCATGTGTGTGCTTTGATTAACGCTGTTTGGGGCATGCGCTGTACGTTTCACAGGAGAAAGAAAAGAAGTACATGCTTCCGCTGGACAACCTGCAGCTGAGAGACATGGAGAAGGGCGGGTTCATGTCCAGCAAGCACATATTTGCCATCTTCAACACGGAGCAGAGGTCAGACGATGATGTTGTCCTAAGAGACAACTCCCTCCCATTTTAAAAGCATTTTGTACGCACGATACGCTAAACAGTTCAACGTGGCAGATTCCAACTCACCGGAGACCTGTGGCAAAGACGCGGATGTGTGGTTATCTCTGAAAAATGATGTTTTACACACCATGCGCAAATAGGTCACTGGTAAAAATACGTGCAACCGCTCAATATGTGCGAAAATTGCTTCGCTCTGCTTGCGGAAGTGCAAATGCAGACGAGGTTTTAAGAACACGTTGCTGAATGCGAAAAGGGTCGGATTTGTGAACGTCAACAGAGGTTACAGTTGCGCCGAGCAATGGGTGCGGGCGAAGACGCCAGCACGGGTATGTGATGTTATACCGTATTATACAAACAAAGGTGGATTTTGCGGTCCTGGATCTCAATTGAAGATGACATATGTCCCATCTGAGTTATTTTTTTTTGACTGTGGTGACCTGCAATCTATGCCTTGTTGGGGATAAACGAGCTTGTTAAAAATAGCGTTGCTATATAGTAACTTTCCTCCTTTACCTCGGAACCATTCGTCGCAATTAACCAGCGGTCGCTCGTCTTCATCCGTGAGAACGTCTTGTGGAAACGAGTCCAAGTTAACATCGAATTCGACTGTTACCAGTTATACACTATTGCAACAGCAGTGTGGCTCCCCCACAGCCAGAGTTTGAACCCAACCCGGGAGGGACCTTCGCAGCAGCCTCCTGCTGCCTGCCCCAAAATGTGAGCGCACCATTGGGAATCGCGGCTTTGGTATCCCCTGCCTCAAACGTTGCCGTCGTATATATTTTATGACTTTTATTTATGCTTGGCCTTCTGCTGTACAGTGTCAGGGGAGCTCATGTGAGACAAATGGCGGCTGAGAAATTGGCCCATTATAGTTACAATAATGACAACTAACTTTTCTTCCTTTCGTTTTTTTTGTTGTGTGGTGTGCACGACAACGCTCGGCAGAACTGAATATGCAGAGCACTCCGCCCGTGCGCATCGTCCGCTCTGAGCTCTCTCCTGCGTGCGTGCGCGTTGCTCCGTTTTGTGTCGTGCTTAGGAATGTGTACAAGGATTATCGGCAGCTGGAGCTGGCTTGCGAAGGCCAAGAGGAGGTGGACAGCTGGAAGGCCTCTTTCCTCCGTGCCGGAGTCTACCCCGAGCGCAGAGCGGTAAGCGACCATAGATGACATACGCCTTTGCATGCTTACGCACACACGCGTCCCACGAAGGAACGTTAAAATCTGAAGGGAGAACGCTGGAAATGAACACGCGCGTTATTTTGAAACTCCTTTTTATGGCCCCTGTTTCCGTCCGTCTCCCCCCTCCTTTTTTTTTTTGAACAGGCCCGTCAAGTTACCCAAATTGTGTTTCCATGTAGTTTGGTGACGATTCAACAGTGCATTTTTTTAATTATTATTTTCGATTCCCACAAACATTTGCCTGTTTAATGTTGCGTTGTTGGCCACACATGGCCAACTCTTGTTTTTAATGTTTTGTTATCAAATTTATGCCAAAGACATTGTTATCTGTACAGATTGTGGATTAGCTCTGACTCGTGAGGAGCGGTGGCTTTTCTCATGTGGTTGTGCCGTACATGAGCCTATACCAATATTATTTACATCCTTCCAAGCCAATTTAGAACGTTATTTATGAGTGGAAAATATCTCTTCATATCAACTTCATTTGGATTGCGGAGATGGTAAAGAGGCCTGTGTCCAAACCACTTGATGTGCCCGATCTCATCAGATATCGGAAACTTATCAGGTTTGAGGCAGCGTAGTGCTTGGATGGGTGACCACACGCATAAAACAGATGCTATAGGCTGCGGCTGGCCTACTTTGTCAGCAGAGAGAGTGCCGAAAATTATAATATTGTACTCTATAATTTGTCAAATTTATGCCCGCCCGCCTTCACCAACCAGCGTGGTGAAGTACGTCAAGTACTACCTTGCCCACTGTCGTTCGTGATTCGGAGATGATGGCGGTATTTAAAACCCGCCTCAACATGTGTTTATTCTCTGTTGTGATTCTCTCTTCGCTTTTATTTGCCTTTTTCCACCCCTTGGCCTATGCTATTTTGTCTGCGACGCACAGCGCCTTGAATACCGAGTAGAAAGGCGCTTTATACATGTAATTTGTTATCATTATTATTATGACTGGGCAGTGTGTTAAAGAGTCCATCCAGCAGTGGATTGATATCTTCACAATAGTGCAAATGGCAAGGGTTATTTCTAGATTTGAAGCTTTCGTGACTGCAAGGATTCATACTCTTTGGTTTTTTCGGTAAAGTCACGTAGGTAAAATAAAAGAAAACAACTAAATTAAATCACGACGTTTCGGAGGCAACACGTCTGTGTCACAGATATTCTGCTGTGATTGTTCCACCTGAATATCTGTGACACAGATATTCTGCTGTGATTGTTCCACCTGAATATCTGTGACATATTCTGCTGTGATTGTTCCACCTGAAGACGGAAGCTTGTGTTGCCTCCGAAACGTCATGATTTAATTGAGTTTTTTTATTTTATTTTACCTACGTGACTTTACCGAAAAAACCAAAGAGTATGCAAGGGTTATCTTTGAAGTGTGTACAATCTTGTGAGCGGTAGTGGCTCATATCTAAAGCAGGAGCAGCCTCGTTGTGCCTTAAGCTAGGGTTCTTCCTCGGCAATTTGAGCCTTTTTCATTTAGCATGGAAAAATAAACTAGCTGGAAATATATATACTTAAAAAAATGTGAATATAGATCGAATCTGTATCATCTTAACCTAATGGTAGTTGTAATCCCACCCTCTGTCCTGAAAGTATTTGCCGACCACCAACTGAATTTGAGAGTTGTAGTAATGTGAGGAGGCTTTTGTTACTGGATGACGGCCAACCTTCCTATGAGGGGGGTCTCCCTCATAGGCAGGTTGTGTTCTGTCTGCCGCCGAGCTGTAATGCGTCACGAGGGAGAGGGACAGATTTATGGACGTCTTTGCAGTCAGCCGCGGATGACAAACAAGACTCAAAATTGTAAAAAATGAACGTGTGTTCCTTATGCTTTATGTGCATCGCACATAGATGGTCGCACAAAATCGGTTTTAAACGTGACGAGCCGTGGACACGATCAGCAACTTAATATCTTAAACTTGGGCACGCAAATCGGGACGTCTGTAGGAAAGCGGCATGTCCGTCACACAAAGATAGGAAACGGCCCTCGTTTTTATTCTCCTTACAAATACGTTGAAGTGCATTATCAACTCTCAAGTACATTACGGTCTACCAAGCCTATTTTTTTGAGTGTGTGTTGACCACCATAAAAATGTGTGCTTGCGATACTGGGGGAGTGGGGGGGGGGAAACGTTTTTAATGAGCTCATGTTGTTCCTCGCTCGTGGGAAATTTGTGTGGCTCGTGAGCGCCTTGGTGACTGATTGAGGCATTTTGGTGGGATTTGCGGCCTTTATAATGTGGCTTGCAAGTGCTCGGCATTCTTTTGGGAGCATGAAGCCACCGCTCGTCACAAGAGCTCTGCTCTCCCGCTGCCAGCAACTTGTATAAACATCCAGGCCAGATGTCTGCTGAACGTGCCGACCAACACAAACAATGGCTAAAAGGCACAATTATCATAGCTTGAATGAGCTCTTGACTTCCATTCCCGTGCACTATTCCAACATAACTTTCAATTAAACATTCTCGTCAGTTTCGTTTTTTTCTCTCGGTACGATTGCTCAATAACCCTCATTCATATTTAATAATTGTATTGTGACATAAATAACAATGTGTAAACTCGAGTTGAGAGCGCTTCACATTTAAACCCTGAAATGGTACGTGGAAAAGTTTTAAATCATCGTTCTCAAAAACAAAAAAGCAGGTTTTCTTTTTCAAGAGAAACCAAACATTGGCCCAGTTTCTAGCTTGAAATGAATTAAATTAAGAGTAAAATGAAAACGCCTGCTTTTTTTCAAACATTCAAGAACAAAATAGCCACATTAACAGCCCAACAAGTAGTTGTGCGTAAACTTTTCCGTTCGCACGACGTCTGCACAGTGGTTGGTAGTTTTGTAAGCCTGAAGGCAAACTATTGCTTTCCTGTCACAATACCTTCTATTAAAAGATCCACATTTTCTGTGCTTGCTGTTATTTTTTTCTCGCATTGGATCTGTATCTCTTTTTGCACAAGAGTGCGTCAGTGGACATTTCCATCGCATCACCTCTGCAGTTTCATTGGTATGATGTGGGCCTAACGCACACACAAACACACATGACGCAAATGTTTAATCGAAACAAACGCATAATAAAGGTTTTTTTTTATATTAATACTCCCTTGTGTACCATGCACTGATAGATAATATCTGTGTTTACATTACATAAATGTCCCTCATTAGTAGAATTTTCAACAATTAATAGTGTAATTATGGGCAGTGCAGTAGTTCAGGGCACTTGCCAATGTTATCAGAATCGTTTTAACCAGAATCTTTACTTCGACTGGAGGAATCCATTGGCTATTGTTGACAGCCGAGGCAAAACCTGCACATGCTCTTTTCCATATGCGTACAGTGAGGGAAAAAAGTATTGGATCCCCTGCTTATTTTGTACGTTTGCCCACTGACAAGGAAATTATCAGTCTATAATTTTAATGGTAGGTTTATTTGAACAGGGAGAGACGGAATAACAACAAAAAATCCAGAAAAACGCATGTCAACAATCCTCTCCAAGGATGTCAGGGACAAGATTGTAGACCTACACAAGGCTGGAATGGGCTACAAGACCATTGCCAAGCAGCTTGGTGAGAAGGTGACAACAGTTGGTGCGATTATTAGCAAATGGAAGAAACACAAGAACTGTCAATCTCCCTCGGCCTGGGGCTCCATGCAAGATCTCACCTCGTGAAGTTGCAATGATCATGAGAACAGTGAGGAATCAGCCCAGAACTACACGGGAGGATATTGTCAATGATCTCAAGGCAGCTGGGACCATAGTCACCAAGAAAACAATTGGTAACACACTATGCCGTGAAGGACTGAAATCCTGCAGCGCCCACAAGGTCCCCCTGCTCAAGAAAGCACATATACATGCCCGTCTGAAGTTTGCCAATGAACATCTGAATGATTCAGAGGACAACTGGGTGAAAGTGTTGTGGTCAGATGAGACCAAAATGGAGCTCTTTGGCATCAACTCAACTCGCCGTGTTTGGAGGAGGAGGAATGCTGCCTATGACCCCAAGAACACCATCCCCACCGTCAAACATGGAGGTAGAAACATTATGCTTTGGGGGTGTTTTTCTGCTAAGGGGACAGGACAACTTCACCGCATCAAAGGGACGATGGACGGGGCCATGTACCGTCAAATCTTGGGTGAGAACCTCCTTCCCTCAGCCTGTGCATTGAAAATGGGTCGTGGATGGGTATTCCAGCATGACAATGACCCAAAACACATGGCCAAGGCAACAAAGGAGTGGCTCAAGAAGAAGCACATTAAGGTCCTGGAGTGGCCTAGCCAGTCTCCAGACCTTAATCCCATAGAAAATCTGTGGAGGGAGCTGAAGGTTCGAGTTGCCAAACGTCAGCCTCGAAACCTTAATGACTTGGAGAAGATCTGCAAAGAGGAGTGGGACAAAATCCCTCCTGAGATGTGTGCAAACCTGGTGGCCAACTACAAGAAACGTCTGACCTCTGTGATTGCCAACAAGGGTTTTGCCACCAAGTACTAAGTCATGTTTTGCAATGGAGTCAAACACTTATTTCCCTCTTTAAAATGCAAATCAATTCATAACATTTTTGACATGCGTTTTTTCTGGACTTTGTTGTTGTTATTCTGTCTCTCACTGTTCAAATAAACCTAACATTAAAATTATAGACTGACCATTTCTTTGTCAGTGGGCAAACGTACAAAATCAGCAGGGGATCAAATACTTTTTTCCCTCACTGTATGTGTAGTGTACGTTTGTTGACGGACAGCTCGCCTCGTCGTTTGTGCAAGATATATTGCTGTACGTTACCGTGTGTGTTTCCGTTTGTATTCTGTCAATGGAAAAGTTATTTCCAGCCCTTGGTAAATCCACTGCTGGATGAAGCCCCCCCCCCCCCACCAATGTCGGGGCTGTTTGACCATACTTCACCACGCCATATATCCATGCAGCGTTGGTGAAGCGTGGTTAGTGATATCCGAAGTGGTCTGTGGCCTTCACTCCCTATTTACATGCCTTGAACATATATAGGGGGAGCCATGTCTACATATGGGAAAACAACCCTTGTGACTTACAGGGAGGTATGGGGTGGCCTTCGTCCAGCAGTGGATCAACAAATGGTTGTAACATTTTTAATAGGCCTTCATCCGGGAATGGATTTGACACATGGTAAAAAAAAGCATTTTTTAAATTGTAACATCATACTATCAGATTAGGATTTACCGTGAGCCAAGTATATTTCTACATTTGTTGATGCATATGAGTAGTTCCACGGCAAAAAAAAATGACATTTGTGAAGGGTAGTGCTCTGAGAAAGCATTTTTTTATCAAAACATCGGCATTTAAAGTGATTTTGTTTGAATTGGTACACTAACATTATTGTTATGGTGCCTTATTTATCCAACATGGAAAACATAAATACTATTGGCAAATGTTTTCAAAGAAAGCCATTATCCAAATTATGAAATGTCATAAAATGTGAAGTTATTTCATTTGTATTGAAAACTTGTGAAAGAAATTGTGGAACTTTAATGTTTTGGACTTTTATATAAAACACTTTATAATGTATTGTTTATTGGTTTTTATAAACTAAATAGGTTTTTTGTCCATGCGATTGCTTACAAACTAGATGCAGTTTTTGGTCTTGTTTCCACGTCAAGCATTGTCTTGCACTGTTAGTGTGCAATTGGATATGAACTAGTTCACATTGGACATTTTCTAATGAAATGGCATAAAAAATCTATTTTGATGCTTTCGCACTCTCATTGAGGTTCATGTATGTCGCTTTCAGGCTGCAGTCGCGTACTTTGCTGCGACATTGAAAATGCTTTTCTATTTTTTATTTATTTGTTATTTGCCACAAAGTGTCATGGGGCTGTAAAGACTTTCCGGCTAAATCGGGCGCTCTGGAGAATTTCATCTGTTTTGTCGAAAGACGTCTTGTAAACACTGCGCATGGCCCTATTTTTTGCATCAAAAACTCTAAACTCTGTGTTAAACAGCTTTCACGGAGCAAGGACCAAGTAAGTTTGGTTGCATGCCAGGTTGCAGCAAGCTTGCTACATTCTTTCCATTGCCATTTAATAGATTATGATTTTGACAGTGCCAAAAAATATTAAATTTAAAAGTTTTTTTTTATTTAATTTCCCCGCTGAAGCAATCCTTTCAGCATATTTTTTCATGCATTCTTTATTCTTTGTTTTGTTTATGAAGTTTCTTGGAATGTTTAACGGTTAAAAAAAATAACCCGTCTTGTTGTTTTTTAACTCTTCCCCTTATTTGTGAGAGACTGTTACATGGTCACAAAAGTAAAAATGTAATTAAGACGTGAGGATAATTTATTATCTGTGGATATTTTGCCAAAGCGAGGCGATTTGTAAATGGAGTTGAGAGTTAAAAAAAATAGTTTTTTTGTATTGCTGTGTGTGCACAATCTGGAAGTGGAACAAATGGATGCTGCCCCCCTTTGCTGTATTCTTTTCCAATCAGTCTCCTGTGCCTTGTTTCATGCAGCAGAGTGAGAGTGAGGACTCTACCGGAGACAACTTTGGGAATTCCATGGACCCCCAGCTGGAGCGGCAGGTGGAGACCATCCGAAACCTGGTCGACTCTTACATGGGCATCGTCAGCAAGAACATCCGAGACCTCATGCCCAAAACCATCATGCACCTCATGATAAACAACGTGAGTGAACGAGCAAGCGCCTGATGAATACAATTAAAATATGGGTGGGTTTCATGATTTTGGGACGTGCGTGGCAGTCACTTTTATGAAACACGTGGGTTCATCGTTAGTATATATATATTTTTGGAATTAGGACTATAATTCAAACGTAAATAATGTGTCCACCTTTGAAGTTATTTGACGGGGTGAGGACAAAATGTCTTTTTCATCCACGCTGGGATGACGACACATTCATTATCGTGTGTCCGCACCACTGACGTATTCCATATATAACACAACTTGTAAAACTAGATAATTACCTTCACACTTACACCCAATGTCTATACTTATGATTTTGCTTCTGAAATGTTAACTTTTTGGCTGCCTAATTTGTGGAACTGCCCAGATATAGTTGAGGGAGATTTGTGTTTTTAGAATACACGGTGAATTTCTGTTAATCTGTTCGGTAGTACGTTGTTATCTTGCCTGTTTTTTCGAAAACGTGACTGGACCCTCCTGGAAATGAGTCACAAAGTGTCTGGTGTTGGTTTCCTAGGTTAAGAAGCATAATAATATTAATATTACAATTGGTGCAATTATATTGTTACCATCCTAAAGTGGAATAGACAACGTAGGGATTGTAATTATGAACGTGCAATGTGTTGGAAAGCTGGTCCAGTTAAATACTTTATCTAAAATGTCACGTAGTTTAATGCGGGAAGAATTTCCTCAAAGAGAAATCCATATTCACAAAATGCATTCCATTGCCAAAAATACATTTATAAAACAGTATTTATCATGGTGAAGTATGGTCAAACAACCCACATGATCGACACAACATTGGAGGATTCCTTCATCCAGCAGTGGAGTCACAGGGCTGTAAAGTGCCAAGTATGAACACACTGAAGATTCACTATTAAGCATGTTTATAACCTTTTTTCATCACTTCCTAAATATTTTAAACAGAAAGCACTTACTCATAAACATAATTATTTCACACACTGATCATTATCGGTTGTAAAGAAATCTACAGCACAGTGCGCAAAAGCTGCCTTGGTATTGCCGAGCCCGATGTAGCTCACGTCTAGGAAGTGATTTCTCTGCTGGTGAATATTTTTATCGTAATAGATTCGCCCACCAATTCATCTTAACATCAAACCATGGGGAGAACGGGCCTCCGATTTTTGACCAGTGACCACGGTACGACACAATCGGGGCTGGAGGGAGAAAAAATACTTAATTGCGGCGAACGAATCATTCCGACGAGACCTGATTTGCGGATGATTGCACCGGCGTGCCTTCTTGCAGACGAAGGATTTCATCCACTCGGAGCTGCTGGCCCACCTGTACTCGTCCAGTGACCAGACCTCGTTGATGGAGGAGTCGGCGGAGCAGGCTCAGAGGCGCGACGAGGTGCTGCGCATGTACCACACCCTGAAGGATGCGCTGAGCATCATCGGCGACATCAGCATGTCCACCGCAACCACTCCGCTGCCGCCGCCCGTAGACGACTCGTGGATGCAGAACAACGCGGCTCCCAGGTAAAGCCCCGGTTCGCACCCTTTAGTTCAACCTTAACGTTCGTTCCCAATCGCGCGTGTTCAGCGAGAAGGGAAGTTTGCTCCGCTTCTGAGCGGATCAAAGTTTAAATGGAAAAAAGATGCAGTTTGTTATGGCCATTTAAAGAGTTTGCCACCATGTTTAAGCTCGGTGTTAACCCAGTGTGTACACGACGTGCCTTGAGGGATTGTGTGCAAGTTGCTCCAATAACTTTGCTCTGCATCCGCGTGTTTGAGGCGACTCAGTGGGGGATCATTTGTGTCCTCTTAATAAAATCAAGTTGGCATTAAGGACTTGAATAATTCCGATACCCCTTATGGTTTCCATCAAATCTTTTCTTAGATGCGCTTCTGAATGTGCTGTATCTTTCAGCTGCCGCTCGCTTGGCTTTTTGTCATTGGTCCTCGCATTAGTTGTGCACTTCCTCGCTACGCTTTGCTTTGCACCTATATTCTGCCAATCTTTTGATGCCTCTCGCCCGCCCACCTGATCTGCTTAGCTTTTTTTCGGCACCTGTCCTCCCTCTTTTTTTTCTCCGCTTCTGCCTGCTTTCCCCCCCCCCCCGACTCGGTTAACATATTCAGGCCTCCCCCCAGCCCGACCCCCGTCCGGCGACCGCCCAACTTCCCGCTAGCGCGTCCAGCCGGCCGTGGCGCCGGGCCCCCTCCGCCCATGGCGGCAGCGTCGGCGATGGGCGGACCACCCATCCCCAACCGCCCGGGCACCCTCAACCCTCCGGCGGGCAGCGACCCCTTCGTCGCACCCCCGCAGATTCCGAATCGCCCGAACCGTGCCCCACCCAGCGTGCCCAGGTACGTCACCCTTCTCTCCTTAACTATGGTTGTCGATTCGCCGCCCAGGTTTTTTCTTTTCTCCAGGTGCGCCGCGTACAGCTCTCCGATGTGTTTTTCTTTTTGGGGTCGTTGACGCCGTTTTGCGCTCGGCGTGACGCTCGTCCGTTTTGCCTCTCCCTGTGCTGGGTGGGGGGGGGTGAGCAACTTGAGGAACCAAAAACACATCGGAGAGCATTCGTTTGACTTGCCTCGCGCTTATACGGAGACGCAACCCTCGAAAGGAATTGGCTCGATTGTTGCGGATGCGTACCTAGGTTTGCGTGTCCAGTCCTGTCCAACAGCGGTTATTAAAGCTTTTTTTGAAGAGGCAATATATGTAAATATCGACTTTAAATTTACGTCTCTTAGGTTGTGTTTTACCGTGTCAGAATGCTGCGCTAATTGGCGTATTAACTTGTGGCGGTGTCGTCTACATTTGCCGACAAGTGAGATCGATACGCGCCGGTCATTTTGATAATGCTTGAGATTTTGTGTGACATTGTCTTCATTAACACAGTGCGTCATCGGCAAAAATATTTGAAACTACTTTGGCCTCCTTGTTGACAAAGTTATGACTTTAGAAGAGATTGTGTGTGTGCCGTACTTGGCCTCCTTGTTTACTTTATTCTGTAGTTTGTACTTTCCGTTTGTGTTTTTTGTGCTGTCAATGTGTGTGTACTAATATTGTCAGCAAATTAGTTTTGCATACCAATTTTAACTTACCTTATTGTCGGTAGTATTTGTCTCAGTCGAGATCCAGGATACTTCGCTATACAATTAGTCGCTTTTAACAAACTAAATAACAAATTCATCATCCATCTTGAGAAGCCCTTTGCTTTGGACAAAAAAAATCACAACTTTTTCTGCTTGAGCTTACTGCCTCTAACCCTTGAGCCTAACGTTCCACTTTGTGCGTGTGTGTTTTTCGGTGTTTGTGAATGTGTACATTAATCCTGCAACACAAATCGTGTAGCGTGCTTTGTCGTGTAGGCTTTGACATTCACTGGGAAGCCAGGCAATAACAAAAAAATGTTATCCAGGCGAATCCAGCACAATAAATAACATTGTCTATCCACTTAAACCACTTTTATTAATTAAACCTTTTAACGTTGCAACTCATTCACAAGGTTAACTGAAAACCACTCAAGGGCAAACTGAATCTCACTTTCCCAACCCCGTTGTTTGCCTCGCCACAGCCCCCTGTTGTCACTAACCGGTTGAAGCGTAAACAAGAAATATATATTTTTTTACATTCTGTGAGCCGTCTCTCTGGTATTATTCACAATTTTTCCTGACCTTTCATTGTAAAGAGTAGCAAACTGTAAAACTGAAGTAAAAAATTCTTCATTTCTTCCAGGTGCACCTCGGGGTTGTGCCAAACAAAAGTATCCTATTGGTAGATGTGGGAATAAGTTTTGCATATTAATATCATTGTTTCGTCAGTTGATGGTAACTCCAGTCTGTAACTGTTTGAAACTCGATGTGTGCCTCATTCCTTAGTGACTTCTTTCACAAGTCATTGTGGTTGCTCGTCGTCATGGTTGTTTTTGAGGTTTGATTTTGAGCTCTTTACCCATCTTCCATTTTTTTGCATGCGTGTGTCCTTACGTATGTACGTGCGTGCGTGCGCATGTGTGCGCGCGCGTGTGTGTGGTGCGCGTGTTTTTTTTTTCTTCCCCCCCCCCCCCGGCTGTTTTTAGTTCCTCCTTCCCTCCCTCTGCAAGCTCTGGTCCGAATCAGAGCCAACCCACCATCATCCGCCCTCCCCCGAACGTGCCCCCTCCTGGCACCACACGCCCTCCCCCTGCCGTGCCCCGCCGTCCGCCATACCTGCCCCCCAGCGGGCAAAACCTCATCGATTTCTAGACTCGCGCGATCGCCGCTCGCAACCAAGAACGCACCACCACCACCACCTCCCCTCCCCCCCTCTCACCACTCCCTTGGCAAGTGGCACCCGTTATTGATTTCCATCGGCGTAAATCCCGCAAAGCGCACGTCGCCGTTGAGGCCGCGTGGGTGACAGTCACCCGGGGGGTGGGCGCCTGGGCACCACATTGTGCCCGTTTTTATTTTTATTTGATGCGCAGCCAAGTTGCGTTGCCTTTCTTGGATTAGCACTGCCTTATAGCTTACCGATTGATTTGTTCCATAAGTGGGCAGTTGGTGTAGCTAATCGCACAAACGCACGCGCGCACAGGTGCACCGTAAATGTGTGTCTTTTTTTTTAAAACAATTCCCTCTGTAATGTACCATTAAACGTTGCAGGAAGAAGAGTTCAGTGCAGCAAGTTCCATTGTTGTCTTGTGCTGTACTCTCACGGCTAAACTCACCCCGACTTCACCAACCCGCACTGACCCGCGTGGTCAAGTATGGTTAAGTAACCGCCATGAAATGCACTGAGTGGAAAAGGCATTTTGCCGGCAGTGGATTGACTAAAGGGCTGTACATGTACTGTAAAACCAAGGTGAGCCGGTAGGTCCTCCACTACAGCTTGTTCATATAATTTATTTAAATACATCTGAGTAAACTGTGCCTATGTGCAATGAGCTACTTCCAATGTAGAGCCCGGTTAATGACCCCCAAGTGGCTGGAGTGTGCAGGGTATTTTCTGACTGCACGCTCGCTTGCGGTGGAGCAGGTCTAGCGCTCGTCAAGGTTACTGATGGCATTAGTAACCACCACTCGTGGAGTGTTTTGAAAAGCAAATATTTTTGCACTTACCATCCTTTCATCAGTGGCTTCTGGAAGCTGGACTTTCTGTTCAAAAAATATATATTAGAGTGGAAAAAATATCATTAAGTTCGCTACGATGCTTTTCTGCAAGTTAAAATCCGCTATAATTATTAATTCTATATTATCGTGCAAGTTACTATAGTTGAGCTTTTTTTTATGTTCGCGCTTAAGATCGTCTGTACGTTTAGATTTACAGCTATTGGCACATTGGCAATTAACGGATGTGATTGTATATCTAGTGTTTGAGAACCACTTTAAATATGTGCTGCTTCGGTGTTGCCTTATTGTATAGGGTTAATCGGGAGTTTATACTCAATTCTGGTTAACTTTCAGCTGCATGTTTATGTGCAAGTTGGCGTTCAAGGGAAGTGCTCATGTGGCTAGGATTTATTCCAAAGTTTAATTGGTTGGCTACCCCAACGCAACTTGAAAATTTGTGAATTATACATATGTGTATACAGTATATATATTTAAAATATGTGATTTGTGCAGCTTTATAGTTAAGCCATGAATAAACAAAAACAATAAGGGCCAGGAGTTGTTGGACATTTTATAATTGCCACAAGATAATATAAACATTTTGTTTAATTAAATCAAGTAAAATAAGACCTGGGTGTTCTCGTAAAGGACATAGCTTCGTCAATTTAAAAATTACAAAAACAAGTTTTTGCTTGCTGTGTATAAAGCTTAAGGTAAGTATGCATTTTATTATTTGGCTTGGTTTAGTACATTCCACGATCATGTAAGAATATTTCTCGTTTCTGTTTATCTCGGTGTTTGGCTTTAATTGGTGACATTTAAATCGACCCATGGCTGCCCGTCTGGTCGTGGATGTATATTTGTTGAGCGCCAACCCATATTGGTTTTTTTCCCGTTTTGTAAGTGCCGTGTACAGTAATCGCACCCGGTGTTAAGGCATGACATGGCTATCTTCTGTTTCTCCCTCGTACTCTGCGTTGCCTATTGTACACCCACACCATTTGTAACACTACAAGCTTTATTCCATAAAGTGGCAATAAACTCATTTGGATTGCAGACACCCCAAAGAGAATGGTTGATGTAATTTGTGAGGCTGCGTCTCATGTTTGCTCCCCAACGGAATGTTTTAGCTGTCCAAGTAGCCCTGCCACCTTCCATCTGTCGCATGCCGCCGCGGGTTGCTTGCGCTGTCACATTCTGCTTCAAACTAACCTCGCGCTTCGAGTGGTTTAGGAAGGATTTATTCTCCGTCCGCTTTATTACGTCCTAAAAATGCCAGCGTTGTGGCTGCTTGTCAACTGATTTTTTCAGCAGCCAGCTGATTTCCCAGCATTTTGATCATAATGCTTTTCAGCTAACAAAATATATCGTAACAGTCTGCAGTGTGTGTGAATAAAATGCCCTCTGTTTTAAACAAATACCAGAAAAGGCTTCGGTTTTCTCGCTATTTTTGCGACACGTTTGATCTCATCCCTGAGTCCTGTGCTTAACCACCTCGTCTTTTTGTTTTCTCTTTCAACCCTTCGCTTCTGGCTCCCTTATTTCTCCCCCATCATCGTCTCCTGCTCACGCACACATCCCTCCCTCCCCCACCCTTGTGTGAATGTGCCGCGCTGGCCACTTTGTCGAGCAGCAGACGCCCTCCGCCCTCTCCCACTCGCCCGACCATGATTCGCCCAGATTCCAGTCTTCTCGACTGAGCTCTGCCTCTCGTCGCCACCACCACCACCGCTGCTGTGCGGTCTTGCGTACAAAACAGCCTTCAGCTCGCGGCTCCCTTCGTGAAGTAGATTATGCCCTCGGCAAAAGTGTTTGTCGGAGTGTTAGTGTGGGGTGTGTGTCTGCACGCGTGTACCCTTCCAAGTCTTAACGTAGCCGCCCCCTGCGAGTTTTTGGTGGCGTGTGTGTGTGTGCGCGCCCGCGCGTGCCGCTCGTAACACGTTTCCACTTTTCCTATAGCACATTCCCGTTGCCTAAGTAACTGCAAAATATTAGTTATTGGTAAGCAACCCTTGCCACTTTTGAAAGAGCCCACACAGTACTAATAATAAGGCATATTTTTGGAACTCCTCACCACCACCCCTACAATTGTCAACCATTTCAAGCTTTGAAAAGAAACTTAGGTGGCTGGGATTTTAAGTTAAGTAGAAAACAAAACCATTTCCACTTGCACAATGTTTAAAATGTGCAGCTGGAGGCAACAGGAATTCGCATCAGCTAACCGTTATTGGGAAAAATATATACTCCTTAATGGTGTGTGTGCGCCTTGAGCACAATGACAAGATTATCCTCACCGATAGTTGTGACTTCATCAAAGCGGGTTAACTTTGCATACCGCAAGTACGCGTGCATGCGTAGTGAACACAGATGTTTGCAAAGCTTTGATGCATCAAGGCCGTTATGTGGAGCACAAATGTTAAGACACAAAGGCTGCTTCAAGTAGGTTAGTGCAATGCCCTGGCCTACAGCTAAGAGCGTTTCAATGTCACGCGGTGCTTGCTTACCGGCTCGCTAATGGTAAACTAAGTTTAACTCGCGCTAAACGTACGCTTGGAGCATGGAGCTTTTGGTGAAACGGCTCTGTCAAAGTTTTATGGCAATTGTATGAAGATTTAGCCATTCGAATTATAATACATACCCCTGTATAACATTTTCATTGAATTTATTTTATTTTAGCTTAATTGGTTATGATGAATACTTTTTTAGCGGGCTCTCTTCCTGTAGTTTTGTTGGCAAAATACCGTAGGTCCTGTGTTACTGAAATCTAAACTCCAGCACTATTAATGTTCTTTGTTCGTGTTAAATTGGCTTGAAAAGATAACATGAAGTCATGGCAGCGTCTTGCTAGTTTGATTTGTCTGGTCAGCTGACAGACATCCGTTTTGCTTCCAAATTAACGCAACTCGCAATGAATGTACGTACGTGTGTGTGCTTTTGTGTCTTCTTGCAACCTTCAGTGCTGTGCGGTAACGCTTTGCGTTTGTTCTATCGGCCTACACAATGTTTGCAAGACATTGTGTACGCCAAGATTTAAGTGCTTTGTGGTGAAATTGTTATAGCTGTGGTAAGTGAGTGTTTCCTGTCTGTGTGCATGCACGGTACCGTTGCATGTTGGAAGTGTGGTTTGAGTCCTGTTTGTCTCGATGTCGACATTCCTTATTGCAAACTGCAATATAGTAAAGTTCTGATATAAATTGACCCAGAGCAAACCATTCATAGTTTGAGTGTTACACGGCCTACCATTCCCATATTGTGAGCGTAATTGAAGTTAATGCCGCAATGTTTTTTTACTATAATAAGCAACACGATTATGTATGTTATTTGGGTCTTTCGGTAAAGTCACGTAGATAGGTACAAATTAATAAAAATAATTTAAAATAAACAAAAAAACTACGACGTTTCGCTCACAACACAAGCGATAGCGTCTTTCCTCCTGATGACGATCGCTTGTGTTGTGATCAAAGCATCGTAGTTTTTTGTTTATTTTTTAAATTATTATTTATTAATTTCTACCTATCTACGTGACTTTACCGAAAGACCCAAAGAATATTAATTTCTGCAGTCACAAAAGCTTTAAGTCTCGATTATATATGCATTATTAAACGTACAGGTTTAATATCTACCCATGCCAAAACAATTCAGTAATTTGAACATATGATAAGTAAGTCCTTTCATCCTTGTTCTCATGTCAAATAAAAACTTAATTTGCCTGAAATCCCCCATGAATATGCCCAATCTCATCAGATCTCCGAAGCTTCGGGTTTGAGCCCTGCTTATTTGTGTATAGATGGTTGACCGCCCCATAGCTGGCCAGGCGTTGCAGGTGTGGGGTGGGGGGGGGGGATGAGATGTGGCCAGGAGATGGCGATGCTGAGTGTCGTCCCCCCCCCCCGCCCCGTATGTGTGGTAGGTTCCCTTCAGGTTCTCCAGTTTCTTCCCACATGAAGTCAAACGCCCATTAATGGATTTGGCCAAACGTCCCAGTGCAGAATGCCCTCCTGTAAGAGAATCGTAAGACTCTGTAGGCTTTGATGGGTAAATAGATGGAATTAAATATTGCTCTCAATATAAATTCAGTAGTTTTTGAATGTCTACATTGAAGAAGGTAAGGTATCACAGTATTGCTCATATACAGCTATTAACAAAATGACAAATATAAACATGTTATGCAAAGGTGAGTGAATAAAATGTACTTAATTTTTTTTATTTCATTTTTATTTCAATTATACTTTCAACATCCATTATTTGAATTGACATACAATCACTGGCAAATGTAGAAAATCTATCCATGATTACGGTCGTTATATTTTAAGGGAATGTACACATGCTTATAGTTTTTCCATTGTCACGCCTCATATTTTATCCTGCCGATTTTAAATGGCTAATTATGACTGGTAATAAAAGGTGAAATTATCAGTTACAAAATATGATTACCATTGCCTTGTGATTCATATTGTCAGCTGGTGAAACTCGTAACTTGCCTGTTCCACTGTTATGCAACTTCGTGGAAGGCTGTGTGCAGTGGTTCGTTTATAAGAATATAAAAAAATGTCCCGACCTAAAGTTTGTGTTGTGTGTGTTGACAAACCCGTTGCGAGACTTGTGTTCTACGAATGTAAACTCTTGTAATGACCTTGGTCAAGCTAACTCCCTCTGACATTTCAGTGCAAAGTTTTTAGTTTTGTGTGCAATGTAATTGGCACTGTAAATCGATCATGCAATGTTTAAGTAGGCCAATGTAAGGCTAAGAGTCGTATGCCAGTACTGTATCGTTAGCTTATAGTCTGTAGCCCGTTGTCCTGCTCCAAATTGTTGCAATAACTTGCTGTAATAAAGTGCTGTTTGTCCCCTATTCAGCGTGTGCTTGCTTGCTTTTTTTCCTGGAGTATCATAGGTTAAAAGCTAGCGTCATTTCCCCTAAGCCAACTATTTCCTGTCTCGCTGCATCGCAGCGCATGTCAGTTTTATTAATGTGGAACGTACCGCTGGAAATGCATGCGTACAGTCTATTCGTTCCATTTGGGAATTAAACGGTCAAGCTATAATTGTGTGCGCGTTTAAAATTAATATGGTGCAGTGGGTTAGCAACAAACTTGTGAGATCATTCCTTGGATCTTTATTTATGTAGTTTTTGTTGTGGTGTGCGTGTGACATTCACATAGTAATTCTTTCCTTTGTATCATCCAGGAGGCCTCCATCTGTACCTGCAAGACCTTACTCATTCCACCAGTAAAAAAAAACTGCAATCATCATGTGCGGACCTGTAAGTTATACATAGCAGTAAGTTGAACTTTGACAGTAATTCCTTCTTTGGGTGCGGGTCCAAAGGGGCGTTTGTGCAAAATCCGGTATAAATGCCTCCATGTTGGACAATGTTCCTCGCAAAGTTGATGCATCCGTGCACACATACCCTTGTTATTTTGAACAGTTGAGCACTCATCCTTAAATGCTGTAATCGAACCCTTATTCGGCCCGTTGTGATTTAATACCTGCACCGCATGCATGCTTCTATCGTACAACCCCCCTCCCCCCGTCTTGCTGGTATGGAATAACATGCATGGCTCCATTTTGAGATGGCGCACCCCCGCTTTGTGCGGATGGCATGGTCAGTGACGACGGGAGATCCTCGTTTCATTTATATATACGCTTGGCTTGTTCGCTAATATGGATTTCCTTAACGAATAAATGCTCGGAGGCCTTGTACAGGAGAAACTTTTGAAACCAAGATTGACCTTGATAGGTAAATCAGAATACCGGCAAACCACATCGCATGCAATCTCCCGTTTGCGTTTTCAAAGTGCCGCGCGCGTTGAATCTCATCGGAGAAACGTTGCGGTTCTATGTAGGTCATTGATTATTTTGAGTTTTACATTTACGAGAAGCTCTTTAATTTATTGGCGGCAACTTGAGATGCTGTTGCACTTAGACGCGATATAAATCCAAAGCATATAGCGTGCGTTGGAATAACGTTGGTTTAAATAGGAGTTAATAGAGGTTGTCTTAACTGAAATCTTGGTTTTAAATGTTTTTGTAGATGATAACTGGAAGAAATAAGGAGACTCCATCTCAGTGGCTTCAAACTCTTTCGCAAAACTCCAGCAAAACAGTTAAAGGTCACTTTTATAGGCCACATTTGTTATCAAATGACTTAAATAATTATCATTTGGGCTCAATATGATGTCGTCTGTTGTTTTAATATTATTTAACATTAGATTCGAAATATGCAAATAAGCACGTTAAATTAATAGCTGAATTTTGAGTGGTTTTCTGCACAGAATCCGTGGGGACTTTGAAGCCCTGTGGCAGCACATCGTTTCTTAACGGATCGAGTAGGATCGCAAGTCTCCTGCGCCGAACCCTCCATTCCCTAACTAAGTTTCAAGACATACTGTGACTTAGTCAGCGGGTCTCCCCCCCCATCCTCCACCCCTGTAACTTTTATATTATTTGTAATTTGGCAGCGTTAACCCCTCCCCCCCCCCCCTTTAAGTGAGTGAGCCGCTCAATTTAAAAATCTTAACCACGAGCTTCGTTGGCTGTTGTTAGCTCTCCGAAGTCCACGGTAAAGGAGCGACCATTTGTTGCACTCTGCCTTGCTGGCACCGTGAAGCTTTGTAACTTTTCCCGTTTGCCTCGTGCACGTTGTAACCAAAAAACCCCCCTTTATCAGCGGCGCTAACACTACAATCGCCTTTTGACCAAAAGTGGGTCAATTGATCAAAATCTCTGCTGTACATATGACTCGGTACAGTGGATGGCCATCATTCAAGCGACATTCTCACACGTGGGGGAAGTGAGATCACGTGAAATGATTTGCAATTTCCACCCTCTTAAAGTTGACGGGGACCCCTCTCTCCCATGCTCGAGCACTTGTCTGTGTTGGATGACCCAATTTGTTACACTGGTGCGATCAACTTAATTGATGCTACTTATTAATTACAACACCACTTAAGTCATTCTTAATCAAGGCTTCATTTTAAATATCGATATAGTCCCACCTACACCTAATGAAGTGCAGTAGACCTATGTAAGTATCGCCAGGCATGTAACTTAATCTCTGTTTATGCGATGGATTGGCATGAATCGGGGTCATGATTCGATTCAAGAATCAATTCTTTTTTGTTTTTACCGTACCATGTATGTTGTTTTGTCTCGAAGTGTGCTCAATCATTCCTCAAGGCACACAGACTTGTAATGTGCACTTAGCCTCAGGGTTCAATGCATGTATCTGGAGTATTAGAATATATTTTAGCGGATTAATGTTTACATGCCTGTGCATCACGATAAAAAAAAGTTTAAGGTGACTGACAGATTTGGGTAAACTAAAGTGTGGTAAAAGCTATATCGATTCCCATGCCTATGGACCAACCCTAATGCAATTGAAACCCATCTCAGTGGGGCGGGAAGTCAATCTGGTTATTGTGTCTCTACCTCAAAGTATATCCGGTCATCGCGCTAAAATGAGCGCGATGATCATTCATCTGGGCGGATGCTCGTTGATGCTGATATTGTCCGTTTACCGATGTGGTTACACATTATTAAGGACCTCATGGAACAACGTATTGCATTAAAGAGTAATGCGTACATCTCAATTGCGAAACTGCTATGGCACCAGTAAGCGCACGATGATTATGATGGTGAAGGTTTTTGTGTTATTTAAACTTTGTACTTTTTGAGGCGTGACCGTTGCTGTTAGTACGGGCAAAACCAAAGTGACGGGCAGGGGCTTATGTCTGCAAAACCTCGAATTGAACGTTGGCACGTCGATTTGTAAATAGCGAGTGTATTATAGTAGTTATTCATGGATCAGTTTTTTTTTCAACTAAAATCCAAAACGTGCAAATTTGATTAACAAAAAAAAGAAAGACGTTTACTATTGCAAATCAGTGTGATTTAACAGAAAAAAAAAACACGATTCAACTTTAATCGATGGAATAAACAAACGTGACTGCAACCCTAACACTGGTGTTTTAAATATTGAAATCCATGGAAGATGCACTCCGAATTTCACACACTCCGCTTCACGGGATACGTTGCCACAATGCACTTGTTGGCGAGCCGCGTGTCATTCGATTGTCTCTCTTGTTAACCTCGACGCTTTTGTCCGCACCATTGTGTGACATCGAGCCCCCTCGGTCCGTTACACAAAAAAAACTAAAACATTCCGTATTGCAAGTGACGCATTATAATGCATCCCTTATGTGTGCCGCAGCTTTTGGGGTGTGCTTGCCGTTTCCTGTCACGTGGCTGTTCAGTGAACCTTCTCTGCTGTGGCGTTTCTGCGCCATCTGTTGGTTCGAGCGCTTGGTGGTATAACCATATTTTACAGTGGCCGAACACCGTACATTTGCCGTAAAAAAACAATAACGGTGCTTTCATCAAAGTGTCGTTAGCTGCCGTGGCGTGTGAAGTGCTCTTTGAATCGTTGACCCTACTCGCGACAATATTTTGTTTGAGCCAGCTTGATTGTAGCCCTGTTGTTTTGAACTTTTTGTTGTTGATCTGGTGTAAATCTGTAAAAGCAGACGATGCCGTTGACGCATTTTAAAGTGTTTAGTACCCACTGTGGACACGAGGTGGTGATTTTTTTCTCGCTTTAGTACTTCACAACGTATGGCTTGATACACTGCAAAAAATCATTAAATTGTGTTCAAGAAAAAACCTGTCTGGATTCTCTTTTTTTATATACATACGTTATCTTGCTTAAAAAAACGGTTAACATGGTTTATATATACATATCAAAAAAGTTATTGTTTATTATGACTTTGTTTAGGTATTTGCAGCGCATGAGCACACAGTCAAAGGACAGCCTTGATGGGTGTTTATTTTTACTGGAAGCGATCCATGTCCGTGACCACGAGGCCCCCCCCCCTCGCCCAGGCATGCAGACAGAATGGATCACAAACACCGATTCATGCTGCCCCAGTGACTTGCAGTCCATGCCTATAATGATGAATGAATTAATTGGCTGCACATCATTTAAACAAAAAAATGCCTACGTTTTTCAGTTGTGAATTTTCATGGTTTTTGTCGTATTTGTTAAAGTTTTTTTTATCACAATTTTGATCTACCCATGTTAATTTAATCTTGTTAAATATTTTTCATATGGCCAGTGTTTTTTTACTATAAATTGTGAAAAAAAATTTCAAGATGTTTTGTAAAAATGTTGACAGTTACCTTTATTAAATGCTGTTCTGGAATTTGAAACTGCTTTTTTTTTCTATTATACGATTACATAGTTTCTCCAAGTTCAGCTGTATATTTAGAAAATATATTATTGGGCATATTTTCATATTTCGTTACACAATTAAGGCAGATAAAGATGTGTTTTTATAAATTTAATGCAAAAAGAAAATGTACGAACCATTTCTGTGCAGTAGGCTTCCTTGGCCAATAACCAGGACGTATAAAGTGAAGGAATTTTATTTATATTCCATATTAAATGTTTGATGGTTATTACTCTCCTGAGTTTCAATGTTTTCGTCACAAAACCAGTTGGTTCCAGCAATTTGCACTGTGCATATTGCTGTGCATATTGCTGTGCATATTGCTGTGCATATCGCTGTGCATATCGCTGTGCAAATTACAAAATGGCCCAATACTCGGAAACTGTTTGAACTTCAGTCCATTAGCAAGAGTGTTTTAATTTAAATTTATAACTTGGGACACTGGGTGAATTTATATTAACGTGGAATGTGTGAATACTTGGCACAAGGAGGATAAGTTATGGTACACGATAGATGTGTTATGAACTCACAAAGGACATCGTGAATATTGAAAGAATACACTGATTTATACATACATATTTTACATAGTTGGTTATGTGGACATGTTTTTCTTTTTTATAGGCTCTGCCTTAAAAGTCCTCGGTGTTTTCCTTTAATAAATATATATTACATTTGGTTTCTTGATAATTAAATCCAAATGCCCATGCTCCTTAAAGCGTCCTCTCTCCAATGGAAGATGAGTGCAAATGTATCGTTGGGAGCAGTGGTGCACCGTCTGTGATCCACCGATTCCTCGGCCAGGTTTGGTGAATCATCCAGAACTTTCAAACGCCAAACTTTACTGGGCTGCATCATGGCCAGGAGATGGCAGTACAGCGAGTTTCTTTCAATATTCAAGTTTATTCTTGAACTTGCTGCGTGGAGTTTTCAACAACATTTTCTTGGATGCGGGGTGGGGGTATTCTCCGTGTAGTTCTGCATGACAAACATACTGGAGATCTGTGAGAGCTTTATAGCTCATCGGATTCATCCAGTATCAAATATTCTTTGATTTTTGTTTCATGGAAATGAGCACGCATCCCAATTCAGGACCTTCCTGCAAGTATTGAGACTCCTTTCCCGTATACATTAAGGATGCTATTAATCTATATATTTTTTTCTGCCTTGACATACGACACTCATTTTCTCTTTTCTAAGATATCACTTTGCCAAAAAACGAAAAGGTAATTCATGGTAAACAGGAGTTTCTTCATCGTGGAGGTAAAAAAAACATCTTTTGGACCAACGGTCGGTTCACATTTGGTATTCTTTTGAGCGCTATTCCCCATGCGAGCAAGGCTCGAGGGTTGGGGTCTGGGACTGGCAAAAGCGCCTCGCAAAATATGCGCCCGTTGGCTTTCAAAGCACGCGGCCACGCCAGTAGACATTTCCACAGATGTGTGGCAGCTGCGGCATAAATCTGCCGCAGGAGCACATTTTCTTGCAGCGGTTAGCGGGCCTGTTGCACAAGACGTGCCGCGCGTCACTCTTTTTTCTTCTTCTTTAAATCACGGTCGCTGGAGCACTGACCCCCGAAGGCCCAAACATCGCCAAGCGGTCATCGACAATCGGGGCACTCTTCAAGGGCGTAATTGATAAGCGAGCAACTCCCAAACGGAAAGTTAAGGGCTCAAATCCTGATTGGGGTTGACTCAGCCCTTCATCCCCTTTGGAGGGGCGGGTGGGGGGTTAATAAAGGAGTCCACTATTGTGGGGAACTCAACAGTGGTTGTTCCATGTAGAGGCTCGCCTCTGCCATCGCAATGTGTAGATATTTCCAACACTGGCTCGGGGCTGTAAGCACGATATGAGCACCGATGCTTCAACGCTCGTGTGAAACAGGAAATTGCTTCCGACTTTTTGTTGTTATAAACAGATGATAATTTAAATGGGTTTCTGCAATTATGCAAAGGTGGTTGATGACTTTGGAAAACAGACAATGGGAGGCAATTCCAAAGACCAGAAGCGTGGTGGTGGGGGGGGGGGAAGCAGAAGAGGGAGAAGTCTTGTGTTCCTTCAGTATGGATGGATCGAATCGGTCGCCGAAAGATTTGAGTCTTCAACGCGGGTGAAGGAATCCTTCCTGTTGGTCACAATTGGGCTGTTGTGTGTGCTACGGAGACTCGTTTAGTGTATTTGTTTGGACGCGGCTTAATGTTTTTTTCTTTCTCTAAAGCAGCAGTGAGCATTCCACGTAGCCCCCCCCCCCCATTCACACATGCAGGAATGCAGGATACAACACAGATTGTGCAGGCATGTTGTGTTTAAAGCAGCCTATTTACATTCACAACCTTGTGCATGGCAGCCGGCCTATTTAAACAGTCATTTTCGGTCAGCTGGTGAACCCTATGAATTATGAAAAATAAGATTAGGTTCGAGCCTTTCTTTGCAACAAAACTAGTGTTAAGATGTTGAAACACTAAATAGCTAGATATCTTTATGAAAATACAATTATCAAAGCATGTTTATTTGCATGTTCACCATAAGAATACGTGCGGTGATGGTAAACTTTATTCCTTGCAAAAGTGTTATTGCCGGAAAGGATTAAACCTATTCTTATTTTTCATGCCTATAAATTACTGTTCACACTCAGAAAACTCATTATACTTCAATCAGACGTTATAAATATGAACTCCCGGAATGCATTTCAAATTGTTCAGTCGCGTATTCGTTGCATCCCAGGAATTCCCATCATCTGATATCACTCGCCACCAACCCTCAACCACCAAGACTATTTAAGTCCCTGGAAATACAGGAAATTCCCTCGCAGAAGGCCAGTCATCCAAAACGTTGAGGTCTTCCTTCCCTTGCAGTGACAATTGGAAAATCCCGTTACGCCCGAAATGACATTGGTAGCGTTGGTCCATCGCGTAGATATTTGTGAAACTCCAAAACCATCCAGTCTACGAGTTGGCCAGAAGATGGCGGTACAGCCAATGGGTTCGTGAACCCGTCTGGTGTGGAATGTGTTTTCCACACTCTCTTAAAAAAGGAATTGGCAAAGCATCCCGATGCAGGGCCCTCCGACAAACAGTTTGATCACTCGGTGATATTTTCGTGAATAAATAAATCACGTGCTGCGCGTCGTCACGATCAACAACCCTCATCTATCCACTGCTAGATGAAGGCCACCCCAGCCAATTGGAAATCCCCTCACTGTCTTACGATGCCATAATCCCACTCGCTGCTGCACCTGAACGTGTCTCAACGCTCCATCGATGCGGTGGTGATCCGCACGGGTGAGTTTTCTCTCCCTCGGCTGCCGTTCCGTCAGCATTCGTGTCCGTTGGTTCATCGTCTGTCCTCACGCTGTGCGCCCACTTTTCCCATCGCTCGATGCGATGTCTCCAGGTTGTATTTCTTCTCCGGCTCACAGCGAAGCTTCCTTCTGCCCGTGTAATTCCAAGCATGCATCTCTCTCTCCTTTCTTCTTTGCACACTTTTCAACTTTATTTCATTGACAGTGCCAGCGTCCCCCATGTTTCTGATTCACACGTCAAACATGACTCCTCAGGGACCTTGGTCTCTCGCTTTTTCATTTATCAAATCAATGTTTTGCCCGAAAGCACTCCCATCCCCTTTTTGCGTTGGGTTTCTGCTCATTGAAGAGGTTCCCAGCACGTGGAGCGAAACGTCGGACATCGTGCCAAACAACATGCGGTGCAACCTGAAGTAAGTAACGCTTTTCGCGCAATGCGAAACGCGGCAACCGTTATAACGCGTGGACGCCCGACGTAATATGGAACGCGCCCGTCATAATGCTGTTTCTGAGCGGCCAACCGACGGACTACTTTCTTGAGCTATGCGGATGAGCGGTAGAGTGATGCAGTACGCGGAATGATACAGTAACGTGGCGGTGTACCGTCAGTACTTTGTCCCGTCATCTCACTGTGTGGTGTGCATAGTAGTTGCACAAAGTACCTCGCCAAACGTTATCGTTACGTTATTTGTGTTCGTTTAACAAATTTTACACTTAATGCGGCACTTTCAGGAACTCATCAACCGCATTAAACGAAAACTTACTGCACACATATGATCCTGTGGCCTTCGGTTGTGCCCCTCCAATCACTTCGTTGTTAAGCAAACATTATGTGTGACTTGTTTTTCCCACGTTTATCCAACTTTGCAGCGTTTTTACAACTTTATGTAATAAGAATATTTGTTTCCATAGAAAATCTTTAATATAAAAATATCCCGAGTCGCAGTCCATAAAAACTATGCTCACAATAAAAGTGAAATCGCAATCCAATAAAAGCTGCTGAAAATAATGACAACTATACTCTCAATATAGAAACAATAAAAAAAACGAACGATGACAAAAGGCAATAAAAATAACACTCGTAGGTAAAATTCAGTACATTTAAACAATTACATTTGAAATGCAGTTTTTTTTTAATGTCTGGAATCTGTTTTTATCAGTGCCTAATTACAGTATTTAAAAAAAAAACATCGCTCTAATCTCTGTTCTGGTATTGCAAGGTATTTTTCTTCTCATGATACGTACAAATTATTTTTTGTATCTTAGAAGTAAACAACCCTGGCAGTTACTTCCCGGGATTACGAACCCAGGATCTCAGTGGTGCTCGCAGCATTCTGTCCAGAGACACCACCTCGCCACCCCTTGAAGGAAGGGTGCGTCTTTATAAGAAATCCGTTTTCTGTTAATCACAAGGTGTGGCTTTAAATAATAATGAAAAAAGACGCGAATGTGGGTTTTTTTTCTCTCTCTCTCAAGAATGATTTATGAGGGTGTAGCTGCCACTGTTTTACTTTCAACTGACAGACAAAAACATGCCCACCCCCTGCCCCATCCCCCCAGGGTTGTTAGCGAGCCAGACAAATTTTGCTGCGAACATCAAAAGCTGCAGGTCACTGGGTCATCCTCACAACAGCAGTGGCTTTGGGCTAAGCCTTCGAACAAAGACGGCGGTCACCGCATCGCTCGCCCTTTCAGATGCGCTTCTGCGGCCGTCTGGAACGCTCTTCCCTTCCGATATTGGGAAGCCGCTGGTGTTCTGCACCTTGAAAACCATTCAGATTGAAAAGTAATTTCTTGAGAACCGCTTTTTGTGTTTAGTTTTGTTGTTCGTCCCCCGCACCTCCGATTAGCGTGGTTGGCGATGTACGGTGCGAAAGAAGTTCAACATACATACAGTACGTTGTCCAGAATGAGAGTGTGCAAGGATGACTGTTCTGTGGAGCTTGATCATTAAACTATCTGCTCGTCCGATACTGCGCTTTGTCGAGAGACGTTATTGTATTGACAACAGGGTCCCGGCGTGGCAGCACACGGATGTGCTCCAGCACTTTGAAGGCAAGGGTTTGTGAAACTTTCAAGTTCCCTCTGGGCTGCACAGTGGCCATGAGATTTACCAATTTTTATTTTACCAGGTCAGGGCCCGCTAAGCTATGTAGTTATATATTTTGAAAGAAACGACCTGGCTATCACAAATGATAGCTCAACGAAGTGTTAACCTATGGACATCCTCGCAGCCAAATTTGCTTAAAACGCGTGTTGCTAAATCTGGAGGGGAAAACCCGGGGGACGTGGAGAAAATCCACGTGACCACGGGGAGATAAACACGCAAACTCCAAATATACAGTAGGCTTCTGGGTCTGGGTGGTACCCAGGTGGTTAGCATCTCGCCGCCGTACTCAGCCAAGTGCATCGAAGTCATCGGTGCGGAGCCTTGAGAGTGTTATCTCGTCACTTGGGTATTCTGGTCTCGTCTCAATCGTCAAAGCCCAATTGATGAAATTCACCGAAACATCTGAATGCAGCCGCCGAAAGGCCTCGAGTTTTAGTGAGGCTTTCCCGGACACACAGAGACTTCACCGCTGAAGCGAACCCCAATCTTCTCGCCGAAGGACGCTGCCCGACTCGCTTGGCAGACTTTGCCGACGATTCACTCCACGGTGCACAGCGCACATTATCTCCCCATATAGCAACTTCCTCGGCGTTATCCTTGAAACAGCTGCGCAATGTGGTTTTTCGTTAATCTCGAAGGGCAATGTGCCACGAGACTCAAACCATTTTTTGGAGATACAGAAGAGCGTCGACTTATTTTATTTTCCACATTGGTCCACTATAATGGCTGACTTAGAGCGAGTACTCGTTTACAAAGTAAATATATAATTAATACGCCCATGGTCTCCAAGTGCCAGTGACCATGGTGAAGTATGGTCAAACAACCACCATGTCCCAACATCGTGTAGGGAGAGGCATTCATCCGGAAGAGGATTAACAAAGGGGCTGTAGAAGTTATTATTTAAACACATCATTATAAATATTGATTTAGCATAATTATTCAACACTGTGTACATTTAAAAAAAAAACATATTTAGAGTTGGGAAAGACCTGATAAATGTGTAATGTACGATTGGTCGTGCTGATTAATTGTAAAAATTAGTATTCTCCAAGCTTGATATTGAACACTGATGTCATTGTTATTTCATTATAAAAAAAACATTGCTGCATTTTAAACTCAGACCGAGTACTTTTTCCATACACACAACAGCCTGCAACCACAACAGACAAACGTATTGCACAATTAAATACTTTATTTACACAGCACTACGAACACAATCGAGGTCAAACTGTCACGGCGGTTCGTGCTAATAATAAACGGTTAACTTATCGTATAATTAAACCATCTAAAGAGTAGTCTTTAAGAGTAATTGTTTCACACGATCAATAAAAACTAAAACGCATTTTCTTAAATATCGATTTTCCATAGTGTCGACTTCTTCTTGAAAGTGTGACCTGAACCCACCCTATAAGTCCATGTAATAGTTGGGCCTTGGCATACCATTTTAATAGCAAAAATATGTACATTGCTGACCTCGACAGTACTTACAACTGCTGGGTAGATGCAGGGCCTGCTCCGGTCATGGCCCGTTTGCTGATTATACTGTTGGGAAGAATGTAAATTACCAGCAAGAACTGAATCCCAACACAGTGTGCGTATTTGTCCTGTTTTCCACCACTGCCCGTGGTCAGCGCCTCCACAGCAGATGTACGTATCGGGTACTCCGCGTTTAATCTCAAGAGCCCTGGGATTGTAGACGTCCAGTAGCTCACCTTTACCACGGACTTTCGCGAGCTGTTTTCACGCACGCGCTTAAGCAGCACGTTTTCACGCACGCGCTTAAGCCGCACTTTTAATATTCACCCATCGCCTGAGAAATCTGCGGAATGGCCCAAAGTCCTACAGGAACATTTTCGTCTCGCTTTAGAACGGCGGTTTAGTCGCAGCGGTGTCAATGCCTCTCCGCACGTGTGGCAAATTAAAACTCCACCGAAAAAAATTCTGCTGAGCGGATATCAAAACGTGCTCCACGATGGCACGGATTTGTCCCGTGGAAATCTTTTAGAAGAGCTAATGTAAAAATAGGCGATAGCGTTTAGCTTACCGTAATCACAGAACCCATATATTTACTACATCATTAAAACATTATTACGTTATAACATTGCTTTTCACTAATGGAAATAACAATTATTGATGCTTTATAGAAAGAAGCTAAGGTTGAAAAAAAACATTAAAAAACAGCTATATTTTCTACAGCTTTTCTCCCCGTTAGGTTTAACACATTTCCTGTGCGCTCGAAGGGGACTGTTCACAACATTATTCACCGCTTGTTGGCGGAGGAAATGTTTTTCCGCCGTTGAAAACAATCCCGGCCACGTGTTGTGCGGTGCGTTGCAATGCGGCAACAGAAAACCCGATGAGCTAAACCGGGACTGCAGAGACAAATATTACGGGGCGTGCCAGCTTCGGAGGCTCGCACGCTTAAAGTACCCCCTCTGGTCGTCGCACCTGATAGGCATCACCTTCACCCCTCTATTTAAGACCTGGAAACAGGAAGACTTATTCGCAATTCTGGCAAATCGCCCGATGAAGATGGTTGTGATCACCAGCGAAACGTCGTACTCAAACTGTAACTGTTGTGAGTGCTCCCCAACACGCCAGCTGTTACCGAAGTAGTGACTAATCGGCACGCTTTGTCGACGTGACAAATCTCACCAATTAGCCGCGTGTCGGGCTTGGTGGCGGGTTAACGACACATTTATATTGCCACGATCTAACCCCCCCCCCCAAACCACCCCCCACTTTATTATAGACTAGCTGTACTACCCGGCTTCGCCCGGGACTTGGATTCACCACACCCGACCGCCTTTGTCTCCCCAGTGGCGTTGTTCACACCACAACAGTTACTTGTTTTTAGGCTGGGTCGACCTAGGGGAGGCTCAGGACCGGTTCAAATAATCGTCACCGGTGGTGGCCGTGAGCGGGAATCGAACTCGGGTCGCCGGGTTCGTAGCGCAGCACGCTAACCGCTACACTACAATGCGTTACGCTTCCACATGCGCGGGTCACGTGACAGATTTGACGTCACAGCTCACTTGGCGTGCAAAAAATAAATGCATTATTGAGCTTCCCCCCCCCCCCCCAAAAAAAAACACACAAAAGTGTATTTCTATAATTTTTGCATGGTGTACAGTCTGGAAAAGTAGCCACATGGCAAATTTCCAGTTTGTTGCATGTCGGGAAGTACGCTAAACATTTTGAACAGACACATATTCACAACTTTGCCTTTTATATATTTGGAGAAGATAAAGCCACACTCCTGTCGACGTCCAGACGAGCGGTCTCACGGCCCCATCCATCGTGGGCTCTAGGGCAGGCTCGCCAAGTCTCGCTTGGGAGGAGGACCGCTCGGCTTGGGATTTCCATCGCACCCCCTCCCCTCGAACAGCATAATCCTGCAAACGAGCACGCGCGAGAGATGTTAGTGCGCTCGCTGCACGTACGTGTCTGTGTGTGCGTGTGTGGTGCTGGGGAGCGGTGGTGTAGCGGTTAGCGCGACGCTGCGCTATGAACCCAACGACCCGGGTTCGGTTCCCGCTCACGGCCAACACCAGTGACGATTATCTGAACCGGTCCTGGGCCTCCACCTTGGTCGACTCAGCATCAAATGAGTACCTGGTGCGCTGTGTAAACATCGCGGCTGGGGAGACAAAGGCGGTCGTGCGTGATGCTGGCCACCCACCCCCTCGTGTACCGTTCCGGCCTTCATCGGTGCTCGCTAACAGCACGTGCCCTTACAGTCTGTTAAGGCTATAGGGAGATCTTTGTCTTTGTAGTACTGGCCACCCACCTTCTTCATGTGCGATGCCGGCCTTCATAGGTCCTCGCGAACGGCACCTTGCCCAAACAGTCTGTTAAGGTTATACAGGGGGGATCTTTGCCTTTGTGTCTTTGAAACCTGATCGTGTTTTGTTTGTACACCTCATGGTTTAAAGAGCTACGTTCTTATTTCTGGGAAACTGATGAACGGAGGCGTACGATTAAAGTTCACGCTCGAAGGGACACTTGCGCCAAGCGTTTCGGTCTTGGCTCCCGCGTCACCTCTCGGCCCACCCCCCCCCCCCCCCCCCCCCAAAAAAAAAAAATGGAAACAACCCGTTCTCCTGCAGTGGAACAATTCCGGCGACTGTTGCAGGCTTGGCTTTCTTGGCTATCGCGGCAGCCCGAGGGAAGCGCCTCTTGGGGGAGGGGAGGGGTGGGTTGGAGGCGAAAGGCGCGGGGAAACGTCGGCCCGGGTTGCCTGCCAGCGTGAGTGTCGCACACTCGAATGACCTTTGTGTTGGGTCAGGCTGTTCGCACGTGCCGCACGGGGCCAGCCACGGGCTGGCACATGCCACGGCGCGTTGAAACCCGGTCAAGCCGGCGCCAACTAACCACGTCCTTGAACCGCTCCAAAGTAAACCAGCCCAACGTCGTTTACTAAATATTCACGTCGCTCCGTCCGTGGTGCAATCGCAATGCCTCTTTGTAGATACGCGATGTGCACGGCGGGCAAGGGGAATGAAGGTCGCTTGCTTGGCTGGTTTTGAAGGTCGCGCCGCTGTAATAGTCCACTCAGCATTTGTTGCAATGTGCACGTACACATTTGTACATTTTAATGGTGAGGCAGTGGGCGCAGTGATGGGCGCGCTGCCGCCTGAACAATAGCGACCCGAGTTAGATTCCTGGCCACGGCTAACATCGGTGGTGGGTGACATCAAACATGGCCCTGTAGCCTCAATTCCCCCTGACCCCCCCCCCCCCCCCTGTTATTTTAATGTTATCTTTATTATTGTTAGAATTTTTTATTTTTTTCAAAAGAGCACCATGCCAAAGGGAAAAACGCCGTTAAGCCACGCTGCACATTTTTCGAATTTTTTAAACGAATAGGGGCCACATTATTATTCCCATTCTTTGTGTCTTTCGGTAAAGCCGCGTAGATAGAAAAGTAATTAAAAAAAAAGGAACGACGTTTCGATCGCAACGGAAGCAATCGTCATCAGGTGAAAAAATTTCGCGGGAGAGCTGCTGAGGCAGGAAAAAATATACCGAAAGACCCAAAGAATATGAATTCCTGCAGTCACGAAAGCTTTAAGTCAATTATTATTCCCGTTTAGTTCTTCAGTATTTCTTTTTTAAACCTTTAAAGCACGAGATGAGAAATTTCAGCGCTTCGCGTTCGCTCACAAGGAGGTGGCCTCAGCGTGTTTTGCTTGCCGCACTTATCGCGCGGCGGCAGCCTGCCGAGTTCGCGGGGGCCAACCGGCACGGAGGCGACGCTTTCAGATGGGGGGGGGGGGTGGGGGGGGTGGGGGGGGGGAAGCTGCTGCGATGAATCCCAATTACGCCGCTCGACCGCCGTTATCCCCACAACCCACGGTTGCACTCGTGGCCACGTTAACGTAAAGAGGGGCAGCCCTGCAGCAATAGTTCGGCCCATCCCACGCCACTGCAGGCCGAGAGGGCCCGTGGAACGAGAGGCGGCGCTAGAGAGTGCCCCCCCTGCCCCCCCTGCCCCCCCTGCCCCCCCTGCCCCCACATTCTCTCTCTACGCACACCTGACAGAGCCCACGTGGATGGCTTTTTATCGTCGTTCTTCATTTGATTGGAATTTCGAGAGTTTGTCATTGACATTGGTGTTGGTATTATCAGCTTCCTATTTTGCTTACATTTTATCTTTATTTGTGAGCCCAGTTTGATTTTTATGAACGGCGCTTTGAAATACCTCGGCGCTTTATAAAATAGAGGTGGTTATTATTATTATTGGGTCGGCTCCACGGTGATAGGGTAATTCTATGGTTCTTTCGGTAAAGTCACGTCGATAGAAAAAATAATAACAATAAAATAATTAAAAATAAAGTGAATACAAAATAATAAAAACATCACGACGTTTCGATCGCAACACAAGCGGCGGCCGTTGCGAACGAAACGTCGCGATATTTTTTTGTAATTTGTATTCACTTTATGCTCATTTGTATTTGTATCATTTAATTGTTATTATTTTTGTTCTATCTACGTGACTTAAACAAAAAAAAAGAATAATAGAATATGAATTCCTGCGGTCACGAAAGTTCTCAGGTAATAGGGTAATTTTTTGGCCTGCACTTCCACGCTGGCCAGACGGAAGTACCCAGACTTTGTCCCCCACCGCACGTGACCTGCTCGTCGGACTAACTGCCTGGCCGTTGTGTGCCCACGAGCGCGCTGCTGGCTGGACAGACAAGACGATCCGGCGTGCTGATAACCATTTCACCACGGCAGCATCCCTTTGTGACGGTGTTATTTGGGTTGAACGTGCACGTGGCTTGGCTTGTGTACGTGCTTGTGAGTGACGGTCAATGCGGGGGCCCGGGGATCGATGCGTCAATCTTTACCGCTCCAAGCTGTTTGTCAACACCCACGCTAGAACGTCGGTGGCTACGTCACCTCTGCCGATGAACGAATCATCTCCCGTCTCAACAGACCTCAGAAGCTAAGCTGGGTTTCTGCCTGGGCGGTGTTCGGATGGGTGACCACCACCGCATCAATAGGGTGCTATAGGCTACTGTGAGCTATGCGGTGGGCAGTGCGGCAACATCATTTTGTCGCACTGCACTTCCGTGAGTTTGGGTCTATGCTCCCTACGTGTGCCCTCACCAGCCGGCACTGATCAAAGAGGCGACGTACGGTCGAGTGACCCGCGCGGTATTGGGGAGGCTTTCATCCAGCAGCGGAATGCGCTTGCCGCCGGCCATATCGCGCACGCAACTAAAGTGTGCCATAAAACGACTAAAATGAAGAATTGAAGGCAGGCTCGTGATCTACATCTGTGCTCGCGCGAAGCTGATTCAAAAGGCGAAACCATGTAGAGCCTCGCGACTAGCACAGCCAGGCACACGCAGGAAATCATAAATCAGCCAACCGTATACCCGCACGCACGCATGCACACACACACACACACGTGTGGCAAGGGGCCGCGTGGGTGCGCACCATCTGACCAGAGCAGGCTCCGCTCCTGTCTGAAACAAATGTCCCCCCAAGTTTGAGAAAGGCAGCGTGCCGAGTGCTCTGACGTCTGCGAGCTACATTAAAAAGGCTCTCTGCAGAAAAATGTTGCTGCGTGGGTCTTGACGTGATTCGGAGAGGGAAATGTTTCCAAACGCGTCGCAAAATGCGGTGAAAACATTTGCCCCGTGCCCACCATCCACCCACCCACCCACGCAGGAACACTAAATCTGTGTTCCCCTGGGAGAATCAACGTGGCTTTGTGGGGAGTGAGGGACGTCCATTTGACGTCCCTCGACTGTTCGATGATTCAGATGGCGGTGGTTGTTGGGATTGTATGTGATGCATCGATTCGCGGATTCGTACGCTCACGACACGCGTATCAAATTTACACGAGGATAGATGTTTACGTATAATGTGGAGTGGAAATATTTGCAAAATAATTTGCTGGTTTTTTTCCCACGTTTTCAGGCTAATGGAGCAAACAGAACTACACGTGGAATGGGAAAAAAATAAGAAATGTATTATGCCAGAATTTTTTTTTAACTCCTGAAATCCAATCGTGACCTCAAATTGAGACAATTCGTGGAAATGCTGTAGGGAGTAAATCATTAAATAGCTGGGGTGCAGCGGTGGCGATGAGATGTTCACTCCCTCGCCTGGTATGCAGGAGGCGATGGGTTCGATTCCGACCCTGAAGCCTGCTGTAAATTTACAGTTTGCATGTTTTCACAATTTGATCATCTATGGGTCATTTTCAAATCTGGCAAAATTCGGACCCTGACTTTGGCACACGATGGCCTACTTTTGCAAACGACTTCAGATAATCTTTAACATATTTCGGTCAATACACTCGCAGTAATAACCAGGGCGGCTGCTGAATTCAAACCGCGAACCTCTGCGACAACAAGCGGCGAACGCGCTGACGCCCACGATGATCGATGATGATGGAAATAAAAGGTAAGATGATGACGACGACGACGATGACGATTATATTGCCGGTGAAGACGACATTGATGTCAGAGATGACGATGGCAATACAATCGGCGGTCTTGAAGATGATGTCGAAGATGATGTCGTAGACGATGGTGATGACGACGATGATGACATAATGACGACGTTCAAGGCAGCCGCCGCCGCTGCTGCTGGGCACGCTTACAGTTTGAGAACGGCCGACCGCTTGCCCAGCATCAGCGTCAGGAAGTCGCGGTAGCCGATGCAGTCGCTGTTGCCCGTCGTCACCTCGGCGATGATCTTCTTCAGCTCGAGGTGGGTGCGCGGCGTGCCCACGCGCTCCAGCATCTTCTTCAGCGCCATCAGGTCTGCGCTCGGAAGCACGGGAGGTAACGTCGGGGGGCCACCAACAACACCACCGTCACCAACCCACCCCCCCCCCCTCCCCGCGTCAGCCTCCGGCCTCGCATGGCATGTGCCGGGGGTCAATCGATGGAGCCACGCGCGTCGCAAGTTGAGCCGCATCGTCCCGGCGCGCGCGGGCGAATGTTGCTGGAGGCCCGCGCGGGGCTCCGCTTGTGCGCGGGAATCTTCATCTCGGACGTGGAATGTTGCCGGCGAACTCGATTTTAAAAATCATTGACCCGTCCATTATTAAAAAAAAGTGATCTCGTGGTCACCTCCTACTTTTTTTTTTTAATCTTATTGAGATGTCTGCTGGATATATAGAGGACGATGAGTTGAAATGTTGGCATGGAGTGGCGTGAAAGGACATACACATGAAGCAAAAGACAAAGATTTCTCCCTCCCCCCACCCCCTCCCCAGGTATTGCCTTTAACAGACTGTTGGGGCAAGTGCGGTTAGCGAGCACGAATGAAGGGCGGCACGGCACAGGAGGGGGTGGCCTTTGTCTCCCCCAGTGCCAATGTTTTACACACCGTACCAGGTACTCATTTTAGACTGAATCTACCCAGGGCACGCCCACGAGCGGTTCAGATATTCGTCACTGATGTTGGCCGTGAGCGAGAGTCGAACGCGGGTCTCTGGGTTCGTGGCGTGGCGCGGCGCGATAACCACTACGCGACCGCTCCCCAAGATTTCTATTACACATGCGTATATGCCGGAGTTAATCATTCCACCCCTACGCTCGTGTTTACTGTTTAACCAGTGGCACGGTACAAAGCGTGCCATTGATCGCGCGACTGTGCTGAGATCCACTGGGCAGATGAGAGTCAATGGAAGCATGGCGACTGAGTGGCGAGCTATCCAATAGTGGTGGTGGTGGAGGGGGGATATCAATTTCCCCGGAGCGTGGGATGTGTGTCGTCACAGTTTTGGTATTAACGTTGTGGGGGTAGTTGTTTATATATATACATGCCAGGAATGCAACATCAACACGAGTGAGCCAAAGAGTTAACATCATTAAAATGCCAAGCTCCTCACCAATTTCTTCTTCATCGTTCAGGTCGAAGTCGAGAAATTTTTCTATTTAGAGAAAGAGAGAGAGAAAAAAACAAAAGCATAAACATCAGAATATGGTTATCCCCGCAGAGGAGATGAAGCAGCTATGAGTGGCAGATTCGTGCCGGTAAGAAGCGACGTGTTTTAAGCGAACGGTGATTTGACAACAAACATCTTGACACGCACCTTTGTAGCGCTCCAGCTTTTCGGCGAGATCGTCCACATCTTGATAAAATTCATCTTCCAGGAATTCCTAAGTGGAGGCACGCACACACGTTGAAGCCAAAATAGACGCGGCCACCTTTACATAATCTGCAGCGTACGGCAACCGATTATAGCGTTTAAGTAATAGGCCTACAGTAGATGATCCGCATTAGCATCCCCAACGAATGCATTGCCTATGCAAAGTTGAACATGTTGTGTCGTTTTCTTTATTCATGTGAGTGAGGTCCGTCACATGCCGGGCCTTTCACAGTCACTTCAACAACGATCCGCGAATCGCACTTGGCACGATTAGGACGCGCGTGTGAAACCCAACTCTGCCGCGTCGCTACCGACCGCCGTGTAATCATTAAAGGCACTCTAATTGAATCCTGTTGCTCAACCGCTCTGGCGAGATCACGGAGGGCATGGGAAGGATTTTTTTTTCGTAAATTGGGTTTTGGTGGCAAGGAGCCACGGGGGGGGGGGGGGGGGGGGCCACGTTGCGTCGCCGAGGCGTGTTTAGAGGGCCCAACAGGGGCCACAGGAGATGTGGCCTGTCGAAAGTTTTAAGGTGACAGTGAGGCCCGGGTTATGGCCATAGGGCAGCAGTCGCCGGGGAAAATGGCCGGTGGGGCCGGTCTGTGTGGGAGAACTGCAGGTGTGATCAGAGTAAAATAAAAATAAAATATTTATAAATATTTTATTACCTCTAATGTGTACGCTTCATTGCTTGTGTACGCTCTCAATATTCGGCAGCCCCAAAAGATTCTTCCTCCTAACCGGCCACCCGTTTAGTGTTTTTATGGACCCAACTCCAAATGCGGTCAATGGGATCGCACACGGAAATTTGCGTATCCCGGGGTGTTCGCTTACAAACACCTGGGCCGATTTCAAGTCCCAGTCCCTCACTGGTGACAGTTAACAGCCAATTGTCCCTTCTACTCGCTGTGTTTCCAAATCCGCGGAAGACATACTCATTTATTTTCACACAAAGACAAAGATCCCCCGTATAGCCTGAACAGGCTGTAGGGGCAAGTGCTGTTAGCGAGCACCTATGAAGGCCGGAACGGTACACGAGGGGGTGGGTCGCCAGCACCACGCCCGACCGCCTTTGTCTCCCCAGTGGTGATGTTTACGCACTGCACCGGGTACTCAGTTGAGGCTGAGTCGACCTAGGAAAGGCCCATGACCGGTTCAGATAATCGTCATTGGTGTTGGCCGTAAGGAGGAATCGAACTCGGGTCGCCAGGTTCGTAGTGCAGCGTGCTAACCGCTGCACTACCGTTCCCCACACAAACACGCGCATGCACACACAAAGGTCAACCCTACTGTTATATACTGTTATATAATTTTATATACTGTTATATACTGTTATATACTTTTATATACTGTTATATACTGTTATATACGGATGGGCCGCAATGAAAAGAACCCGAGTGTTAAGTTATGCAAACAGCTACAACATGTTGTTATGCTGTGTCAATCTTATTCGGATATCTGTAGACGCTGTGGAGTGATGACTTGGCAGTGCACAAAGACGATGAGCTCAGGCTTAATTACTTTAAGTACTGAATTAGAACAACTAATGCAAATTAGTGGCACCGCGGGAGCCTGGTATACAGGAGGTCGTGGGTTCTATCCATATTCTGACGCATTCCTGCGGAGGGAGCTGGTAGGAACGTTGGGTTGCTCGGTCAATGGCCAGGGTCAACGGCAGCACCACGTGGTGTATTCCGCAAATATGCCCGACTGTGAGGGCGGGCACAAGCCGGAGTGAGTAGGTTAAACGTTGAGTTTGATAAGGGCACCACGGGGTGACCAGCCCTTCCCCACCCAGCCCCACCCCCCCCACCCCCCACCCAGCCCCACCCTCCCCACCCAGCCCCTCCCCACCCAGCCCCTCCTCACCCAGCCCTTCCCCACCCCACCCTCCCCACCCAGCCCCTCCCCACCCTCCCCTCCCCTCCCCACCCAGCCCCACCCTCCCCATCCAGCCCCTCCCCACCCTCCCCTCCCCACCCAGCCCCTCCCCACCCTCCCCTCCCCACCCAGCCCCTCCCCACCATCCCCTCTTCACCCAGCCCCACACCTCCCACTTTTGGATGCACGACGGACGGACGGACACAATAATCCCCTGTGGGCTGGTGGAACCAGGAGGTTCCTACCAGTGTCATTATATATGAGGTAGATGCCGTGAGCTGGCTTAAAACACGTTTAGACATAATTATTTGCAGGATTCTGTGGCATTAGCGATTAGTGACAGCGAGCGAACCTCTCAAGACAATTCCCAAACTGTATGAGCAGCATCGGAAGGGGGTGATCTCCCTATTCATTGGTAAGCGAAGGGAATTTCTAAGGGAGAAAGGACAATGGCGTTCTCTGGAGTGGAAGGCAGTTTGCATGCCGGGGGGGTGGAGGGCGGCTGGGTGGAAACAGTGGTCTAATGGTAATGAGCCATTGATTAATTCCTAGAAATGCCCACAATCACGTTATACCGCCCAGCTGGTGGTGAGTCCAATGGCGTTCGGCCACCTTCCCACGCGTGCCGCTGTCTTACGAGTGCTGATATACAGTGGGGGGGGCAGTTGATTGGTCAGGGCGGATGCGCGACGTTGCGCTTCAAGTGTCTGTAGACACACACTACAACACACGGCTTTTCCGTGGAGGTTCGGTTTGCGTGGATGAGCAGGCCATATACCCGACTGGGGAGGGAGGCGCCTCTCGAGAGCCGACTCTAAGCGGAGGTCCTCTTTCGCAGGGCCCTGCGCCTTTACCTTACAACGCGGTTAGATCATCGGCAGCCTACGTTGCGTCGTCATCACAGACTTTCCGCTACGCCGGCGGCGGATGGTTCGGTCGAGCAGAAGCGCAATGACCTTGTTGATGACCTCCAGTCGATTGTCCTGTGCCGCCTTCAACTTCCCGAAAGCTTTTCCGCCTAGAAAGAGACCGATAGCGAAACGAAACAAAATGATAATCTTCATTTGAAGCTTTCGTGACTGCAGGAATCCATACTCTTTGGTTCCTTCGGTAAAGTCACGTTGGTAGAATAATAACAGATCACGACGTTTCGATCGCAACACAAGCAATCGTCATCAGGTGCAAAAAAACTGAAGCAGTTTTTTTTTTGTTGCTGTGGCTGCCCCACCTGATGACACAAGTAATCGTCATCAGCTGTCCCACCTGATGATGATTGCTTGTGTTGCGATCGAAACGTCGTGATCCATTATTTTTCTACCTACGTGACTTTACCGAAAGAACCAAAGAGTATTAAACAGAGAAAATAACTTACGGCGAAAGATGGCAGAGAACCAGGAGACGCCACCAATACGAGCTGCATCAGAGGACAATTTCGTTGATATTGGATCCTCACGAGAGTTCTCGTGACCACCCCCCACCCCCCCCCCCCCCGAGTCACAGACACACCGACGGACAGACATAAGTAAATAACTAAGCAGACGAAACGTGTCCTTCAAATTGTGTTCGGCCGAACTACTTTGTAACAGCAAAGGCGACGTTTTGGGCAATGGCCCTCCTTCATAGCGCACTACATTGTAGCAGTCGTGTCCCGTGGTCGTGGCAGGGAGTTTTTGTTATCGTCACGGTCTCGACTTGACGAGGGTGGTGTACAGGGCATTCCACAGGGCACGCGACAAGTCGCATCAGTGGCGACAGCCAGCAGCGCGTAACACGGGAAAAGAAAGACCGGATTAGCGTGGGCTTGTAACTTTTATCAATTTTTATTATACTTTATTACGACTTCATTCAAAACAAATTACAACCGCCACACTTAAAACAAATCTGCGGCAGAGAGAACAACAATAAAACAACAGCCGCAACTAGCGACGCAACCGCAAAAACCACAATCATCAGCATTTGAAATCATCATCGTCATCAATCATGACAATCAAACTGACAACGCGCGGCTTCAAGTGGCCGTGACGCAACGGATTTGAAAGCGCGAGGGAAATCTCACGCAACCGCTTGCCTTTGCTGCTAATTCACAACGACGACGACGTCGATGATGGGAGGCTGTCACATCACTCACCTTGGTAGTCGTGCTTTGATTTCTCGGCCGCCGTCCCTGGAGCCATTGCTGGCTGGCTGCTGGCTGCTGCTGCTGCTGCTGCTGATGATGATGCTGATGATGATCTGCTCGCTCGCTCGGCCTCTCGAAGTCGGCGGTACGGACCGAGGAAGAGCGCAGCTCGCGAAGATTACGGGGACTTAGACTCCGGCTCGTGGGGGGAGGGGGGTTCTCGGGGTGGGGGGAGGGGGGTTCACGGGCTGGGGGGAGGGGGGGTTCTGGGGTTGGGGGGAGGGGGGTTCTCGGGTTGGGGAGAGGGGGGTTCTCGGGGTGGGGGGAGGGGGGTTCTCGGGTTGGGGGGAGGGGGGGTTCTCGGGTTGGGGGGAGGGGGGTTCTCGGGCTGGGGGGGAGGGGGGGTTCACGGGCTGGAGGGAGGGGGGTTCTGGGGTTGGGAGTGTGATCGGGGCGGGAGGTGTCGTGGGGCTTCGCTTCTGCCGTGGCCACATCTAGCGAAGCGCCCCCCTCGCAACTTCCGTCGCCTGACGTCGAGAGCAAGAGGAGTGGCGAGGCCGCTATAAAAGCGCGCATTGTAGCGCGCTCGAGCCTTTGTGCGCTAGACGCTGGGGCGCTAACTCAACAATGCGCGCATTCTCTCTCTCTCCCCCGCCCTTATAACAGCCACAACCACCACCACCACAATCATCGCCATCATCATCACCACCACCACCACGACCCCTCCCTCTCGCTCTCCGCAGCGCTCCCTGTTGCACGGGACACGCGCGCGTGCCGAGGGGAGTTTGAAAAATTGCGACCCCTCTCTCTCGGGTCCCGTTTTGGCGACTTTGCCATTACGGGCAGCCAAATCGGCGTCGTTATCAGCAGCACCGGCAGCATCGTATCAGCAGCCGTGGTCAATCCACCGCTGGATGAAGCCCACCCCCCACACCCACCTCCACCGCCGCACCAACAAAGCCGGCTCTGTTTCTCGCGATCCTGAACTTTAACTCACGAGCGGAGAGACCACCCTCTCGGTCTTACACACGCCTTGACCTCGCATCACCTCGCATCGTGACTCCGGAGGGCGTCCTCCTCTCGTCACTGCCGTCACTCGCCTCGAGTACACCGCGGCCCATCAACCCTGCTGGCCGCGACGCGTCCTGCCCCAAGCCCCAACTTGACTCAACACTTTGAATGATATTTTAAAACCTGCGTGTGTTCTCTCATCGGCGTGGTCACTCTGCCTGGCTTGCAATGTCATTCCAATATTTGTTTTTAATTTCTATACTCTTTGGTTCTGTCGGTAAGTCACGTAGATAGAAAATTCACAGATCACGACGTTTCGATCGCAACACAAGCAACCGTCATCAGGTGAAACAAGCACAGCAGGAGAACTGCTCATTTCTCTCTACGCATTTTGCAGGAGCCGAATGGGACATTCGACTTCGGGGGGGGGGGGGGGGGGGGTGGGGGGTGCAGCAATTAACAAACGCGCACACACCCGCGCGATTCACTCACTGCCGTCACTCCTGTCGGTGACAGAAGCGACTGAAGCGCGCTCTATTTTTAGAAACGCGGTGCTGTTGCAACTCTAGTACCCGATTAGCGCGGCTAAGACGCTTGGGCGGTGACGCAGAGGTATCGCTCGGGGTGGGAGGATTCGAAGCAGTGGGCCTCGCGTGACCGCGGCCCCGTCTCGAACGAAGTCGCGGGCCGTGCTGCACCCCCCCCCCCCCCCTACCTCTACGGACCTGAGTTCCGTTCCCGTCTACGGCTCACATCAGTGGCGAGGGCATATCTGAACCGGTCCGAGCCGCCTTCCGACTCACGCGTTCACCAAGTCGCGCTGACCATCGTGTTGTGAAGTGTGCATAAAACAACCCACATTACCGACACGGATGGTCGCATGTCATGGTCAAGGCGCTACATTAATTAAAAACAAGATGAGCAGTCGGTTGGCAATGTGCTGTGAGTTTAGGTATCACGCTGTAACGCAATGGGTTCACGTTTCCCATGGAGGCGCTAAATTATCTTCCTACCGATATTAGGAAGCCACTGGACCTATGCACTTTTAAATCGAAATGGAAAACTAATTTATTGAGAAATCCGTTTGGTGTTTAGTTTGTTTGTCCTTCCCCCGCACCTCCGATTAGCACCGTTGGCTACGTACGGCGTGGAAGAAGTTCAACATACTTACATACAATGCAATATCGTTTGGTGGGTGGGAAGCGCTACCCCATTAGTAACTGGTTGCATTGAACGGCAGTCGTTCAACGGAGTCTCAAGACCGCTTCAAGGAGGGTCCTGCCATATTGGGATGTTTTGGCCGATTTTCCATCTTTTGTTGAACCCAGAGAAGACTTACCGCGCGTCCCACGAGGTTGCTTCAAACATTCAAGGTGATCTGCTAAGCCAAGTGGTGAGAATTCATGAGACCAGGATGAGTCTCATTTGCAAGTGTCCGTGACATGGGTGACTAAAATGATGACAAAAGCCACCCCCCCCCCCCCCCCCCCCCCACACAAAAAAAAGTACAGCAACGAAGCCAACAGAATTCGGTCCACGACCAACGGTGTCACTCAAACACTGCCATCTTCTGTCCGTAAGTCGCAACACCTGGTCAGCCCGCGGAGGTGGTGCTCTCGGGGAACCACATCCAAGTACTGAGCAGGCTAATCGGTGGCTTAGCTTCTGGGAGCCTTCGAGATCGGAGGGTGAGTTGGCCGTATGGTGAAGGTTTTTGTCTGCAAAGAGAGAGACAAAGCTGCGGGGAGCGGTGACAGCTGCGACCCTGGTACAGCTGTGATTCGTGGCCAGCAGACCCAGTGAATGAGAGAAGTGTGTGTCCAAGCTATTTTTAAATAATCGAGCCGGCACGCCTGAGTTCCAGAAACATTAATCAAACATCACCAGCACCAGCAGCACCACCACAACCACCACCACCAGAACCGGCACGCCTGAGATCCAGAAACATTGATCAAACATCACCAGCACCAGCAGCACCACCACAACCACCACCACCAGAACCGGCACGCCTGAGATCCAGAAACATTGATCAATCATCACCAGCACCACCACCACTGAAAAAAAAATGTGTTATGGAGAACAGGTAGATTTTTTTCTTGAATGCAGCTGTGCGGAGTTTTGCTCTGAGTGTTGTTGTTCCCTCGCTTGCGTGTTGGGGTGGCCCCAGACACTGCGGCTTCAGATCCACACGAAGCCAAATGTTCGCATGTTTAAAGACGTTGGCCAAACACCTCAATGTAACAAAGACTCTCTTCAGCCTCCTGAGACTCAGTGAGGCTTTTCCGAAAACAGGTCATCATTGTCTTAGAATTGTAAAGATGAAACGATTCGGCGAGTCAACCGAATAGTGGGCGATTTGAATAAATAATCGATTATAACACGATGTAACACAATTTTTGTTCCTGGGCAGTAAGTGTTATTTCGTAATTGCTTATGCCTAACAAGCATAGAAAATGGCTATTATTGTTTATTGGTTCTTTCGGTAAAGTCACGTAGATAGAAACAATAATAGTAAAAATAAAGTGAATAAAAATACCACGACGTTTCGATCGCAACACAAGCAGTCGTCATCAAGCAAAGGGGTTAGCCTCTAAAGGCAAACTGTTTTTATAAAGGTTTGGAGATGGGCGTAGCCCAAGTGTGTCAGCAGCACCAGCAGCATGGGCGGTGCAACAATGACAATGCAGCAACAATGCCGATGCAGCAACAATGCCAATGCAGCAGCAATGCCGATGCAGCAGCAATGCCAATGCAGCAACAATGCCAATGTAGCAATGCCAATTCAGCAGCAATGTCAATGCAGCAACAATTCCAATGCAGTAACAATGCCAATTCAGCAGCAATGGCAATGCAGCAGCAATGCCAATGCAGCAAAGGGCCGCCAGGAAATCACTGCACCCCGCTCCACACACCACACTGTTGACGGTGGAGGTTGATTGACAAGAAAACACAAGTCAAGTCATGACCCAAAGTGGTTGACATCTTTCCAATGATTGCTGAGTCTATAACCTTCCTCCCGGTTGAAATTATGTCTGTGTCTGTATATATGGATGGCTTCATGAACGAATCTTTGTTGATAGCCAGTAGGCTTGCAAAGTACCATCATCGTCTTAGAGAAATCAATTTCGTGTGAGCCAGCCGCATAAAATAATGATCAGCCACGGCAGAAGTATTGGTCCTACCGTGTTTCAAATCTGCCTTACGAACACGGTCTGAGACATGTCGCGTTGTTTCTCCAATGTAACTACTTCCGCAGATACAGCTTAGTTTGTAGATGACGGGCTATTGCATGTCAGGAATCTTGTCCTTCACAGATGGGATCAGATTGCGAATTTTATATACTGTGTTAAATCGTACCTGGAACTTGTGTGTTGTTCATGATTTTGGAAATATTTTTGATTACCCCTGCTATGTATGTCAGGGTGATGGTTTTTATTGAATCCTCAGATGGCTCCTCTTCACGGTTGGGGTGATGGCTTTGTGGATTGTGTAGTCAGAATATCTATTCGCCTTTAGAGCTTGGTGTATGTGTTTGAGTTCACTGGTTAGGTGTTCATGATCGGAGATACATTGAGCTCTATGGTGTAGCATTTTGATGAGGGAATTCTTCTGGGATGGATGGTGGTGGGAATCAGGTTTTAGGTAGGCGTCAGTATGGGTTACTTTCCTGACAGAATGGCTCATTGAGCCATCTGGTCTCTTTTGATTAAGACATCCAAGAAAGGTAGCTTGCCATCCTTTTCTACCTCCTTGGTGAATTTGATGGCTGAGTTATGGAATTGGTTTAGAGCTGGTCGGCCATGTGGCCAGATGACGAACGTGTCATCCACGTACCTCGTCCACAAGTACGGACGTAGAGTGGGTGCCTGGATGGCGTTCGTCTCAAGATTTTCCATGAAAATATTGGCTACAACCGGAGATAAGGGAGAACCCATTGGGGTGCCTTCAGTTTGTTTGTTGAATGTTCCATTCCAGGTGAAGTATGTATTGGTGAGGCAGTGTCTCACCATGGCCAGTACATCAGCATTCAATCCTTGTTAGACCAAATCTTCAATGATTGCAATGGTATCGGGCACAGGAACTTTGGTGAGCAAAGAAACTACATCGAAACTGACGAGTAAATCACCTGGGGACGGTTAAATGTCTTTTTATTGACGATACCAGGTGAGCTGAGTTAAGTGTAGAAGAGGTGGTCTTACCAGTAAATGG